CCGTTCGTTTGCTCTTGAACTTTTTGTAAAAGGTCCTTGCTGGTCATGGGCAGTCAGGAATTCTGGGCGCTCGAAAAGCGCGAAAGGCGCACTAGTGGAGTATATGGTCTTCTCCGGTTTTCACATCTACCAGAGAGATGTAAAAGAAATGATTTAGTACCTTATTTAACGATACCTTATTTCGATTGGTTGAAGTCAACATCACGCTATTTGGGACTTCTTACTGGTGATAAAAGCGCTTGAAATTTAGTTTTATCGCGGCCTTTTTACAGATCCTTAAACTCGTTTCATAAACTCAGCACGCGTCGTTGCAAATTTCCTCCTTCAGTTTAGCTACAAACGGCGTCGAACCAGAGCCACTTTGGTGGAAGGTGAATGCTCTCTCCACGGTGCCCTCCTTGCTCCCTGAATTGATGTATTATTAATCAAAGTGCACTCATCAAGAGATTATTGAATAAAAAGGTAGCGTGTTCAAGGCTCTCAGATAGTAGGGAAGTGTATTAAAGGCACGCGAAAATATAAGCACGCGAGCTGGGAAAAGAAGGCGGTGGCTGCCCTTCCTCTCTCTAATCTCCTCCCGTCAGTTTATTTTCGTGTTTGCGCGTTCTCCATTTCGCTGACCCAACTATCTCGGAGCCTTGTACGGGCTAATAGAAAAGGTCTTTAGGTTTAGTTTGTATGACAAAGTACATCCTTATTGCCTGGCTCTCATTTCTACTTAGAGACTGTTCACATGAGGTGAGCCAGCCCGGTTAGCAAGACTGGCCTGCTTTACCGGGCTGGTTCAGCTCCTGCCTTGTTTCCTTACAAAACCGTTGTTGTGTTTATATGAGCAGACCGGCTGGCCCACGTGCTGAGATCTTCCTTCGAGGAACCAAGATCTCGGCAAGCGGGGCCGAGCCACCCAGTTAACTCGGCTGGCTCATCTTATCTCCCTCTTTTGTTTCAGGTGTGACGAAAATGCAAAGATTGGAGACAAAATGATATACGCATCTTCAAAAGACACCATCAAAAAGTCCTTCACTGGTTTATCACTGGAATTCCAAGCAAACGATGAGGGTGATTTGGATTACACAACTTTAAGAGAGGAAGTGGAAACTAGAAACGCTTAGATAGCATATGTTGTGGTTCAATTTTATCCTTGGTTTGAATTTTATATTCTTTTGTCTCAAACTCATTATCATACATTACCATACCCAAAAACAAAAGAAAATAAAATTTAAACCATGGATAAAATTGAACCACAACACATACATCAGAACACGACACTCAAGCTTTTTTGCAACTTTTCCTTTTTGTTTTTGTATAATCTTCCATTTAAGTTTTAGATGACAAGAAATATCAATAACTGCATGCAATCTGACTTCATTTTATACCTGTTATCTCTGACCGCCTATTGAATTTAACAATGGTGGGAGGCCATTTTGTAGATACAATTATTTGAAACCTTTAAATACCTGGAAGAAAGCGAATGTTTTGACACCTTAAGTTTGTATTCGGAAGTAAATTTGTAGTAAACAGTGTTTTTCTTCCTGGCATATTTTGTTGTCTTGAAAACAATCATTTCACAAATAGTGACAGGTCGTTTCGATACATATTTACCGCTTGGTCGAGGTGTAAATAGTTTCACGTGCTTGGCTTAAAGAACGAAGAATACTCACCTCAAATGCTTTCTTGTCCACGCGCAAACTCAGTATACTTGAAGAGATCAAAATCATTTATGTGTAATTTCATTGCTTCGGGGGCGAATTGAAACGACTCTGTATCAAATCGACCGGTTTCCTCACAAACATACCATCTAAAATTGAAATAAATACAAACTGAACGGGTTGTTTGTTACCCTGCGATCAGTGGTTTCTCCAGCTCAGACGCTACGCTAAAAAGGAGGAGTAACTCTTGGTAGCGTTGCGTCCGGACTGGGAAACCACTGTTTGCAGGGTAGTTGTAAGTATTTCTTGACTTGTGAACTCTCGCGTATGATATGTTCCAGTGAACCATTTAGGACATTTCAAGACCTCTGAGCTGAAAAATCACTGAATGATTAATAGTGACTTTCTGAGAATAAGGTGCGATAGTCCAAAACGACCTAGGGACTCTTTTACCGCCTTTGATACCATTTTTGTATCAAGACCAGATTAAAATTCGATAGTTTGGGTCTGAGATGATGTTTCGAACTCTGGAATGAAGGTTTTCCAACCTTACTTAGAGCAGAAGGATAGTTCCAAACCAAAGAGAGCATGTCTCTTTACTTCGGGGAAAGGGGAAAGAGGCACAAGCAAGGGGAACCAAAAATTGAAAATGGGATGAAAACAGAGAAAGGGTATGTATTATAGGGCTGGCTACACTGTAGGGTCCCATTTTTCATTTCCACCTCCCCGTTCCTTGGTTAAGTAACCTCCAAGGGTTGAGTCCTCTTCGTTCGAAGGACATTTTACAAGTAGACTTATCCTTGCTTGGAATAGGCCATTTTGTACCTTGAGAATCAGAGGTTTTTTCTGCGTGCAGCGTTTGTCACGAAATGCTTCGTCGATCACGGGCCGACGCCACGGCTGTAAAGGCTTGACACTAAAACCCGCGCATGAAAAGCCGCTGGCACCCAGGGTGGCCATTACTCTCTGTCGTCATAGATTTCACGATGTTGCCCGCTAAAAGATTTTGGCGGGAAACAGTTTCACTTTTAGAAGTCATGTGACCTCGAGGAAACCAACGAGAGCGCGCGCTGTTCGCTGTTGGCAAAAAAAAATTCCAGCTATATGACAATACGACATAACGACTTGTTAGGTCGTAGTGCTTATGTTGTTCTATTACTAGTGTGAACACGGCTCAACATCAAGTCTGTGCGTTTACATAACAGTACCTTGGCCTTAAGGTGGTTTTTGGGTTTCAGTTCGTGGATTCAGATGAAGCTAAGCGAGCAGCGTGAAAGTTTTTGTAAGTGAAGAGAAAAGAAGAGTGCGAAATACAGTACAAGACAGAAGAGCGGAAGCTCATTGTTTGGGCTGCGACCTCCACTACAACCGAAGGAGTGCGAGAAATTTTAATTACCTCCATTAAATTGATTTTATTCTTGGTGAAAACGGTCTAATCAGGCTTCATTTTAATTATAGCTCAAGATTTCAGGGCTGACTTGCTTTACAGAGGTAACGTTAGCTCGAAGCCGCCATGTATACAGAAAGATTGAAAGCAGTACACATGAGCAGTACGTTTACCCGGTGTCCAGTTGCTGGCCAGGATCGCCAGAGCTGGTCGCTTACGAAAGTGGTTGCAACACTGTTGCAAGGAGAACTTCCATTGGATGTGAGCAGCAAGCGAGAATAAACCGATATGTAATTTATTTAAATGATTATTTCTCCATACCAATTTTTTACTTATTTATTTATTCGATGGACCTCTCTTGTGTACGTGTATTTTTCAGTGATGTAAAGACTCCCTGCCCAAATTAGGGAGATCTACAACGTTTCCTGTCTAAGCGTAGCTAGGTCACGTTTGAAAAGTATCTAAGACATCAGCAGAAGTATACCAAGAAAACACAGTGTAAACACATATGTGTTCCCTTTAGCCTCTCTGGCTTGGGAACAGGGTATAAAAATCACCATTTCTCTCTTGAACAGAAGCGCAAGCCCCGATAGTCCACTTCTATTTAAAACCGTCTCGCATTACCGATCAAAGTTACCTCGCCCCATGCTCCTGTTACTACCGCGCAGGATCACGCGATCACGCAATTTCTTTCAAAGATGTCACGCTATAGCTACAGAGTCGAGCTTCACCTACATTCAATTCATCTTTTTAAAGTGTTCTTTGGAAAATCCACGAAATTACTAAAAATCAAAACTTCAGAAACAAGAGAGTGTGCTTTATGAAGTGTATAAAGGTTTTTTTTCTTCACAGACTACAGTACGATGATGACACAAGGCAAAAATTGGATTCCACGTAAGTGAAAATCGCAAGGTTTTTTGTAGACTCCCTCTTAACGGAATACAGGGTGTCCTTATCTTTGTATGATTTTTAATGTAAGTTTTTATTTTGTCAGCATACAAGTGGCAATCGACAAACTTCCCCTTTGCATGACGTAACATGCGGGTGCCAATATCGTTTGTTTCCTACTTTGGTAATGTACACAGTGGGACGTAATTTATCATCTGGAGCATACAATAACCCACGCAATGCAGGTCGACGTTTTGTCTCGAAGATTGGATCTATTAAAAGCTTGTTCTTACGTTGCATAAGAACTATGACATCATTTTCACAAGCCATAGGATAAACACTTGGGTAGAATGTTAGGCAAAGCTCTATAAAACTCACTTAACTAAAACAATCAGCGATCATCACATTTTTCAGAATGTTTATAGTCTAATAAAATAATCACGGGAATAAAACTGTGCGAGGCTGTTGAAAATGTCTGGACAGTTTACTTACTTTGATTCTTCCAACGTAGCTGGATCTTGTACTTTAACCTCGAATACTAGTTAGCAACTACTGACAAATTTAATCAGGTAAACCGACTGCTATCATGACATAACAATATCGTGAATTATATCCAGAACAAAGGTATTAAGTTTCTCAGATTTAACAAAAAGTGCATGTCGATTTTATGGACTACGTTACCAAGATAACGTTATCTAATGTCATTATTATTTAAAAAAAACTAACTTGTAAAATACGCTATATAAGGGCATAATACACCTTATGCGCGCAATCTACTCGTGTCTTTCAAACGTTTTAATATAATTAAATTATATATGAAGTTGCTGGTCAGTATGAGCCTATAAATTTCAACATTTTCATCCATTAGTTTTTCGGTTGTCTTCAGTAAAACAATGAATATTGATTATTATTTCTGCTAGTTAGGAATTTTGTGCATGTTTTCTTCCATATCTAGCCTTTAAAATCGATATAAAACAAACGCAAATCAACTGTTTATAATAATAATAATTCAGTTTTATGCAAATTCATATCATTGCGAAATTTCCATTATTTTTCAAAATGTCTTTTCCTTAAAAGGATGTACTGAGCTCGCTTTGCAGTAAGTGATCTCGAACAAAACCGACAGTCTAGAGCGACTGGATAATTATAAATATAGAATGTTACATCACACTGGGAACATATATATACGCAACTGCAGCAAAGATGTTATCATGCCATAGAGTTGGAAGAGTTAGCTGTCAAGAAGAAAGTTACCGGTAAGGCGCGAAACTAAGACTTGTTTTAAGTTAGGTTTTGGAGTCCATACATTTATCCCGAACAAACGCTCAAGTTCTTGATCAAGTTGCTACAACTGATTAAGTTTTTTAAAGATTTTTCAGTATGAAGTACTAACGATGTACACCTTTTCTCCACAAAGTTTATTTTAAACATCTATATGCAGATTAATTTGGTTGACCCCAACTAATTTTTAACTATTTTGCTTTAAAGGTCTTTTGAAAACTGAAGTCACGATCAACATATCACAATGGTAAGTAGATACAGTATTTTGATAAAATTGTAGGTGGCCGTTTGTTAACTCTTAGTTTTAAATATGCCCGACAGAATAGCAGTGTTGTTTTAGTCACTGAAAAACTGAGGTCGTTGTACACTAAACACGCCCTCGGCCAGGCTATTTTCAGCCATGAGAGTGATTAGGAATGGTCAAAGCAACTGTTCTTTATTTGAGGAAGCAGAATGTAAGCAAATTTTGCTGTAATCTTCGGCTTGCTTACTTGAAACTAATAATGTGCTAATTTCAGCTCTCCTAGATACCAACTTTGGCAATTATTTTCTCTGTATTGAACAAAAACGCTTCATTTTTTGAATTTGTGTTCTCCTTTACAGCAGTTCTGATACCTTAATAAGGTTTTTTAGGTTATTGATTTTATTTTTATGTTCTCTTGATACAGTCTATGTCAGGGGTCCAAGTCGATGGTAAAATCAACGGTTTGTTTAATGACATGAAGATGAGAAGCAAACACAAGTTTGCATTCTTCAAAATTGAAGGAAAGAAGAAAATTGTTGCTGACGTGTGTGGTGATCCATGCAAAACAGAAACAAAAGAAGAAGATGAAGCCCAGTTTAATCGAATGAAGGAGCAACTCAGCAATGAGCCACGATATATTTTGTATGATTTTGGATTTGTGAAGAAGGATGGCAGGAAAGTTAATAAGTTGGCCTTCATCTTTTGGTGAGTGAGGCTGTCTTTGTATTTTTATTAACTGGTGACCGGGCATAAAATTTTCCTTTAGTTTGAAGACATTTCACAGGTGTTTTAAGCTGGATTTTAATGCATGTAGCTCGACAGAGTCAAAGTTGTAAGAACATTTTATTTCATTAACCTGGTGAAAATCAAAGACTTTATTTGAGTCGTAAGCGTGGTTATAAGTGAAACAGAATCGGTGGCCTACGTGTCAGGCGTTTGAAAGAAAATGGGAAGGGAATTCCGGGCGCTCGAGAAGCGCGAAAGGCGCGCGAGTGGAGTATATGGTCTTTTTCGTTTTTCACATCTACCAGGGAGATGCAAAAATAATTATTTGATACCTTAATTAATGATACCTTAAACCGATTGGTTGAAGTCTACATCACGCTATTTGGGACTTCTTGCTGGTGATGAAGACCCTGGAAACTTGCTTTCATCGCGGCCCTCTTACAGATCCTTAAACTCGTTTTATAAACTCGGCACAGGTCGTTGCAAATTTCCTCCTTCAGTTTAGCTACAAATGGCGTCGAACCCGGGCCACTTTGGTTGAAGGTGAATGCTCTCTCCACGATAGCCTGCGTGGCCGGCGTTGAAAGGGGAAGGGGGAATTTGGGCGCGCGCGAGAGCGTGTGGGGCGCGCGAGGGGGAAAGGAAAGGAACGCGTTCCTTTCCTTTCAACGCCGGCCACGCAGGCTATCTCCACGGTGCCTTCCTTGTTCCCTGAATTGATGTATGATTAATCAAAGTGCAATAATCAAGAGATTATTAAATAAAAAAAGTAGCCGGTTCCAGGCTCTCAGATAGTAAGGATGATGCGTAAGTGTAAGGCACGCGAAAATATAAGCACGCGATCTGAGAAAAATGGTCGGCGCCGCCCTTCCTCTCCCCAGTCTCCTCCAGTCAGTTTATTCTCAAAGTGTCTGCAGTTTCTCAATTTTGCTGACCCGACTATCTCGGAGCCTTGAACGGGCTAATAAAAACGGTCTTTAGGTTTAGTTTGTGTGACAAAGTACACCTTTATTGCCTGGTTCTCATTTCTACTTAGAGACTGTTCACATAAAGTGAGCCAGCTTGGTTAGCAAGACTGGCCTGCTTTACCGGGCTGGTTCAGCTCGTGCCTTGTTTCCTTACAAAATCGTTGTTGTGTTTATAAGAGAAGACCGGCTGACCCACTTGCTGAGATCTTCCTTCGAGGAACCAAGATCTCGACAAGCGGGGCCGAGCCAGCTTGGTTAACTGGGCTGGCTCATCTTATCTCCCTCTTTTGTTTTAGGTGTGACGAAAATGCAAAGATTGGAGACAAAATGATATACGCATCTTCAAAAGACACCATCAAAAAGTCCTTCACTGGTTTATCACTGGAATTCCAAGCAAACGATGAGGGTGATTTGGATTACACAACTTTGAGAGAGGAAGTGGAAACTAGAAACGCTTAGACAGCATACATCAGAACACGACACTCAAGCTTTTTACAACTTTTCCTTTTTGTTTTTGTATAATCTGCCGTTTAGTTTTAGATGACAAGAAATATCAATAACTGCATGCAATCTGACTGTATTTTATACGTGTTATCTCTGATCGCCTATTGAATTTAACAATGGCGGAAGGCCATTTTGTAGATAGAATTATTTAAAACCTTTAAATACCTAGAAGCGAATGTTGTGACACTTTAACTTGACATTCTCGGGAACTAAATTTGTAGTAAACAGTGTTTTTCTTCCTGGCATATTTTGTTGTCTTGAAAACAATCATTTCATAAATATTTACAGGTCGTTTCGATACAAGTTGACTAGGTCGAGGTGTAAATGGTTTCACGTGCTTGGCTTAAAGAACGAAGAATACTCACCTCAAATGTTTTCTTGTCCACGTGCAAACTCAGTATACTTGAAGAGATCAAAATTCTTGTGTAATTTCAGTGCTTCGGGGGCGAATTGAAACGACTCTGTATCGAATCGACCGGTTTCCTCGCAAACATACCATCTAAAATTGAGGTAATTACAAACTGAACAGGTTGTTTGTTACCCTGCCAGCAGTGTTTTCTCCAGTTCGGACGTTACGCTAAGAAGGGAGAGTAACGTTTCGTAGCGAAGCCTCCGGCCTTGGAAACCACTGCTTGCAGGGTAGTTGCAAGTATTTCTTGACTTGTGAACACTCGCGTATTATATGCTCCAGTAAACCATTCAGGACCTTTCAAGACCTCTGAGCTGAAAAATCACTGAATGATTAATGGTGGCTTTCTGTGAAGAAGGTGCGTTAGTCCAAAGCGAGCTAGTAAGTCTTTACGGCCTTTGCCACCATTTTTGTGTCAAGACAAGATTAAACTTCGACAATTTTGGTCTGAGATGATGTTTTGAGTTCTGGAATGAAGGTTTGCCAACCTTATTTAGAGCAGAAGGATAGTTCTAAAACGAAACAATTTCTTCAAGGGGCTTGGCACCGAAGAGGTGTGTCCCTTTACTTCGGGGAAAGGGGAAAGAGGAACAAGCAAGGGGGAACGATAATTGAAAATCGGATGAAAACAGAGAAAGGGTATGTATTGTAGGGCTAGCCACACTGTAGGGTCCCATTTTTCATTTCCACCTCCCCGTTCCTTGGTTAAGCAACTTCCAAGGGAGAAGTCCTCTTCGTTCGAGGGACATTTTGCAAGTACACTTATCCTTGCTTGGAATAGGCCATTTTGTACCTTGGGAATCAGGTTTTTTTTGCGCGCGGCGTTTGCGGCCAAATACTTCGTCGGGCACGGGCCGACGCCACGGCTGTGAAGGCTTGACACCAAAATCCGCGCTTGAAAAGCCTCTGGCACCCAGGGTGGCCATTACTCTCTGACGTCATAGATTTTGTGATGTTGCCCGCTAAAAGACTTTGGCGGGAAACAGTTTCACTGTTAGAAGTCATGTGACCTCGAGGCAACCAATGAGAGCGCGCGCGCTGTTGACAAAAAAAGCCTAAAAGAAAAAAAAATCCAGCTATATGACAATACGACATAACGACTTGTTAGGTCGTAGTGCTTATGTCGTTCTATTACTGTGTGAACACGGCTCAACGTCGAGTCTGTGCGTTTACATACCAGTACCTGGCTCTTAAGGTGGTTTTTAGGTTTCAGTTCGTGGATTCAGATGAAGCTAAGCGAGCAGCGTGAAAGTTTTTGTAAGAGAGAAAAGAAGAGTGCGAAATACAATACAAGGCAGAAGTTTTGAGCTGCGACTTTCACTACAACCGAAGGAGTTTGAGAAATTCTAATGACCCTCATTAAATTGATTTTATTCTCGGTGAAAACGGTCTGATCAGGCTTCATTTTAATCATAGCTCAAGATTTCAGGGCTGACTTGCTTTACAGAGGTAACTTTAATCCGGGTATCACATGAATCGAGGCAGCTCGAAGCCGCCATGCACACAGAACGATTGAAAGAAGTGCACATGAGCAGTACGTTTACCCGCTGTCCAGTTGCTGGTCTGGATCGCCAGCCCCAACGTGATTACATAGCAAATTTCCAGCCCGGTTAACTGGGATCCCGGCATCACAATCCCAGGGTCCCGGCTTGCCGAGCTCCCTTAGCAAAGCGAACAAAGCCAGCTCATGCAATCAGCTCCTTATATTATTGCTTTTGCTCTGACTATGAAGTCCTGTGAACTCCACAGAGACAATGAAATCTTCGTTGTCAACTATCCTTAACGAATTCCATTTAGGGTCAAATCCCTAACAGAACAATGTTCCTGTCAAAACGAGGTCTTCGTAACAGATTCACCTTTTTCCTTTCCGCTTCACATGACAGTCGCTTGTCAGCACGTGACCCCTGACTTTCAGCCAAGGACAAACAAAGCGAGGTATTTATGATTCAGAGGTGGAATTCTTTCGTTCTCTGTTTATCACGAAGTCTGCTTGCTCGATTATCTGAAATACAAAAAATGATAAAGATTCTTTCTGCAAGTGTCATACTCCCCTCTAGCCTGCGCGCAGACGAAATTAAACTCTGGTTAACTCCGTCTGCGAAACAGCGCCGAAATCCTTGTTCTGGACTTCCAGCTGTGTACCCAGATTTGAGTACGCGCCACGATTGGCCAGTTAAAAAAGGCCTTTGTTTTGTTTGTCGTGATCGCCAATCAGGTTGAAGGGGAATTCGAAACGCACTTCCGGTAATTCGTTGAGTCCGCTAGGGGTCCAGAACAAGGATCTCTGCGCTGCTTCGCAGACGGTACTAATCAGAGTCGGTTTAGTTATCGTCTGCACGCAGGCTAACTCCCCTCCCTCTCCTTAAATAATAAGGCCTCAACAGATTGTCTAAGATTGTTATTTCTACCGACAATAAAAATGCCTTGGATTCTAAGACTCATTGCTAGTTTTATTCTTATAGGAAGAAGCTTGGTAAAAAGCATGGGATCTCAATTTCGCTTCTAGAGCTACAATGGGTTAAAAAATACAATACAGTACAATAGTTTATTGACACTCCCCTGGTGGGGCTTTTCAGTGACAATGCGACTAAAAAAAAAAACTAATTAAGATAAGAGAAGTAGTTAACAATTCGATTAAAAGGAAAGAATGCGGTGAACAAAGCAATATAAACATACCTATTTAAGAATTAATCGTATAATAAATATTCTCACTACGTACTATACAATATGCATATTTTAAGTTAAAATAAAATAAGATACTAGTAAGATACTAAAATACTATCATAACGTGCTATTTAAAAAGTCAGTAATCAACTTATTTTTCAGACAAAATTTAAAAGTAGAAATCGATTTTGCAGTTTTAAAAAGGTTCACACATTGTAATCGGATGGAATTTAGCACTAACTAAGGGGAGTGGGTGGTATAGAAAACGCTCGCTTGGCGTTAGCATTAACTGGGGGGGGGGGGGGGGGGGGAGGGTGGTATAGAATAATGCACCTATCCCGTGAAAATGTTCAGTGGCAGAACTCGGGAAACAAACCACAACAACGTGTGGAAGAGAGGGCTGAGAACGAGATCTAATTCAAATGACGCCTTCTGTTCACCTACCGGATCAAAGATGACATTTGCAAAAAGCCCTTGAACAAATCTCCGGATGTGCAGTCTAAACTTGTACAGTCCAAGAACGTCTGATACTTCACAGTACAAGCAAAGGTCTTGAAACATATGTGGGAATCTCTCTTTTAACCTGGAACGAAAACGGCGCACCAAAAATGACATATAAAATAACCATTAATTTCTGGCAGGACAGTGCGAACTTACGAACAGTTCGTTGACCTTGGCATAGACTTCACGTCGCGCAAAATTCTATTAGTTTAGGACCAGGCTCCTTGGTGGGGTAAAAAGGGAAAAAAACGGCGAACGAAGCGAGCAGAGCGAGGTTCTAAGGAGGGGAAAGGGCGGGGGCCATTCTCCCATTTCTTCACTTCCATATTTTTCCTTACCGTTTGTTCCCTTTCCCACAAAACGGAGAGCCTGTTCTCAGGCTACATTCTGTCAGCAAATTTCAGGTGAACGCTGATAAAATGTTGCGACCGTTTGACATTGCATAGACTTAACATTGTTTAAACATTCTCTCTGAAAATACTGAATCAATGTTGTCTCTGTTCGACCTGTTACTGATCAATGGCCTCAACATTATCTGAACTTTTGCTCAGCAAAGGTGAAAACAATGTTGCGACAGTTTGACCCGGCATGGTCTCAACATTGTCCACGAACATTGTCCGAACATTCTCTCAGCAGATGTTGGAACAATGCTGCCACCGTTTGACCTGCTACTGATGGTCTTAGCATAGTCTCAACATTGTTCTGAACATTCTCTCAAGAAATGTGGTTTAATGTTGGGACCGTTCGACCTAACATGGTCTCAACTTAGTCTTAACAATGTCTGAACATTCTCCCACAAATAAGGTTCAATTTTGCAACCGTTTGACCTAATATGGTCTCAATATAGTCTCAACACTGTTTAAAAATTCTCTCAGAAATGTAAGTTGCGACCGTTAAACATTGTCTGAACACTTTTTCAGAAAAGAGATTCAATGTTGCGATCTTTTAACTGAGTATGACCTCAACATAGTCTCAACATTGTCTGAACATTTTTCCAACTAATACTGAAACAATGTTGCGATCTTTTAACTGAGTATGACCTCAACATAGTCTCAACATTGTCTCAACATTTTTCCAACCAATGCTGAAACAATGTTGCGATCGTTTGACCTGGTATGATTTCAAAATAGTATCAACATTGCCTGAAAATTTTCGCAGCAAACGCTGCAAAAATCTTGCAATAGTTTGACCTGACATAGTGTTAACATAATCAACAAATGATGCGAACAACGCTGTGTTTGCCTATTCCCGCAAGGCTTGTTATCCTTCACTCGCAGAACGGATAACGGAGTCTTGTAAGGTGGTTCTACCTTTTGAGCATGTGGACGAAATGCCATGGTGTTACCATTCAAACGAAACCTTTTTGGCAGTACTTTCACATGGTACTATTTTTTTCCCAGTAGAGCGATTTTCGTATGACCTAGAAACGAAAACGCGTGAACAAAACAGAAACAACAAACGAACGGAAATAGGGCGATATGATTGGTTTATCGAACGGACACAAACGCGCGTGGCTTTTGGTTGTTTAAGCGAACGCTCGGGTGAAAAAACTTCATGCCCGAGAGCTTTCTAGAAATCAACGGATGCTTTGCTTTGACGTCATACTGCAATACGATTGGCCAATCAAACAATGCCTTCTCCATATTAGGGTTTTCTTTGGGGAGAAAACGAAGAGGCCGTGTTTTGATCTTTTCACCCATTGGCTAATAAAACAAACAACGAACACTTACCGAAACCATTTTTCAAGGTCATATGAAAATCGCTCTATTTTACAAAATGAGATTGCGAAATTTTGCCGAATTTTGACTAAAGCCACTACAGGGAATAAAAAGGTCTTATGTCTCCTTGCATTCAAGGACATCACTTACTTAGACAGCTCCTCCTGGTGTGATCTGGACCCCACTACACTGCTGAGCGAAGCTACAAGTCTCAGGATTTCATCACGAATCATCCGTTTTCCTTCAGGCGTGTTTTCATCCAGTTTGCTCTTGTTTACATGGGTGTGATTGGTTACACTCAAAGTGGAATCCGCAGTGGATGCTATGTACGAACACTCGCTTGCTGAATCGGTATTTTCAAACTTCAACAAAAGAAAAAATAACGTATATTAAGGTGGCTGAACACAGTTTTGGCAGTTTGTGAGTACATGTCATTTGCCAGATCATGGCAAGAGAAAGGTTCCAGTTCACAAGCTGAAACTTGGCAAGTGAAAAATATACTGATGAAAGATTTTGATTGACAGGTAAAAGTTGACGTTTTCGAAGTTTCCATGGCAACATGAACGATTGGATAAAACCTTAAAATTTCACTTTTGCTCAGTTTACATAAAATTCGCTCATTAGATTTTCCTATAAACTTGCACACAGCTTACCATAATTAACCATTACCATTAGAAACTTATCTGCCCAAATTTTAACAGACGGGCTTTTTGATAATCAATAATATAATTGTACTGCCATTATTAGATGTGACATAAACTTCGTCTGTTCAACTTTCATTTTAAAGTTCTCATTATTTAAAATACCTTAAAAGTAAACCTTCTGCCAAATATCACAATTTTAATGAGTAGATTTTGAGAAATCGTCTTTTGTGTACCATTGCTTTTTTCGCCGCCATGTTTGTTTGTCTAAATTAAAACACTAGCCGTCACGCGAGTTACCGCTGACCACCCGCAAAACTGTGTTCAGCCACCTTAGCTTACACCCGTACTTAGCAATGGCAGATCCAGACCTTCAGATAAGGGGGTGGGGGCGGTCATCCAGACCCCGAGATAAGGGGGTTGGGAGGGTGGGGGGCGGTCTCAAAAAATGTACCCTGGGTACCAGAGGTTTTTTCGCGTGCGGTGGGAATTTTCGGTGTTGGCCGAAGGTCGATACATCTTCGGCCGTAGGCTGAAGCCACGAGCGGCGAATTGACAGAAACCGGAAACCGCGCTAGAAAAGTCTCTGGCACCCAGGGTACAAAAAATGTTTTTGTGGTCTTTTGTGAGCAGGCCCCCCAGACCCCTCCCCTGGATCCGCCACAGCTTAGGCTCGATTACCAGCAGTTCTTAGGGTTTTTATTTTAGAAAGGAGTAGGAAACTGGAGCCGAAACCCATCCCGCAATTGTTCCTGGGATCTTAAATGGGGTCGCTCGTGTCAGCTATGGGCCAATTTTTTTCCCTATCTCAGACTCAGTCGGTTTTGCGAAAAATAACTCAGCCCGGCTTGCTACTCGTTTCTAAAGTGGCGAATGAGCCTGCGATACCCGGGAGAACGGGGAAAATCCACCCTAACTCGTACTACTAGAGAGCTTTCGATTCTGAGACAAGGACGACTATCAGTACTTTGCGTTTGTTGTTTCTTAAAGGTAGCTCGTTCAGCGGCACAACATCGCTTTTAGGAGGTGGGGGAGAGAAAACTTCATTTTCCCCTTTTGATGTCTGTAAAACGTTACAAAGGGCCTTTACAGGCTGGTTTTCACTAACGAAGGGGTCAAAGTCGGAGTGGTAATCAGAAGCGTAGAACTTTACAATCTTGTGAAAACAGTGTTCTGATCCTCCTGATTCCGCTTACGACTCCGTCGTTTACGATCAAGTGAAAACTGGGTCGTCGGAGTCGCAAGCAGAAGCGGAAAAACTAAACCAATCACAAAGCGTGGGAACGTGCCTTGTGATTGGTTTATCCTTCCGCTTCTGCTTCCGACTCCGACAATCTGGTTTTCACTGGATCATAAGCGGAACGTGAGCGACGGAGTCGTAAGCGGAGTCGGAAGAAAATAGAAACGTTCTGATTCTTCTGAATCTGATTTCCGTCGCCCTTATGACTCCGCTTACGACTCCGTCGCTAGTGAAAAGCAACTTGTGGCAGCTAATTCTTGTCAGCGATTGAGGGGAAAAAACAGCCCCTCCCCCTCCGCGGTCGCTGAATTATCGTACCTTTGCTTCCAGTACGGGCGTTAACCTGTTCCACTCTCCATCAAGCACGTGTTCAGATGACTTGCTCCTGTCTCTCCCAGGCCCCACCCTGCTCGAGTGCATGCAGTGAAGGCAGCGGGATTGATCATGGCTTTCTCCTTCCTTACTGCGTACGACGATTGGTGGCATAAGGGTGGGGGTAGAAACAAAGTGGTCAGGCCAAGAGCCTTGAAACTCGTAAGCTTCTGTCTGTTAAACAGTTGATAAATAAATAAATTAACTAACGATGTTCAACACCATCATCTAGCATTAGAACCTGAGGGGGATACGGAATGGCGGGCCAATGTGGTAGTTTAGTGGCAAGGGAGAGAAATTAGCACACGAAAGGCACTGGTTCGACTCTGGTTTGTCAAATTCATGTCTTTACTATGAGCAATTTTGATAACAGGCCAAAATTCCTACACTTTTATTTAAAATGACAACGACCATTCACAAAAGGGAAATCTGCCCCGGCGAAGCGGTTTGGGATACGATATCTACGGGCAAAGCCATTACAGGGAAAGTTTACCACAAACGGAGGAGGCCCTACGAACCAGTTCCAGAGAAATTTGAATTACCTGCTTCTGTTTGGTCAGAAATATGTTTAGCTTATCCTCTATAAAAGCGGTCACGAAATAAGAAGAGAGAATTTGACTTTTTAACACAGTTAATACGCTGAAATAGCCTGTGAAAAAAGTAAACACCAAACCCTATCGTACGTACCTGGAAGAGCCTGCTGAGATCTAGAGGGAGACTAAGACCAAGGAATTCATTAACGGTATTTTTGCTTGAAGGTGTAAACTGCCGGTAATCAAATGCGCTGGAAATGCTTGCCAAACTGTCACGCTTGTTACTGTATGAAGAGAATTCCACGGCAGACATGGAGCGGGATATTGCATAGCTAAAGGAAGAAAGAAAAAAAGACCGAAAACAACATATATTAATATGATACACTTTGACCCTTTAAAGTCCTCCAACATACCTGAATGATTTTCAAGATTGATTGCTGAGTTCGAGAGATCGCCATCTTAATCTCCTGTGATGAGTATGATAAGGGGAACCGGGTGGGGGAAGGGAAAATTACGTCCTTTAGGCTTCGTCACGCGTTCCTCGCCCCCACTGTAAGAAGAACCAAGAGCCGATATGAGTCAAAAGTTAACTTCATTCGCCACTTTAAAATCGAGAAGGGGACTGGAGCCGAAATGTGTCGCGCAATTGTTTCTGGGATTGTTAATGGGGACGCACATGTCAGCTGTTGGCCATTTTTTTTTTGCTCTTCCAAATAACAGTCCCAGAAGTCTTTGCAAAAGTTAACTCGACCCAGCTTCCCTCTCGGCCAAAGAAGCGAGCTGCATGTTTCGGATCAATAGTATGTTGACTCGAGAGGTGAAAAGGGCAAAATTAGAATTACAAAACAATTTTACACGGAGCATAAAGAAGTGTATCTTACCCTGTTCTTGCGGCACCGAAAGCATTTACTTTAGCTTCCAATTCACGGTTAAAGCTTCTTTGACGCCGTAGCGTACTTAACGCCGTATAACCAAAAGCATTCCTTGAGCTTGTAAACAGTGACTGTTCAGGGCTCGCGCATGAATTTCTGCGTGTATCGCCCGAGACCACCGTGATGTTTTCAATAGAGCTACACAGCTTGTTTTTATTCAAAATCCTTTTCGAAGAATATCCATCAGTTGAGGAGTTTCCGCTGCTCGTACTGCGCGTGCGCTTAGCGGGCGACAAATCCCCGGATTTAAGACCCAGTTTCCTTGCAACCTCCGCTTTCTCAAAGGAACTGCCTCGACTTCGCGAGACGCTGGCGTCCGACTCATCTAAGCTAAGCTGACTGCTGTTTGCTAAAAGTCGGTCTCGTCTCAGTCCACTCGTGCTTGCGCTGTCTACACTCAAGGCCCTTGTTTTAGGGTCGCTGCTCGCACGGAACACAATCGTCTTATCGCTTAAGATCTTCACTTCGGCTAAGCTTTTGCAGCTACCTTGTAAATCGTTTAAATTCTCCATTGGTGGAACGTGAGTCAACTCGGGAACGGTACTCGAACGACTTTTGGTGGCAATTTTAGAGAATTCCGTGCTCCCGCTAAAACTAGAGCTGCGGGTCTCGGGTATCATCCCGAGGGACGGGCTCCCCATGCGGCGTTTCTCAGTAAAGCTCAAACTCCTTGGCCGTGATTCAAGTTCATTCTGTAATCGCTCTGCTCCTGGGAAATTCTTGCGCTCTTCTTTCTGGATGCCATTCCCTACAGGGCTCGAGCTGCGGGCTGCATCCCGCACAAGTGTTCCCGAGGGCGGGGACTCTAAAGAAAGAACGCCTTGGAAGCTCTCTCCAGAAGAGTTCAGAGGTCGATCTTTATCATCAAGAGTCTTTGAAGTATCATCTGATGCAATACTCATTAAACTTTGATTAGTTGGACTATTCGTCTGCAAATAAACCCCAGGCTCGCTCGTGCTGCTACTAGCACGGCTGCGTGACGAAATGTACATTTCTAGAAAATCACCGCTGTCCATACTAGCACTACTTAGATTACTTCCAGACCGCACGTGCATAGATATTGGGGTAGATAAGTCAGTTGCTTCGCTGTCACTACGGCGCCGGATATCCATTTTAATCGCGGAGTCCGAAGAGGTCTCCGACAGGCTGCGTCCATCCGCACGATCCCGATCGAACATTTTATCCACGCGACTCAAATCCGTTTCACAAGGAGCACTCACGGTGTGTTTATGAGAAGGCACAAGTCCATGATTATTCGGCGAGAGAAGATCACCACCAGTATGTTCTCCAACGGTTTGTAGTGGTGGTGGAACCCGATCGACATTAGAATGCGCTCTTCTTTTACTCTCAAATCTCTCGTATGGAGCCATTTTCTCGCGGAAACTACCGCCTGTGAAATTTCCCTCACTGAAATTCCTTTTATGCGTCAGTTTTGACTCCCTGTTTGTCAGCATATTGATGTCAAAGCCAGACTCGGCGAAAAGCCGTTCCATTATCCCTCCCGGGGCGGGGAGTTGGATACCATCACTCGGAGGCGTGGCACTTGAAGAGTCCTCTCCTAAGTAGACTCCACTTCTTTCATCATAATGTCCGCGCTCACGTGTCACGATCTTCCTCATCCTTTCAGCGTTTTTGTACCACTGCGATAAAATCCCACCTTCGTTTGAATCATCACGCGATGCTTTGCGGGTAGGCCCCTTGTCCTCTCCTAGGTAAATCCCGCTCAATTTGTCATACGCAGTGGATCCCTCTGTGTCTTTGTTCTCCTCCCCGAGGTATATTCCCCCGGCTCGATCAGTCTCGGTCATAGCGCCGAACGGGTAGCTACTAAACGATGAACCCGAGACCGGAGTGCTCAGCGATTCCCCACGGATATGTCCGAAGGGGATAACCTCCTCCTTGTTTTCGATTGACGTCTCTACGAGTGGCCACGCGTCTTCGCCGATGTGTCGAATACTCTCCCATTCTAAATCATGAAGGATGTCTGTGCCTTCACGAGTTTTGGCGATCAAACCCACGACGTAATAGCACGTTCTGTCAACGAGAGAAAAAGTAGCCTAAGAAAACAGCTGACATTTTTTTAAAATGACTCTTTTAACTGCCTCTTACCCTCAGCAATGCTTCATGTATTAATCAAAGCAAATAAGTTTCTTATTCGAATCTACTCATATTGTCTCAATCACAGGAAGAAGATGAATATGGTAATACTCAATAGTTAGTCAGGTTTTCATTTGTTGGCGTGTTTTTTAACCACTTTCTGGCGGTCTAACTTTTACTTTCTCAAAAACCACCTGATGAACCTACACCATTTTGCCTGGCACTTGAAAACAAAAACAATCATCACAACCAATATATAAAACAAAAGAATCACAGTAATTACGGCTAGGGAAAAAAATACTTTTCCACCATGCTTCTGTCCCGTTAAAGATCAATTATGACGTGAAATTGCGGTAAGAGAATAGCAACAGATTCGACCTGTGACCTACTGGCTGCGCTTTCTCGTTCTTGCCACATTTTGATGTCATTTTGCAGACCGTGGCACAGCAGAATGGAAAACAAACAAAACAAAATCAAACCAAAAAAGGGCGTGGAATTAAGTGTGTTGTATGGAAGAAAAGTGATCTGCCTCTTTCATACAAAATAATGATAATATCTGGATCTGCGTAATTATCGTTTAAAATGTCTAAAAAAAAGCAACATTACGTACCCTCTTATGGTAAAATTTTCACATTCTTCTGCCAGACTTACAATCAATGGAACGATTGCTTCCTCCACAAGAAAGTTGATACCCCAATTAGTAGAGCCGACATGTCCCTGAAAACAAGAGAAACCTTAACCCAACGCAAATTACAATTTTCGATCACCTTAAGATGACTTTCTTTCTGTTGATGGCCACAAACTTTTAGGTGCTTGAGTTTGCTACGTTCGACAAGGTGACTCTAACATTTAGAAGTGTGTTGGATGTGAGGTCATCTCAATGAAAACAGCTGTCAAGCTTAATTCTCCCGTGGTAAAGTTTATTATGCTGTAAAAGGTGATTCTGACTTTTGAGTCTGTGCATGAAATCATAAAGTGTAACCTTTCAAACGAAAGCTAACAAGAAGTACTTGCCTGTGGCTCTACTTATTTCGATGTCCAAATTGATGCTGAATTTTGACCGTTCGGTTTATCCATGAAGTGTGGCAATCCTCAAAACTTCTTCAGATGGCAATATGTCTCTTTTTAGAAAAAAATGTCCGTAACTATTGAATTTCTATAGTACTCACCAAAGCCCATAGAGCGGCCTTGATTTCCAACACGTCTTCTCTTGTTTTAGGCTCGACTGTTTGTAGTGTGCTAACTAACAGTTCGACATCGTTCTAAAGTGGGAAAAGAGGGTATGATTTGAGCTTGAAGGAGCTGCGTCAGGAAAATGAGCCAAATTAGACCTTTTTACCGATACGGCGGCCATATTGAATTAATTCGATTTAAGGAGTGTTATAGAATGCCCAGGGGGGCATGAGCATATTTCGTTTGTATTTTCGAGCGCTTTTCGGTACATTTTTTCGTAAAGTTTTCTTAGAATAAGATTGTAATGGGAAAGAAGATCCTTGTGCCGTGCCGTGGATGTAATAATGATGCCTTTTTCCCAAGAAATATACAGTGAAAGACCATATTTCTAATACTAAACTAGAAAAAGGCGAACATTATTACATCCAAACACGGCACAAGGATCTTTTTTCCCATTAGAATCTTATTCTAAGAATACTTAACGAAAAAATGTCCCGAAAAGCGCTCGAAAATACAAACGAAATGTGCTCATGCCCCCTGGGCATCCTATAACACTCCTTAAATCGAATGAATTCAATATGGCCGCCGTATCGGTAAAAAGGTCTATTCAACCAAATGGGATAGAGTATTTTCACATGACGTCACGGCGGCCATATTGGCGTTCCAAACCAGTACTTGTGGGAGTTGACCTCTTATGTGCACGCTTTCTTTTGTTCATATGATTTTGCATAGATACTGGCCACGTGAGTGAAAACGCTCTATTGGCTAGCAAAATGAGCGAAACCAAAACAACCGCTTAAAGGAAACATGGAACTTACAGTTTTCTGGAGAAGTTTGAATCCACTTTTCTTTTGAACTAACTGGCCGTACAGATGGGGAGGGAGGTAAGCATCCTTTACAACCGTTCTGAAACAAAACGGAGATCAAAAGATTGATCTTCTTACAAAGTTTAAGAAACAACGAGGGCTACAGCCACGAAAACCTCACTTAACAGGTACAGTTGCGCTGCTTCAAACTTTATCGCGCTTATTCCATCTCGTTCAGTTCGTCAAATGTTTGCAATTTTTTCTGGAGTTGAATTCTAAAAGACTGTATCAAAGTTTGGCAAAAGAAAAATAAAGTTGTTGTCTTGTGTTCGCGTTCTCCACAAAACGTGAAATTAGGCATTTTCACGTCGTAGTCGTGCAGTGACGGCAAAGAAATGTACACAAAAGCGTGATGCACGTGCAGAGTTGTTTTTTTGCTAATCTAAACCTATTGCTTTTTCGCCGTTCTCGTTGACGTCGCCGTCGTCGTTGTTTAAGCCTGTTTTTCACTAGCGCACAAGTATAAGCATAAGCACAAGCACTTGTGTAAGCAAGTGAAGACTGGGTCGACATAAGCATAAGCACAGTATATACGAACAAGTTCGTTCTTGTGCTTACGATTATGCTTATGTGGTAGCTTTGACTAGTGAAAACTGGGTTGACATAAGCGCAAGCATAAGCACAAGGCCGTGGACTAATCATAGGTCACTTTGACCCAGACCTCATGCGAACATATCAAAAGCAATATGGCGGACACTTCGTCCACCATCTTGTTTATCATCGGGTTGAGGAGAGCTGGTATCGAGAATTGAGTCAAAAATGCCATTCTGCGCGTACGTATGTCTTTATGTTTATGCTTATGCGTTAGTGAAAACCAGGCTTTGAGCTCCCTATTGCTTCACTTACGAGAAGTGGTAGCCACTGGTTTCCTCATGAAATGACGTCGGAGAAACGAGCGCAGAAATGCCATAATGATGGGCGGTCACTCGTCAGATCTGGGTAAAGCTTCAGATTGGTCGTGGAGAAATTGGTTTCAGCCAATCAGAAGCACTACCCAGATCTGGGTAGTGACACGTCATCAGTAAGGAATTTCTGCAGTCGTTTTCCAGACGTCATTTCGGGGGGAAACCAGAGGTAGCGTCGCCAAATGTCGGCTGTTTTTGAGGCAAGAGTGGTGGTCGATGACGGGGACAGTGATAGATGCTCAAACAACAGATAAGACAAGAAAGACCATATCATTTCAACTTCGATCCTATTTGGGTCTACCGTACCTTTTGTTTGTTCTTCTTATAAAAGTATTCTCGTCTTTTTGTTTGACATATGAGGTCAGGGACTCCGCCAGTAGTTCTTCTACCCAGTGGACGTACGCTTTATTGTAGTGCTTCCAATTAACAAACCAACAAATACACACACTATTTAGGCTTCTGAGAAACAACCCACCTACCCCTCCCCTAAGCCAACATTTTTCCCTAAATGAAACGTGTTAATGTTGGTTTAGGGGAGGGGTAGGTGGGCAATTTCACGGAAAAAAAATATACAATTTCTCGCAAAACGTTTGCATACACAATACCAAGAAAAAAAGTGAAGTTAGCTTTGTGACACCTCACCCCAAACCACTACTTTTTACCCGCGTTTTTGCAAGTCTGCGTAGCCAGCGTTTCCGCGAGAGTTAGTCGGGAAAAAAGGACGAGAGCAAAAATAGGAATGAAGGGTGGGAGCGAGGGGAGAAAAAGAAACAGCGTTTCCTCTATGTTTTTTTGTTCTCCTCCCCCTTTCCTCCATTTTTTTGGTTTACTGACAATTTTTTGTCACGTGATGGACAAATCGACGAACGAGTACCGGGGACTACACCCCGTCCGCGCTAATATTCAGCGTCCAATCATTCGTTCGCTACAAAATGAAGTGAAGAGTATGCTACTCAGGTCAATTCACTTCAAGTACCAGAAGGACTAACAAACCATTAAACTGAACGTTTTTCAAGTGGGTCAATCGTGACATTTTCGTGACTTTTATGACTTAAATGAAGAGTTGTTACGTTCCTATCATTAAAATATCGCTCCTTGCGTTCCTAATTTTGTGGCACAAAATCGAGAAAGGCGACCATTTTCTCGCGGGCGCAATTTTACCTCGCTTCCAGGGAAGCTACCTGCCTCATTTTAATGTTAAAATCATGACGTATCATACATGTTCTCCGTTGCCTCAAAACCTCGTGATATCACGCACGAATTGAAATCTAGACTGCACTTTAGAGATTTGTGACAAATACGAATTTACTTATGCTTACTAATGACGCGATTTTAATGCTACGGACTCGTTATCACTACCCCATAATATACAACCTTAAGGACCAGAGGAACACAATAACAATTTTAACTTCTAGTTTCCTGTCTGTGCGAGTCTCCCAGAAGGCTAAGCCAGTCTCGCAAAAGGCTACAAAGTTCTAAGTAAGGGTCACAGAAAACCATAGCCTGCGCAGAAGGCGCTGGAAAAGGTTCGGGCGGGCGGGCCCAAAATCCCCTTGGCCTACCATACGCGCCTTCTAGTCTGGAAAAAATAAATATAAAATTAGTACCATTCTCCATTGATCCATAAGGGGAATCAGATAGTTTCGATAATTGAGATATTTCAGCCCACTTTCCACAGAGAGGAACCTAAAACGCAAAAAATGTAACTGTTACAAAGGCCGCTGAAATCAAGGAATAGGAAATATTCGTGTAACTTGTCATCCATTGATGCTGTGTTGCAAACTAAGATTCAGGGAACGTTTCTTTGTCTTTCACTCACACACATAGTCTCCTACAAAGCCCTTTTCTCCTTCGTCACGCAACGCCACTCCTTATGTGGATGAGCGTTGCGTGACGAAGAATAAGATGTGATCTCATCTTTCAAGCTGAGATAACGAGATCGCTAAGGTTCGCTAACTCAAACGACAATTTTAAAAGCAAACTAACCAGTTACCAGATGTTGAAATGAAGACGATCACAATAAAAACAGTGAAAGAATATTGTAGGCCAAAAAATTTCAAACCAAAGGGTTCAAAAATTTTCAAATGCCTTGGCTCCCATTCTTTAAAAAGGGCTCTCTACAATTTCAGAGGCGAGGGTGGGGGGTGACCCTCACTGGCCAAGTCTGAATATACCCTGCATGATGACAAGGCAAATTTCAGTTACATCTCTTAAAACTCACCTTGTCAAAAGACGAATACCTTTATCGCCCAGATGAAGTAGCACAGGACTTAGCTCTACTAGGTACTGGAGATTTGCCTGTTAAAAAGACATCATAATAGATCTGACCCCAGTAGTCTAAAACGTGTAGAGCGCTATCCACCAGATAAATTACTTTCAAGTGAATATGTATTAGGGAAACCTTTATCTCAGTGTATCTTACGTTATCTCAGTGATTTTGTTACAAATAGTGACGGTGAGTCCTAGGACTTATCTCGTGAACAAATCATGAGTCCCAGTTCAACAAACAACAATTCTTAAATTGAAAATGCTTGGGCCTTTATGTGACCAGACAGATAAAAGATATTCTAATTTTTAGACTTTTGTAAAGCACAACGAAGACTAAAAAAATATATACGTCGTTAAACTACAGCCACAAGAACTGCAGACGAACAGGATATTCTAAAAGACAACTTCAGATCGATCGATCGATCTTTGTGTCCTGTGAGACACATGCCATGAACTTTTGTGCCTCCTTGGGAATTTTTATGCGGCAGGGACGCAGGACGCAGAGGTAACAAAATCAATGTATCTAAACGATAGTAGGGACCTTAAGCAACGACCACGACGACGGCATTGAAAACGTCTCTAAAAATGAATCTGCTAACCTGAGATCAGGCCCAATTTTAGCGGTTCTCATACATTCTCTCTAACGGCTACCGCTAAAATTTTCGTTTCGCCTTGCCCGCCGGAATGTTATTTACAAAGCGAAACGAAAATTGAGCCTGATCTCAGGTTATGAATCTGCATCCTTTCAAACTTCATCGCGTCTACTTGGACCCGCTCAATTTGTCAAATATTGGTGAACTTTCTTGGAGTTGAATTCTTAATATTTTATCCTGGTTCAAAACGAGAAAGGACCAGTGATCATTATTTTAAATCATGATTTTCAGCACCAGGCTTCTATCGTGAATAAGGTGATCTGTTTCATTTCGGTCGCTGCAACTCTCCTACAAATCGTTCTTATGGCCTTTTTTATCCTTATTTTTGACCATTATTCATTAATTAATTGCCATTAAATTGTAATAAATTGTGTCCAGCTTACTTCATCCTCGCAAGCCTCGTCAAGCACGTCAGCGGCTTCCATGGCAACGTCACTGTCAGTGTCATAAAGCTGTAAAAAACGAAAAAGTAATGCTTTTGTTACCTCGCAGAAACGTATCGATAATAAACAATCAACTGTAAATTCGAAAACAGCCGTCATTTGCACACCTTCCATCTTTAAACGTCTTATACCTAAACAGCTTAATCTTAATTGTAAATCCATTATGACACTTGGATTACACATAGACTGAACTATATTATGATTCCGCGATCGGAATTATGAATATTTTGTGGTCTGGGATTTCCTTAATTTTCAGCGATCGGAGTAATCACACGGAAACCAGCCTTACCGTCAAGCAAAAGAACAAAACAAACAAAACAGAAAGTAGCGTGACACATAATGGTATTACCTGTGTAACAAGTAGCTCAATGCCCCAGCTATGAAAGAAGAGGACACGCGCCCGTAATAGAACTCGCATATGACTGGTAGCATACAGTCGAGTGGCCTGCAAGGAGACAATGATAGCAGTAATACAGTATTACAAACTGATATTTTGTTTGACTTATTTTACCTATCAACTAGACTGCAAAACAGTCGGTTTTTTTTTCTCAAAATCGGTTGTGGCGTAGCGTAAGAATAGCGTAAGAGTCTCACGCGCGCGAAGCTCGCGAGTCTCGGCGCGCATTTTTAGCGTCTCTCCCCAGTCTCGCTCTCTGTTTTCAGACTCGCTTCAGACTTCTTGTTTGACTGTTCGCGCGTAATTGAATAGGCAAAAATACGGACTGTTCTGCAGTCTACCTATCAACTTAGTGGTGCAAACTTATTACTGGCAACGCCAGTGGGAAACTGACTTCGCGTCCTTTCAAACCTTTTCTGGATTATTCCAACTCGTTAAGTCTGTAAAAATTCAGGAAAATAAGCTGGAGCTGAAGACAAGGAACGGCGTCCGAGCATAGAGAGATACGGTAAAATTAAACGCCTTGGCGTTAATGTTCTCAACTGAACAAAAACTTTGGTCATTTCAGGTCGTAGTTGTGCAGGACGGCAGGGAAATGTAGAGATTAGCGTGATGCACGCACAGAGTAATTGTTTTGCTCACTAAAACTATCACGTTTTTGACCTCCGCTGGTTTGGCTTGGGTGCGCAAACAAGCTAAGTGCCGGGTGGAGTGCGAGAGCGGCGAAGCTCGCGGTCTGGCGGCTCGTTCGCGCGCTCTTTCCTGGCTTCGCCACTTACGCGCGTGCGACCTCGGTATTTCTCTTTTTGCTCCCCTCGCCCCCCTCCCCCCCGCCCCCCCAAAAAAAACCGGCACCTGCTACACAGGCTACAGCTTTGCAGGCGATTACGGCAATTAGATGAACTCGAGCACGGCAGAACCAAGCACGGCAGATCTTGTAGGAGCATACCTGAGGCCAGGTGTGGGATTTGCGTGAATTTAGTCAAATTTCTGATTGGTCGAGAAAGTGGCATTAATTTTTTTTTTTTACCAATCTTAAAGCTCGACTTGGCAAAACCGTCTCTGTCAGCAGTTATCATTCACTCAACCCATGATTAATGTAAAAAGTACACAGGACAGATCACTAAACGTAGTGGTTTTAAAATAAGAGGAAGCAAAAAGCACTGGGACAAGAAAATTAATACATAGTAAATACCGGACTGGAAGCCGTCAGGATCTTTGATAAAATAATCCTGGGAATTCCACTGTGGCTGTAATCCAGGCTGGCTACGATCAGCTTCTGAAGGCTGTCACGTGACGGCAAGGAACAAAGTTCAAGCAAACTAGGAAACAAGAAAATAGAGCCGCCTGTGTCATTGACTGACAAATCATCTTTCTGGAGAAAAGGAAATTTAAGATAACTGTAGCACGTTGTCTTAAGGGCTAGGCGAGGTCACCTGACAAAACTGTTTTCCCGCCAAAACTTATGGATTGGAGCGGCTCCGCTCAAAAAGTTTTGGCGGGAAACATGAAGTTAGACAGTAACAAAGCATTAATTATTCCCGAGAAACGGAAATGCGTGGATGCACTAAGTTAGGCTTTCTTTGTAAAACATTACTGCGATCAAATTTAACGATTGAACTATTGTAGCGATCATACTGACACAAGGGTACAGTAGAAATGAAGAGTCAATGAAGTCTATCCAATGGGCAACACTGATCGCTTGATTACAGAGCTGTTTGCATTCACTCACTGTGATCGCTGAATTGTCTGATCGCCAAATCGATCCTAGCGATCTTTATTGGTCAAGTGGCCCTAACTGAATTCGAATTTGTCGCTCGCGAGATATAGTCGCGCGAGATGTGCTCTCAATCTTAAACAAATTGTGATATTTATGAAGATATGTAATTTCCATTTTATTCACTTTTCAAAATCCTTGTACATAATTTTAAAGTTATTTTTAATTTTTATCGTGTAGTTGTAATTTACGCAGGGCCTCTTTTGATACCAGTCAATGGCTGATAGGGCTACCCTGCCTAAATAAAGTTGACTTGACTGGATGTTTCCCCTGAACGAGTAATTAAAATTAATCCCTCTGGAAAAAAAAGCATTAACTGTTAAAGGTTATACCAGAAAAGAGCATAGTTTTTTTTACCAAGATGATCTAACCCTAAACGGAAAACATGAGATTAAACGGCGCACTCACTATTGATATATTCCAGTTCTCTCGAGCAGTTTTGAGCCACCTTTTGTGCACGCCACTTTACCAAGGAACAAAAAATAATCTCTGCTAAGCGTGCTCAGGACATTGTTGTTACTAAGGACACCAGTTGTGATGCTAGGAGACAAAGCCTGGGGATGACAGGTTATAAATAATTATTTCATTTATCTCGACAATTTTAATGTGGCTAAATTGTAATTAAGGCAAGGTTAACCTCGAGACAACGCTAGCAGGTCAGCGGTTGAGTCACAGGCAGGCAGGCTTGTGTGGGGTGGCCGCCTGGTCTGCAGGGGCTGATATGTGATTGCATCTCTCAGGTCTGCTTTGCTTTACTGATCTTTGCGGATCATTGCTATTCATAGCTTGTGATATCTGCTGGCATTGCTCCCACTCATCCCACCCCCGGATAGGTAAGTATGGGTTGTAGTAAGTATTCCACTGAACTCTTTCAATGAACGGTGCCGGCTGGTTGGCGCTCGCTTGGTTGCCATGGTTACCTGGAAGGCACTGCTCCCCTTTCGCGCTATAGGCCCTTCCACCTTTAAGGCACCGACTCCCAATCTCATCTTGTCGATGAGATTAATTAGTCAAAATCTCTCTAATAAATAGCTTAAACAAAAAACGACTGAAAGGTAAGTTGCAAACGGGGCCTAAAGTGATAGTCCCATACAGAGCACCTCCCAACTACATCAGGCACGTCCCGTTTGTCTGGTATAATTCCGAAAGGGAATAATTTTTTTGTATGTGAGGGCAATTTCCACATATAAGCCCAAACGGGTTGTATTTGGGAATTAGGCGGGGGTGGGGGATGGGGGCAATTTTTAGAATGCAACGGTAGGTCCGAATCTTGCCCGCTCGAATAGCCAATCAGAACACAGGATTCGCCATATTTGCCCTTTCGTGGAATATGGCATTTAAAAGGGCAGTAACTATTATAAGCTGAGTTATGACCGCGAATTAAATTGCAAGACATTAAAAAGAAAGCGTTCAACTAACGTCAATAATCTAAAAGCGCTTTAATAAATACATTTTGCTTGGTAAATTTTCAGGCAGCCGACATTTAAAATAAGAACTGTTACCTTAGAATGTTGAAGTAGAACCTACAGTAAGAGATGAAAAGCACAAATAATCAATTATGTTAGAATTAGTACAAGTTATCACAAGGCGTCGTTAGAAGACAACGTTATTTTTTGAATTCTCATCAGTTATCTCCTTGGCTTATATAACAAAGTTTAACACATTAAAAAGTTTAACATATTAAACTACCATGATTTATCGCCATGTTAAAAGAGAACTTCAAACGCTTATTATATCATTAGCAGATCATCAATTAAGCGGCTTGCAAGAGCTTTACACTTTCGGCTCCAGTTTGCCACCTTAGAAACGAGAAGGGATTGGAACCGAAATGCGTCTCGCTAATGTTTCTGGGATCGTGACTGGGGACGCGCCGGTCAGCTATTGGCCAAATGTTTTCCCCTGTCCCTAGTAACAATCCCAGAAGTCTTTGCAAAAGTAAACTTGGCCCAGCTACCTTCTCGTTTCTAAAGTTGCGAATTTTGTAAACATAGGTTACCTCTTGCAGGCATTCACCAATATCAACCACCAGTTCTTGAAGCATTAGTCCCTCTGTAAGCTGTTAAAGAAAATATGCAGTCAGTAGGATACAAATAAAGCAATTTATCATTCATTCAAAATATTTTGCCGTTTCTGATTGGCTCCTATCCCCTGGCTAATTCTTCGACCATATTTGGAAGAAGCGAGCAAAATATCATCGATTCGATGGTATATTTGATTGGAAACGAGGCTACTTGGGCAATAATGAACAAAAACAATGGCGTTCTCAGCTATTCGAGGACGAAATAGCTGAATTTCTGACTTCAAGTGAATGGACGCAAAGCAAGAATACGCAAAACATATTCCTGGACGGATGTTATCTTTTTTTTGAGGAGTAGCTGCAAGGTAAAACATCTGTTTATATCCTGAAACCATGCCGAGAAATAGGCTTAAGGTTTGTGTTTTGAAGAAAGTCTACGAGGAGGTAAGCATGTTAAGAACTTAGAAATATTTTGAATGAATAATAAAACAATTATTGAATTCGGCTTTCGTATGATGTGAAGAATTATGAGGATCTCGGAGGATGTTATCCACCGAGGCCGATATCCTCCTCAATCTGCAGAATTCCTCACAACCTAATCAACTTCATTCAATAGCCTCGCCAACAGTTACATGAAAAAGGTCACGCCATGTTAAGCCCAAAAGCAATTTTATAATCACAGGAGCCACGAAAAGCTAGCCGGTATTGTATGAACAGCAACGAACCAGGACCAGCGCAAGTCGATCACACACATCGAACGCCGTGCCGGCGCGGTTAGCCGAGAAGGTTTGATGCTCTAAATTCCAGTTCTCACTCCTGGATATTTACTTCCGTCTCAGTGGGCTCCAGTCCTCGCTCCTACTTTTTTACTTCCGAAACGGGCCGAATTGGTGTTCACTCTGCACCAAAGTATGGTACGAAACCTATCCGAAATATGACGCTCCACTTTCAAGATCGGCGAAAAGCGGCATCGCGCCGCCACGACGGTTCTTGTGTGTTAACGGAAGTCCTATCCGGTATGATTTCCGTGGCGGCGCAAACTTTATTAGCCTGCGAAAACATCCGTTTCTCCTCGCTCTTCGCCGCTGTGGACGTTTCGCAGTGAACGTTTCGCGCGAAACGTCCCCAGCGGCGAAGAGCGAGGAGAAACGGATGTTTTCGCAGGCTAAAACGTTATCTGGTATGGTTTGAACATAACCTAACAATGACTCTTACGTCTTCATTTTCAATGAGGAAATCTACAAGCAGGCATCCGACTTCAGAGAATGTTTTGGCTTGCGGGTCTGATATGTGAACAACGCAGAATCGCTGACTGCTGGGCTTATAGAAGTACAGAAGGTTACGGACGAACCTGCAAGGAAATCATCAAAATAGCAAGCTGTTTTTAGTCTGCCATGAGCAGGAAATCCCAGGGCACGTTTAAAAAACCAAATAAAGAATCTCAGAACACCATGGGAGTTGAATCGATACCATACTACATACACTGACTTAACTTCTTTAAAGGGCTTACGTCAGGAGGATCATATTGCTGTTTTGGTCAATAATGTGCTGAAGTCATTACTTCAGTACTAACTTCAGCCACATCCAAAATGTTCATGTCGCGTTATGAGGAAGACACCAAACAAATGTTATTAGGGAGTACTGGTCATAATATTTTTTGCTGATTTTTGCGGACATGGCATTAAAACTTGAAACGGTTGGCCCAATTTTTAAAAGTTTCAATCCATGTCCATGTCCGCAGCAACAAACAGCAAGAAACAGTTTCAATGTTTGAATACAGTCTTAAATAATAAACATGGACCATCATTTTTGGAATGAAATTAATGCAAAGACTCGTTTTAAGTTGTTAAAAAACACGAATGAATAACAATTTTTACACCTTTTTTTTTCACCAATAGTGTAACCATTCAAATGAAACCTCTTCAGCTGTACTTCCACATGGTAATTTTTTTTTAGCACGAAGTGCCAACTTTCAAGTCTATGGATAAATTCCTATGGTGTAGCCATTTAAATCAAACCACTTCAGCGGTACTCTCACATGGTACTATTTATTTTTCATCATTTTACAAAACCTAAAACTCTAATTTGGCCTTGGAGTAAAAGGCTTCTTATCAATTATTTGCCAAAGAGAACTTACTTCAGGTTGGAAGTTTCTTCCAGTTTTCTCATGGTAATAGATGGAGACTGTTAAAAAAAAAACAAGAAAAATAAAATCATTCTTAATCAATAGCGTTGACTTTATACAAAAAGTTGTACATCACTCATCTAGGTTGTTGAGAAGAAAAGGTTCAAAGACTGCCTCAAAGAGCCCCTCAAAGACCTGCACATCAACTACAAGACTTGGGAGTCGCTTACCCAGAACCACACCCAGCATGGCGTAGCAAAGTCATCACTGAGGCCCGTGCGACAGAAAACCGACGAACCGCAAATGCGCAGAGGAAAGGCGCCTTGCGCATAGCCAAGCAGTCTCCACCTGCACTGCAGCTTTCACACACTCATGCCCCATGTGTGGGTCAGTCTTCTGGGCTCGGATTGGCCTCACAAGCCATCTTCAGACCCAACACCGCTAGTCTTCTGTCTAAAATCATGGTCATCTTCGACTTTTTAAGGACGAACAACAACAATCACATACCTGTCGATTTTTTAACGGGTTATTGTTCGTAACGTTTTGTGCCTCAAAGTCAACGCAAGGGTTCCTCGATCCCGTTATTACGACCGAAACTTTCGCTATATCCCGTAATCTCGATTGTCATTTTCGGCATCCCGCATCCCGTGCCCATTTTGCTTTAAAATACCAAATCCTGGCTGTGAGATAAGGCAAATCCCGCGGATGCTCAGGCTTGAACGGCCGGGATTTGATCCTACCACCTCCGTGATACCGCTGCAACGCTCTACCAATTGAGCTAACAGGCTAACTGGGAGTTGGTCACTTTGATAGTTCGTTTGTTGAGCGTTTTCCCACGACGTCACGGCGGCCATATTGGTATTTCAAAACAATAAAAGGGCCAATCCTATGTTTGAACTCTTTTCTTCTTTTGCTCCAATAAATTTCCATTGATGCTGGCCACGTGAGTTAAAACGCTCTTTATCCGTATGAGATGAAGAGATGAAAGTGAATTTATGGAACTTCATACATTCTCTTTCAAAATAAGATTAATTTACGCGTAAGTGAAACTAATATTACCTGAAGAGTTGACCCGATAAGATCCCAATCCCAGTTCCTGAAATCTCTTTCCATCATCACCTTGCAAAGAACAAAAACATGAAACATTAATGGCCTCCATCGCTGTGCTTTGTGTAAAGGGGTAAAAGGTCGAAACGCGCGAGATCAAATTGCGTTTTGTGCATTCCATTCATTCTTAGTGGAAGTCCAAACAAATGCTGGTCACATAAAAGCGACGCATGCGTAATATCAACCTGGAGACTTAAGATTGCGGGCTCCTCTTGTCGCCCGCACTAACCCCAAGACCATGAAGATTGAGACACACTAGGCGACAAGTTGCCCCGATACGTCTCTGCAACAAGCCACTCGGTGTGCATACGTCGGACGGCAACTCCCGGTGAAACGATGCGGAGCAGGTTGCAGTGACATTTAACTTCGTGTGACAGGGAGAATTTTTGTGCCTAAATCTTTGTTCCGCAGCAGAATTTGGGCGACTTGTCGAAAGGAAGAAATTCTGTCTGATCACAGGAAAAGAAACGCAAATTTCTACCAGCATTTCAACAAAATCCTCAAGCCGCATACACCCTAAAATCAGAGTTCGACCAGAGTTTGTCTGTTGGCTAGGTGCAAATTACTTCCATTACGACCGATCAAGAATAACTGATGAGTGGTAGGTTTTTGTAATGCCTTTAAAAATCCTAGTATGTAATCATCCAGCTAAAAGCTCGGAAGAAGAGCAATCTCATTATGTTGCTGGTTTTTTTGACAAATAAAAACAATCAGGAAAAATAATTTAAAGTTTTAGCTTTATAGGAGGTAAGAGACAGAGCCCCCTTCCCACGATCCACTGGTAATGTTGGGTTGCCTGTTGCTGCCGCAGGCCTCCTAAGCAGCGATACAATAAAAGAGGGCGGTACCACCGAAAAATTGCTTTGGACTATTTTTGATGAAAGTATTAATCATTATCATACATGTGCTTTAGTCAAAAAAGTATCAACTAATTTGTCAAAGTGTAAAATATGAATAATTTACTTTTTTAACAGGCCACTTCTGAGTTGCCTCAAGCTTCTGTTTCAAAGCGAGGCTAAGTGCGAAGCCATTGATATGAAAATCATTTTCCATTCTCATGCAAATAAAAGTCATTTTCACAAAGGTTTGGCACTTCGCCTCGTTTTGAAATTGAGAGGTTTTGGAACTCGGAAAGGGCCAATGAAATGGCCTATTCAGTTACCTGTGTGTCCCGCAGAGTAGCAAAAATGGGATCATCAATCTCCTAGAAAAAGACATCAGGTACGATAAAGTCGTTCAGTTAAACACCACGAAAGACTTTTATGATTTCCTTAGTCTTAAGACCACCTACTTTATTACTAAAAGAGAGGAACTCAATTTTTTATCAGCTTTACAAGCCTGTGTTCTTATTAAGGCAAGAATACAAATAAATAATTAAAAAAGGGTGCTGAAGCGACGGTATACTTTTCACTTAAGTTATGACCAAATTACTGAAGTTTGTTCGTGTTAGTGGATAAAACCTTCGAGACTCTTTCTAACTGATAGGTAGTCAACCAGATCTCTTAATTATTACTGTGACTTACTGTAACAAATGTTTACCGGCTCTTGATGCCAACAAATTATTTGCTTAGGTTTCGAAGAGCCTCCCTGGTTGATTTGATTCTTAGCCATTGTGACAAGTTAAGGCGTTAACGATTACTGTCGCTTATCTAAAAGCATGCACTTTCATCATCAGTTATTGACACTAAAAGTACTCACTTTACTAAGGCAGGCTGTAAGTCGATCCCTGTGAAGCTTGTCTGGTTTGACTTTTGGTTCCAACGTGTGAGCCTAAAGCATGAAGTCCAAAATCATTTTAAAAGATGTTCAACTACACCAGCTCTACGCCAATGCGACAGGCAACTTCTCAGTTTAGTATACATGGAAATGAAACTTTTTTCACTAGATAGGGCTTTTAGACCTTCGCGAAAATTTGTTAGAGGAAAGGGGAGACGAGTACAGAAGTGTTCAGAATGCTTGTCTAAGGTTTGCACAGTATCTTGAAGTTCCGATTACCCCAACATCGACTGTCGACCAACTGCTGGCCAACAGTCCACTCCGCCGACATCTGGGTGAAGGTCGGCCGACAAACGGCCAACAGTTTAATGACCAGTTTGCTCGGTAGCACAATTGGTTAGAGTGCTGCACCGGTATCGCAGAGGTCTGAGTTCGAATCCCGGCAAGCCTGTATTGTTTCAGGCCTTCCTTACGCAACTGCATAAGCTGTTGGTGACCGTCTTTGCGTTTATTTAGTAGGTGAACAGTCGGCCGACAATTGAACGACAAACAGCTGACAATTGCCAATGGTTTTAAGCCTACTTGACTTAAAGGCAGGGCAAATTCTGAACATCACCTTGGAAGTAATAAGGGTGAGATATAGGCTGCATGGAACAAGGCCTCGTTTCTTGGTCTGATGAAGTCGGTCCAAGCAGTTAACAGCTATACTGGCACGACTAAAAAGTTAATAAAAAAAAATAATGTCATCAATACAATTTGACAACACGTTACCATAAAAACTAAACTCCCTTTGACCATTGTTTGGTAGGCTATCCCTAAGCATTACTCCTGAATATTACGTTTCTTGGAAACGCTGAGGTGAATAAGGAGACAAGAAATTACTGGTTAAATTTGGCTTTTGTTGTTTACTGTTTTGTTTACTTTTTTCTTATTGCTTTTCCTTGAGCGTTTTTGCTTTGTTTTGTTTTTCACGTATCTCTTCCCTTTTTCAACGTGAATGTTACACTTGATCACGTTGCAAGTAGCACAATGTTCCGTGATTGTTGCTGGTGGATGTGACTGTTTGAACTCGGTGGTGACCCAGGATGGACGGTTCCACTATACAATGAACTTCAATAACCTCTACCCAAAAAGCAGTCTGTACAGCAGGCGCTATTCTTAGGAGCGCTTACATGAATAACACGAAAGAGTAGCGCCTTTTTTGATAACTGTAGATGATATTATTCCCTACTCGCAAGAGGTCTCCCATGGCAAGAGCAAAATGATAGGAAAAAGAGAGACCTATGCAAGCCTCCGATGCCTTTTCTTTCTATCACGCATGCACTGGCAATTCCTTAACAATCGGTAACGTTTTAGTCACCTGGGACGCAACTTACAGAACCGGTTTGCGCGATAACAACTGTGGGCTCAGAAATTTCCAGCGTGCAGCCTCAACAGGGCACGCGCATTCCACATTAAGCGAAACCGGCTTTGAAAACCAGTACGTTTCGGCCACAAATGTGGTCGACAGCTACAAGAAAGAACGCGTAGGAGGTCGGAAGAGGTCTCTCTCTTTTCTTTCCTTCTTCTCTTCCCGTGAGAGCCCTCTGCTAGCAGAGGGCTAGCAAAGGGCTTTTTTGTTTTCCTCTAAAAATGGCTCGACTGAGGTTTAAGTGTCCGAAAAAATATTCTCACCTTCTTTCCTCGCTTGTGACCTCAAACAAAGACGCTGTGTTTACCAGCATGGGAACACAGTGTGTATGGCTACTACACTCTGGGGGGAGAAGTGTGTTAGCCTGAATTGAACGAAAAACGAAAGAAAAAAATTACTAACAGTTATTCGACGAGGTTTAGCAAAATATCGTGTTTTGTAAGTGGCGAGCAGATCAATTATTTGATCTGCGCGAGACACTGACGAATCACGATATTTTACAATAACCGAGTTCAAGAATTGTTTTAACATTCAGTCACCAAGTTTGTTTTTTGATAAATATCTTCGGGAAGCTGCCATTTTCACGCAATAGCGAGGCGAGCGCAAGAAGGAGAAAAGCGTGCTTTTATTTAGTATCAATTACGCATGAGCAGAATATTATTTGCATCCAAACACTTAAATCCAAACACAGTTGGACGACATTATGCATGAGCAGACCAACATTTGTAGGCAGTTATTTGCAGGTCACGTGGTGGGCTCTCGGCCAATGTAAAGGAAGAAAAATGTGCATCGAATGCTAATAAGTGATCACTCAAATTATTGTGACTATTGTGATTATTGTGACAGACCACTTCCCAGTATTATTTTGTTACGTTGAGAATAAGAATTCTTGTAAAACAGCCAAGAAACAGAACTAAAAATGGTATTTCGCCTTTAGGTGATCTAAGGTCACACGGTTCCGCACGAATTTTCGACTGGTTCGGGCAAAAATTTAACCGGCGCAATGCGAACACTACGACCGTCTAAATTTTTGTACCGCAAAGGTAAAACCTCTGACAAAAGTTAAAATTCAACCTGCTTCACCAGTTCCGTGTAAATAGAACGAATATATTGGACGGTTCCGTGTGAACGAAGAATCCGGTCAAACTTTCAGCCGGTCTCCTTAATGAAGTATAAATTTTTATAATCATTATTATATTTTTACAAACCAAGTGCAGCAGTTCCCCTAAAAGAATGGTGGCTCTGACTGAAATGAACGGGTCGGATGACGTTATGACCTCTACAAGGCTCTGTAACAAAAACAAACAATCAAACTACAGTATTAATACATAGATTTAGTCAAGTCCAAGAGTAAAGCTCTCCTGGGATCCTATAAAAAAAAGTCTTTGTGCTGCAGCAATTCAACATTTGCCATAAGCAAGTATCTAACTGAATTCCACATTAAAAAATGGACCTGAGCCTAAGATCCATTAAAAACTGGTCAGCGGAGAACTTGAGTTAATGAATGAGTTGTACACCTGAGCCCGTGATACAGTCAGGTGACACTGGTCAGCGCATACCCTTTTTTGACAGCTGTCAATTGAGCATTACATGGATGTCCAATATCAAGTTTAACACAGACTGTATATACCTTGCACTCCACGTTAGTAAATGTCCGCTAACATAAAGACGTGGACGTGCGCACGGAAGGACACATGGACGATTTCGTTACAACCAAAATTGTTTGGAGGCTGTGCGAGCCCCGCTAAAAACAAGCTCTTTTACAAGTTAAAACTAAAGTTCACAACCAAGAGTGACAACTGCCGATTTTACCGCACAAAATTTGCCAACATAAGACAGAGTTGGATAAGATCAGTTTGTAGCGTGAAGAAATTTGAGAAAATTTCAGTACTAACCTCAAGCAGTCCAGCATTTATGAAAGCAGCTAAAACCAGGGCTATGTAGTTCTTTGCAAGGTTTGTTCTAACAAAAACAAAATGGGAGGTGAAGCTACTGGATTAGAAGAATGCTTCAGGTTTATGATGAGGACGCTAATGATGATGGTGACAATATGTTGATGCAGTTGATTAGTATGATGCAACGGCGGATCCAGATGTTGAGATAAAGGGGGGGGGCGGTCTCCAAAATTTTTTTCGACCCTTCGGGCCTCTTTTTGGTCGAAAATAAGGGGGACCCGGGCCCCCCGGGCCCCCCGGGCCCGTCCCCTGGATCCGCCACTGTGATGATGATGATGATGATGACCACAGTCAAGATGAGAATGTGGATGATGACGAATGAGAATGAAGAAGACCATGGAAGAATTGGCGAGTGTCCAACGAGATCATAACTGCAGTCGCACATGATCTGCGGACAACATTTTTACATACTAAAGAATTAGATTATCTTTTCATAGAGGAAGAAAACTACATTCACTGCATTTGAATTGTTGAAATGAAATAACATTGTTGCAGTGATGATGATGATGATGAAAGTGGTGGTGGTGGTGGTGGTGATTATGATGATGAGTGAGTGACTGACGTTTCGACAACCTGTGCGGTGGTCATCTTCAGAGTCAAAGTGAGTTGTATCACGTCAGTTGATGGTATCAAACTCTGGTTATTGACCTCACTGGTCAATTAAGTCGCCATGTTCGTCTGTCAGTTAAGCCGTGATATTGTTTGCTATGAAGACTCGAAATGTCATTGGTGCGTTTCGATCTATCTATTGTGACAGTTTAGTGACCGTTTTTTGTAAGTCAAATTGTCGGTTTTCCAGTCATTCTCGTGGTTAGTTTTGCTTGAATCCCTCAATAAGTTGTTTGTACGGTGCCGGGAACTGTTGATTACGATTCAGTGGTGTTTGTTCTACGTTAGTAAACCAGCTTTCTAAAGTGAGTCGCTGATAGTAGTCTGTAGGATTCGTAATAAATGTTGCAGAAGTCCCAGACGATTTGATGTTTCGTCTGTAAATGGTGTTCAGCAACGTGATTGTTGACATTACCATTTCTCGTCGCTCGTTTGTGTTCAGTCAGTCGCGAGCTAAGGTTTCTGTTCTCACCAATTTAAATGGCCCAAAAGTCGCAGAATTTGATGTTGTATGCTGCTCCCTGTCTTTACTCCAGTTTGTCTTTGTCCTTGACATTAGTAAGTAGTCGTAGTAAAGTGGTTATCGTATTGTGTGAAACGCGGATGTTGTATGGTTGTAGTATGCGTGCGATAGCTTCAGCGGTGCCTCTGATGTACGGTCTAGTCGCCGTCGTAACAGGGCCAGAGTTAACGCTGGTTTGAGTGCTGAAATCGGCGTTACTGTGAGCGTTTCGTCTAACAAAGTCCGCGTTGTAGTTGTTTTTACTAAAAACGTTCTTTAGGTAGTCAGTCTCGTCTTGTAGGCTGTCAGGTGAGTCACACAATAGTTGCGCTCGTCTCGTCAAAGTCAATAACTAGAGTTTAATACCATCAACTGACGTAATACAACTCTCTTTGACTCTGAAGATGGCTACCACATAGGAAGTCGAAACGTCAGTCACTGTCAACAACAGGCCTTTTCTGGACTACGATCAAACGGACGATCATGCTCAACCTACTTACAAAGATAGCAGTGATGACAATAACGACAATGAAATTGATGATGAGGAAAATACTGACAGTATTCAACATGATGACAACATGGCATGGATGTGTATGAGGCTAACAATAGTAAGGTTAGCCAAGCCATCCACAGTTACCTTCCAGTGGCACGGTGAGGCAAGAGTGCTTTGCCTTCTTCTGCCACAAATCCTTCAGAGAGTTTCCAGGAATCTTGCATTTGACAAGGGTCTGAAAAAATAAAAAGCCAGAGTTAAGTGGTTTTATCTACGAAGCAGATACCTGCCATAACAGATGTTAACAGCTGCAGGTCCCAGTGGACAGTGTTTGTGTTGGACAAAACCGATGGTACATCTAAATAATGAGTTTGACCAATTTAAGAATATTAAGATGGGTTTTATGTGCCTTACCAACACTAACAAGTGCTTGCTGAAAGTCATCTGTCCAATCAGGTTCCTTAAGCTGGAAAATCTCAAACAATATTTCCATAACCCCTCTCTGTGAAGAGAAAATTTAATGTGAGTAAAAACCACATTATATAAAACTAGTATTTAAATCAGCTGATGCTCACGCCATTGTAATCGCAGCAAAATTTAAGGGCAAAAATTACATATTTTATACCCTGAGAAAATTAAACAAATTTCTCTTGCGAAATGACCAATCAAAAGCACTACCCAGATCTGGGTGGTGACCCTTCATCAGTCTGGAATCTCTGCAGTTGTTGCTCAGACGTCATTTCGCATGGAAACCAGTAGTGGCTTTGCAAAATATCGGCTGTTTCCTAAGGTTACTTTATTGGTTACTTACTCTGACATCAGAGTTTGGCAAACAGAACACGCCCAACAATGACTGGACACCTTTTCCATCTGGCCGACATAAACTGATTATGCCTAATATCACACACAAAAAAAAAACATAGAGCATATTAATTCACTAACAAGGGTTTAATTCCCTGTTTTGTTTACATCAGATTATACAAATCTGACTGAAAAGGCTGTTCAGTAACAATGGGGTTTATTTAATACACTTAATATCTAATTTTGAAAACAATTTTGTTAACAGCTGAATCACTAAATGGAGGCTGGGTGCCTGAAGTATCCGGGGCTTTCACTTTTGGCAGCCAGCCAATAAACTGAACCACCCCCCCTTATGGCTGGTACAACAGCACAACCCATCCATGAGCCCCCACAAAAGAGGGAAAACAAACAGGTGACCTTCACACTGAAAAACATCAGTGGAAAGGGGGGGGAATGGCTAAAAGGAACCCCACGGGATAGACAATGCAGCATAAAGAAAAATCGATCCACTTGATCTGAATCAAGTGAAGGATGTAGCAAACAACTGGGCATAAGCATGCCGGATGACCAAAGACCTTGGGCATTGAAGACCCTCTTACTGGTTAACTCCTTTTAAAGTGCATTTAAATGCATCACAATGCATGTGTGAGATGGTTTGAAATTACTTGCCAGTACCTCCAGAACTCCATTCAGTTAATAAGATCTCACCTGACCAAGATCTGAAAACTGTAACTATAGCCATCTTGCTGGCTTGTAAGCGGTTGTTCCTGTCATCTCTACAGTAAAGGAAAAGAAAAAATTTAATTTACAATTTACCCTGTGATAAATATTATCTATACGTTAAACATGGTCTGATGTTAATTGACTCAGGCAGGTAGGGTAAGCTGTAATATCAAAGATTGAAACCTGTAGAAAAGAGAGTCTAAACTCAAACTTTTTCTCAACCATTAAATGTTCACATTCATTTTTCGGCCAGCTTAGCGTTACAAAAAATGATATAATTATGCACTAACCAATTTCATTGTTACATATTAATTGTTTAGGCTTTAATCACAGGCAGTAAGGCTAAGAGGTCAGATCACTGGGGTTGCAAAAAGAAGACCCAAATTCAACTGCTGCCCTGACCATTAGCTTGACTTGTATCACTGTAGATTGGAGTTTAACTCATTAAAGTGACAACTGTAAATAGCAAAAGATGTGCCTCTGGCCCCAGTTATTCAAAAGGTGGATAGCGCTATTGACCTGACAAATCTTTATCCAATGAATAAGTATTGAACAACTGTGGCCTGGTCAGTTGGGATTCTCACCAAGTTGTTTCATTTGAATTTAAACACGGTATCGATGTTTGATATTTGCTTTGGTTCGCTAGCCTTAATGTTGAGCTAGGGGTAATTTAAGGGTCATTCATTTAAACTATATTGTTTTATGATGTCTCCAATTAGCAAATATAAATGCTTAACCACCTCCAATTCCTGTTACCTTAAATGTGTTTCTGGAGTATCAGGATTATGCCTGTAATGAAGGTCTGTAAAGGGTGCTAAAATGGACTGCAAAATAAACAATTGTTAGCAATGGCTAGGAGTTAATAATAATCATGATCATGATAATAATAATAACCATAATAATAATAATAATAATAATAATAATAATACTGTTTTTATGTGAATAACCGCCCTGGCTGCTTATTAAATTTTTGGTTGAGAGTGGACGATTATCCAATTTTCACCATTTTCAGCAAGTGTACTATGTTTATTTTGCAACAAAACAATAAATAATAAAAACAAAACGTGAAGATGCAACAACGCAAAGTTTCTGTAAAATACTCTGAAGAAAACCTTGTCTTCGTCTCACTCTCTTATTAGAACTTATTCAATTTTTGGGGGGGTGGGAGCGGAAAGGGGGGTGGGGTGGGGCTGGGCACTTATTTGAGGCTGGGCACTTGTTAACTTTTTCTGCCTTTAGGACGGGCAGTTATTCGAGGTGGGCACTAATTCGAGGTTGAGCGCTGATTTGAATAAATATGGTAATAGTTATAACGATAATTATAATAATAATAATATACGTTATGGTTAAGATAATAATGAAAATGAACGTGAAAATGACAGAGACAATAAAAATAAAACAACCAAACAAACATACCTCTAATCCAACATCTGATCGCATGTACAGCCTTGACTCAGGGCTGTTTAACAGGTAAAGTAACGTTGCCATCAGAGACTCGTTAAATCGCGGCAACTGTTGAAAAAGAATGCAGCATAGTTATCACAAACTGTGAAAAAAATTTCTTATCCACCATGACCAACATAAAACATTACACACTTCAGCACCTGAGTATCCAATATGTTCCTTATAATGGTATTGATCCCCCCACAGTAAGATGCTGTCGTAATGTTCTTTACAGCTACAAAGACAGAGAGGAATGATCAGATTAAACAAATGCAATGATTAGCAAATAAAATAATTGGTTTCACATGCATTTGCTACAGATCAAAACAGACATGACATTTTTGGACCTTCCCTTAAAGTTGGAATTCAGCTGAGATTTCATAATTGTTCATCAGAAATAATTGGATTGATTCAGTTGATCAATCATGGATTATAATCAGAACATTTTTTTTAGAATTCCATGTATTTTTCACCTTTTCGCAGGTCAAAGTACATCTAATACAAACTTTTTTCAAAGCTTTTTGACTGTGGACTGTTAAGCTCAGAATTTTTTCTGTGCTTTCAGGTGATCAAAATTAATCCCTTTTCTTCTTTAGTTATGAGACCATTAAGAAGGCAACACACAAGTACATGTAATATTATTTAATTTGTTTAACCCCACAATAATTAATTGAATATTTTCCATAATCAACTATCGCGTATCACTTAAAAATTATGATCAATGGCACAACACCACATGTACCTTCTGTCATTTCTACAGTCACACCAATAGTAAAACATGAGTAAATAATGTTGACAGTTTGGAAGACGTTTTTGCAACAGTATCCTCTAAAGCAGAAGTTTAAAAAGGCTATGGTTAAAGCCGCCTGTGCAAAGCAATCTTTTTTTGCTCAGACAAGCACAGCTTCAAACTTCAGTCTGTCAAGCCAAAACTTGGATAACAATAACAAAACATTTACATTTAATTTAGGTTTACTCGAAGGTAGGAAAATGTTGATTATGAGTTTAAAACAAACGAAAAAAAATTTAACCCAAGGATGCAATTGAGCCTTTCTTTCAAAGTGCAACTAACTAGCTGAATCATACCAAGTTCACAGAGGGTGGCAACACAAGCTCTTCGAAGTCTATCTGCATCATCTCCTTCATCATTACCAACAGAAACAAGAGCAGCACCCATTGACATCGGAAACAACTCAGGGCTAACAGCAATCACCTATTTACAAGAAAAAGAGAATCACATTGAAAACAGAGATAGCTTTTGACAAAGAAATCTACCATAATTATGTGTCTGCAGCCCACTTTGGCTAAAAGACGGAAACCTTTGGGGCCAGTACTAAAAGGTAATAGGTAAAGGTAAAGCAACCATATTTTACGTGCTGTAACTTGTGGCAGTAATAATAACTGATAAACTTGAGGTCGATGGTGGGATCCTTTTACCCCCCTCTCTCCATCGATGCTCCAAGGGTAAGGGTATTTCAAGCCAGTCAAAGCTACACAGTCAGAAAGGAGAGAAGTTGAAACAAGGATGTGATGTCACTGGGGATCGAACTTGGGACCTCACGCACCAAAGGCAGCGCACGTGTCTGTCTAAGAGTGATGTCGATCTTATGGAGAGTCAAGCAAAGGGAGTAAAGAAAGGCAGGGACCTTGGTATCCATCCTACCGAGATGTCTGTCTTATAGCAGTGTCTGTTTACAGAGAGTTGACTATACTTTCCTACTCTGAAAACAACATCTGTGATTTTACATGTCAGTTAAACTCTAGCACAGACCACTCAAAATCTGTATTAAATGGTCGTGCAAAAACAGTCTCCAACACGGAATATTAATCAAGAATAAACAGAGGAAACAAAAAAAATACATATGGGTCTACATTGGGTATCCTGTGGTGAATATAAGGATATTACTCACAAATGAACACTACTTGGTCTTAAAACATTAATTTTCAGCCACTCATGTGATTGTGTCTAAACTCTTTAAAAAATAAATGCCGTTAGAGGGTAAAGTTCAAGTAAAATTTTCTACGTAAATTTTGCAAAAATAAAAAAATTGGATTTTAAAATATGACTCATTGTCCTCAAGAAAAGGAATGGTTACAGACCTTTCTTATGAGCCTCAAGGCCTGAACACGCTCCACCTCAAAAGCGCTATGTACCATATCCATTGACCTAAATTAAAAGCCGACAAAAGAGGCCATGAAAACACTGTATGTGAACCATAAACTCTTGGTAGTTTGGTTGACACCTCCTCAAGGCAGAAAATATTTTCTGCAAAAAAGTGTAATGATTTTCAGCAACACAACAAGTAAAATAGGTCAAGGGGTACAGGAAGGCTAGGGAGGTACCCACTTGACATGTGTCATAAGAAGCAGAAGATTATACCCTCCCCCCCACCCCTCCCTCCCACAAATGGATATGAGACCAGTTATATACACCCCAGCACTATGTCATTTTCTAGACACAGGTGATGAAGAGTTCTAGCCTGTGAGCAAGCTCTCCAAAGGGGAAGAGGATGGGGGAAGCTCTCCTTTCTCTAACCCACCCCCGTACCTTTGGGAGAGCTTGCTTATAGGCTAGATGAGATCTAGAGAAAAGAAGACGTTGCAATTTAAGTTGCAATACAACGTAAAACAATGATTTTGAGTAAATATGTTTATTACCTAACAACAAATATGTCAATCCTGAAGTCCAGCATTTTGGAGAGAGTTTTACTATCGGAAAACAGATGACGGAAGGCTCGTAACCCTGCAGCTCTGACTTCTTTGGCAGTCGAAACAAGGGGCAGCATAAGGCTACAAAAAGAAAAAGAAGTCATTTATTAATATCCAAGCTGTTGTCAGTGATTGAGCAGCGCTGCCATACATCGTGTCTCTTCTTTGCCCGTGGGAGTTGTCTAAATACTGTATGTCAACTGATCATGATACATACCATTTGATGATATCTTCTAGAGAGTATCCCAAATTTACATTCTCACCAACACTTTGAATTAACTGTTGATGAAATTAAAAAATCAAATCATTACACTTTCTTTAAAATTAAACTCTGGTTAAGTCCATCTGCGAAGCAGCACCAAAATTGTTGTTTTGAGTCCCCATCTCTACGCAAGGATTTGAGTACATGCCTTGATTGACCCAAGGCTGTGCTCTAAGGAAAATTGAGGGGAGCCCAGAGCTCTGAACCTGTAAAATCTAGGCTGCTCAGCATATGATTTGTATGAAAAATCTGAGATTTTCTAGTCACCCAAGAGCAAAAGTTAGGTGTCGGGGGCCACTAGGCTCTGCTAGCTTATGGTAATTTATTAAGTCCGTTGCAGGCCCAGAACAAGGATATCACCACTTTTCCCAGCTGTTACTAACCAAGGTTAAATTACATTTACAATGCAGGCTAGAGAAAAACGTGCTAAAGGAATGAAATATCCTGATGATTGTTCTTCAAAAGTTTGCCAGTCTGTAATAATAAATGCAGACTAGCAAACACTGACAGGTTTTTACATGTACTATACATTACCTTGGTAAAATTGTTGACATATCCCATTCGTTTGGCAGTTGACATTTCCTTGCTGGTGATTTGATTCAAGAGATCTTTCATGTTGTCAACAGGATCTGCAAACAGAAAATTATGCATGGCAGTGAGTGTTATACAAAAACAGGCCAGGTCTAACAATGCCACAGAGGACACCATGAATGGACAGTATATATAAAGTCCATGCAGAAACCAAAAGAATACAGCATTGAGCATGTAGTCTTGAAAATGACAGCCACTGGCAATGTTACAGGTCAAAATTATATTCAGTTTAAATTTTTTCAACCTAGATTGATTCCCAATTTTTGTTGTCTCGTAGGCCTAACTCATAAATAATTAGGGCTACGAGACAAGAAAATTGAGAATCAACCTAGGTTAAAAAAATTTAAGCTGAATTTAATTTTAACCTGTAACAGCAACAACTAGCATATTGGCACCCAAAGTGAAAGTACTGGTGAATAGACCCATCTACCTGATTCTCTTTAGTCAAGTAGCACTTAGGTTCAACAAATGTAGAAGGGACATAACGAAGCAAATGCTGAACCTTTTAAATAGGCCTCAAAAGGTAAAAACTAGGTTTTAGCTCACAATTAATGACTTATTTGCATATAAGCTAAACTCTTGAATGAATTAACTGAAATTGATTCTGTGACAATATCATTACATCAAAGTAATACTTGAATAAATAAATTATAGTTCTCCTGCCAGCACAAGTTTGGAATTAGGTGGAGCCAAGCAAAAGCACGAAACATAGAATACTCAGCTTCCTCTTATTTGTTTATATTTCAATGAAAAATTTTCCACGTGACAAGATTTTCACACTAGAATCACACGTGCACAATAATATAACCGCCAGTCAATCAACAACATTGAGAAACGTTTTTCTCAGTTTCTGACACTCTAAGCAGCTGAAAACGCTGAATGATAACGCTTTTGCTCTTTTTAAAAATTATTAGCCGTCATTACAAAGTCTGCGATTTTTTTCCACTACGAAAATTTTCCATGAGGCGAGAATTTGTAATGTCAACAAGCCTGACGACAAACCGGGCTGCAAAGAATTTTTCGCTGCATTGACACTGTTATAAATAGTGCAGTCACGAACTTATTTAATATTCTTAGTCAAAAGACGTCTATTATTATCATAAAAATAACTATAATACGCTTAAGCTGAATAATATTTCAATTATAAGTGCCCTGCAGCTTGAGTAAATGATCAACCATTCTCGAACATGCATACCAATGTGTAATAGGACTAGTCATTTTCACAAATCGTTTGCAAAATGTCCTCGAGAAAGACTTGGTGTTATGTTCTAACAAAACATTGTTCATTTAACATAGGCATGAATGATGTAAAAGTGCAGGAAGAACGTCCCGAAACTTTAGCCTACCTCGGCTGAGATCCAGAGGAGCTGGCTCGTCGAAATTGTCATATCTCCCCCCTGAAAAAAAGTGCATCAAATCAATTTGTGATATAAATAACTGATTAGACTTGAGCCTGATAAACCTACCTGGGCCGGAAAAATTCCGCCTCATGACGAATCGAAATTTGCAGTGAAATATTCACTGCCCACACCTCTCCCAAGTCTCCAAGTTTTTCCGATCGTTTTTTTTTTACGACGCATGAGCGGGTACAAGACGCCCGCTTTCAAACAGCGGCTGCTACCAATCATGATGCGAACGTAACTCAAAATCCCACAAAAGTAACACGACGTTTGGTTTTAGATCTCTAAAATTTCAGCAGACTTGATGTAGATTTCGTTTCATTATGGATCCTATGGAAGAAAACATTTTCCTCGAGGAACATATGAAATTAACGTTCAGTATTATGAATGATCTGCGGAAAAGGAAAGAATTGTGTGACGTAATACTTTGCGTTGGACAGCGACAAATTGATGCGCACAAAGTTGTTCTGGCATCTTTTAGTCCTTATTTTTACGCAATGTTTACAAATGACGTCATTGAAAGCCGTCAAAGCAGGATAACGTTGAAGTCCATGGATCCAAGAAGTGTGGAATTGCTAATCGAGTTCGCATACACTGCTCAAATTAGAATAACAGAAGAAAATGTACAAAACTTGCTTCCCGTGGCCTGTATTTTGCAGATCTCGCCTGTGAAGAAAGCGTGTTGTGACTTTTTGCAGGCGGAACTAGATCCTTCTAACTGTATTGGTATAAAAGATTATGCAGAGATTTATGGTTGTGCCGATCTGGCGAAAGCTGCTGAGAAGTTTATTTTTCGTCACTTTCTAGAAGTGTCTGAGAGCGAGGAATTTGAAATCTTGAACCAGGAGCGGTTAATTGATTTAATTAGTCGTGATGAACTTTTTGTTAAGTCAGAAGATGAGGTGAGGTGTTACTGATAGTTTGCACCACAGATGAAGCTAAACCACTGGTTTAGTTCATCTGCGAGCTGGTGCCGAAATCCTTGTTCTGAGCCCTTGATTGTGTACCAGGAATTGAGTAGGCGCCATGGTTGGCCAGGTAAAGCAGGTATTGTTTGAATGGCCAATCAGGTTGAAGGGAGATTCAAAATGCACTTCCCATCATATCACATACTCCTTGAGTCTGTTGGTGGCCCAGAACAAGAATCTAGCTGCTGCGCCACAGATATTACTAGCTGGGGTGAGATATGTCTGCAATGTAGGCTAAGGACAGGGGGGCTTCCCACCATCCTCCTGATAATTTTAGGAGGAGAGGGTACTTAAGTAACTGACCTATACTGGAATGCAGGAACATGATTTGGGTTTTGACCTCATTTCTGTCTTGAAATGGGTGGCGGGAGGTATGGGGGGGGATTTTGCAATGATTTTGTCTTAAGGCAAGGTGAAGTCTGTGTTCATACCAAGACTGGCCCATCAGGCCAGAGCTTTTCCCAATTCTGAGAGCATCAAGGGATTAGGAATATTTCTACCCCCCTGGATGGTATTTATCAAGAGATTATTCCATTCAGCTAAAATTGCACATTTGCAGTAAGAGGGAAAGAAGAAGCTTTAGATCCCTGGGCATTGACCACTTCTCTATTAGTCACTGCTTTCATACCTGCATAGTTCTCACATTCCACTTCCCTATTCTGAGTCATAGTACTATAAGAGATTTAACATTACAGCTTTGATTTTCATATATTGTACATTATTATCTACAACTTTCAGGTTTTGGCAGCCCTGTTGAGGTGGGTGACATATGATTTAAAAGAAAGAACAAAAGAACTAAAGCATCTTCTGAGTTACATACGAGTACCATTCGTGTCCAGTTCATATCTCAAGTCATTGATCCAGTGTTGTGAAGAAGGACTAAGGTCTCAGTTCAAAGACACACTGATTGAAGCCTTTTCGGTAAGTTAGCTGACTGTATGCTTTACCAAAAGCTTATGCAAAATTTGTACCATCAATCTCAAATGTCCAGTTATGTAAAATTCTAAGGAAAATTGAAAGGAGCTCAGTGCTCTGAATCTGTAAAATCTAGGGTGCCCAGCAAGTGATTTGTATTGATCAAAAAACCAAGATTTTCTAGTTGCGGTAGACTGCAAAACAGTCGGTATTTTTTCTCAAAATCAGTAAGGAAATCGGTAAAGCGTGCGAGCCTCACACGCCCTACGGGCGTGTGATGCGAGAGAATAAAAAAACCGACTGTCCGTTTTCCATACAATGAGTTCGTTCCGACCAGGGGGTTCAAAAATGTCGTCGAGCTGTCAAAAATCTGTTCACAACTCCGCCCTCTTCGTGAATTTGATACACTCTCGGTGACGAGGGAGAATAGCGCGTGTTATTGTCTGCACTTGGCTTCGAATCTTGACGCTGTAATCCAGTAATTCTAAAGCAGTTTTTAGCGTTGCTTCTCCGTGAAATGTAGTGTATATAGTGAAATGTAGTATATACGTTACCAAAGTGGGCCGACCTACTGAAAAACGAACTTTTCGTTGTCCTCGAGGAAGGAGAATCGTTCTCCACAACAGTTTGCTCTCCGTGCGGAACAAAGCTTAGAAACTGCCCCGGGAAACTGCACGGCGATGCTTTCGCAAATTAGAGAAGAACTGAACACGCCAACTGACAATGAAAAATTATTGCGATTGAAAAGAATGAGTAAATCCCCTCATTCCAATTCACATCTTGGTGATTTAGCTCTGTAAATCACTATCTGTTTGAATTTAAAATCCTGCTAAAAACGCTAACGAGCTGGGCCCAGCGTGACAAAACATTGCAGGAAAAAGTCAAATACACGGACACAAAGAAAATCGCTTAAAATTATTCAAATAAAGGAGACACTTTGGAGAAATAAAACAACCTAAAACCCTCAATCAGCCGCAGTGAAGAGCTTTACGTTTCTAAAGGAGCCAAGAAAAAAAATGTTCTTGCATCAGAGGGCAAATCATGCCGACCAGAGAAAATTAATATGCGTGTCACGACCTCTCAGTATGAAATATATTTAATAAGGGGCCAAAATTCACATTTACTCAGTCAAAACGTTTTCCTCCAAAGCATAATCTACTCTCGACAGAGAAAACAATTCATTGGAACAAGCGGCGTGTTTGCATGAGGTAAAAGTCGTGTGATTCCTACCGATCCCCCTTTTTTAGCCAGGCGAGATAACAATGACGGTCGGCTGTTGCACGGAACCTGAAGAACTCTTTGCATGAACAAACATCTGATATATAAGGCTTTTGTCAAATCCTGTTAGTAGAACACAGAAATCATCCTTTCCCCTGAGCAGCAACTCCAAAGCTTCCCTCAGCTCCGATTTTAAAACAAATCCCAATTCTTGCGAGCAAATCCAGGCATCAACATCCGTCATTTTACAGCTAAAGCTTTTGCGATTCATCACGGTAGGGAATATCGCGAATGACTTGTTGAAAACATTACTTGGCAGCTTGGTGACAGCTTGCATCGAAATTTAGCCAATGGGAATTGCCCGTGGCTGGGAGAAGCGGGTAATTCGAACGAATATAACGTATGCAAAACGGACAGTCCGTATTTTTAGCGTCTCTCCCCAGTCTCGCTCTCTGTTTTCAGTCTCGTACCGGACCTTTTGTTTGACTGCTCGCGTGTACTTGAATACGTAAAAATACGGACTGTTTTGCAGTCTATAGTTGCGGGAGAGTTAAAGTTGGGCACCAGGGGACACAGGGTTCTGCTATTAAATAGTCAAGAATACTTTTGACCAATTCTTTTTGCAGCCCGCCCAGCCCTGCCCCCCTTCTAACCCAGTCTACAAATCATTTTTACCATGGTCTTATGTTGATTAGTCTCCCTCGCAGCCGTTATTTGAATGTCATGCAGGGGGAGCGTTGCGTGACATCCAAAAAACGGCTGCAAGGGAGACGATATGTTGATCTGAGCACAGTGATTTTGTTACCTCTGCATCCTGCATCCCTGAGCTCAGTGCTCTGAATCTGTAAAATCTAGGGTGCCCAGCAAGTGATTTGTATCAAAAAAACCAAGATTTTCTAGTTGCGCGAGAGCAAAAGTTGGGTTGCAGGGGCCACAGGGATCTGCTATTAAATAGTCAAGAATACTGTCTTCTGACCAATTCTCTTTGGCAGCCCTCCCAGCCCCCATTATTAACCCAACCTTCCCCTGCCCCCCTTCTAACCCAGTCTACAAATCATTTTTACCATGGTCTTATGTTGATTAGTCTCCCTTGCAGCCGTTATTTGAATGTCACACAGGGGGAGCATTGCGTGACATCCAAAAATGGCTGCAAGGGAGACTATATGTTGATCTGAGCACAGTGATTTTGTTACCTCTGCGTCCTGTGTCCCTGACACATAAAAATACCCAAAGATGCAAAATAATTTGTGGCATGGGTGCTGTACGGCGCAAAGATTGATTGATCGATCCGGAGATGATTTTTTGTAGAATATCCTGTTTTTGTGACTTCTGTGGCCGTTCTTGTGGCTATTGTTATAAAATAAACAACACTTATTTCTTTTAGTCTTTGTTGTGCTTTACAATCAAAGGAGTATATTTTTATTTCAGTGAACTGTAATACAGAGTTTCGGAGTCCACCCTTCAGAGTAACTGTGTGGTTACAGAAGACCCAGGGACTTGGTTTTTGAACTAGGTCTCAATGGTTCCGTACTGGGACTCATCTTTTTCACAAGATGATTCCCAGGACTCACCATAAATATTTGTAACAAAATCACTGTGAGCATCATTATAGCATAATCTTTTGCAGTAATGAAAGATGCACAAAAATGCTGCCAGAACCTTATTATAAAGAACTTGGAAACAAAAAAATGTTTCTGATATTTGCCAGGTCTCTAGGAGACTTCCAAATAATTCAGGAGAGCTGTCATAGATAAGAAACTGCTTTGCATTAAAAAGTGGACTAATGACAACATTTTTTCAACAGGACTCAAAGAGGATTTCTTCAATTTGTACAATCCACAAAAGACGTCCCCCAGGACCAACTGTCATGTTCTTTGCCGGTGGATATTTGCGGAGATCTCTTGACGTTCTAGAGTGTTTTGATCCGCTTTCTCTCACATGGACAACACTTTCTCCTCTCTCGCTTCCAAAGAGTGGATTAGGAGCTGCTTACATTGGTAAGGCTTATCTCCTGGAGGAGGCTCTGCCTTGAGGTTCAACCTCTTACACTTTTATATACATTTTTTTAGAAAGTGTAACCGTTTTGCATACCAGTGATTTTTTCAGAAATAGTTATGGTGAGTCCTGGTGCGAAAGCATGAGTCCCCCTCCAGAACCAATGAGTCCCGGTTAAAAGAAAAATGAGTCTGAAATAGCCTGAGTATCAGGCCCTCCTAAGGGGCCAGGGGAGAGGAGATTTTAGATGGGGGAGGAGGGAGGGGGAGAAGAGAAAGGAAGGCCTGACACAAAACCATTCAGCAAATCGTGTGACACATCCAAAATCTGGATGTGGCAGTGATTGGATGACACACAATATCCCCTGACGTCACTGACTGCAACTTAATACGAGCAGAGCAATTGGAAAGGAGAAATCATTGAAATTTTTCGTACATGTTTTGATTTCATGTGGTACTGTTATGGACAGAGACGCAGAGAGGAATTCAAAAAGGCTCTAGAGGTAGCCTGTGAACAGGCCTCTCAAGTTCTTTCCTGGAATAAAAATAAAACCTGAGTAAGAATTGTGTTTTCAAAGCCTCGTAGTTAAAAGGAAAGATGTTCTCGGAGTATGGAAAAGCCTCATTTACCAGCTTCTGCCAAAACTGTGTGCAAGTATTGGTTTCACAAGACCGGGACAAAGAAGACAAAATCAGTGCTTTAGATATCTAAGTTCTGATTTGCAACATCCTGCCGTTAAAAGGGTATTCTTACTGCAAATGAAATTAGAGCGAGGTAGCCATGTATTGAGAATAGCCGATAGCACCAAGGCTTTAGCTTGACTTTGCTTGTGCCTATTTCGATAGCATACGTGATTGGAATTTGTTTGCTTCCTCGTCCAAAATTTTTTTCACTTTTGAAATATTTTAACCTCAAGTGGGCGTCGTCATATTTCGCTTTCCCTCAGATGAGTCTCGGCCTGATCTACCTCAGCTTTTTAGTTGCCAGACTCTCAGGAACCTGCTTATTAATGAGTGCCTGTTGTAACTCTGTAAACAAAAGCAATTTACAATTTTCCGGGCACATGTTTATTTACAAACAGAACGTTGGCAATCTTACATTAGTACAATTCGTAAAACATGTTATAATTCCTCAAAAACGGCAGGTTTTCCACTACAAGTATTCGAAAACTCCTCATTGGAGGTTTCAGAAAAAAGCAAAATCGTAGCAAAACAGGCACCGGAGCTCAGCCAGAGTGTAAGATGAGATTTATTTCAGGCGAGCTTTTTGACACGTGAAGCTGACAACCCAATGACCGAAAGTGATTTTGATCGGATGGTATCGAATCATGTTGTGGGGGTGGAAAGCTCTAGTGAAAGCATCTGTGTCAGGCGTTTCTCTCCTTCAGCTGTCTCCCTTTTTCGCTTAGTATACTGAAATTAAAATATTATAGTCCTTCTATTTTAAAGCACAACAAGGGCTAAAAGAAATATGCATCATTAAACAACAGCCATAATAACTACCACAGAAATTACAGAAATGGGCCAGATATTTCTACGAAATAATACACGTTCAGATCGATCTGCCACCATCATCCATCATTGTCCAAGACTCAGACCTGTGAAAACAGTGAGTTAACTGTATCTAAAAATTGTGACCCACTTTTCTCCCTCATGACCCCCCACCCCCCCTTCCCCACCCCTTTAGCTTCACTAGACCCCAGTGTACAAAAGTGTCTTCCTCCCTTTGGGGGCTAATCTTCACTGTGCAAACACAATGTAGATTTGAGCGAGTTTAACTAAAAAAATTCCATTCAGCCTGCCTGGCTTTGTACCTATTACCTAATTCTACTCAAGCTTAGCTCCACACAATGACTTTACAGATAACATGTTGTACATAATTGGAGGTCGCAACAACACCTCATCAGGAAACATTGACACACCAAGTGTTGAACGTTATGACCCCCTGCGAGATGAATGGAAGCCTGTTAAATCTCTCAGTGTCCCGCGCAACAGACTTGGCGTGGCCGTCTGTGAGGGCTGTATATATGCAATTGGAGGTGGAAATGGAAACTCATGTCATGTATCAGTGGAACGCTATGATCCAAAGCAAGACGAATGGACAATGCTGATGCCCCTGAACTTTCCTAGAATAGGTAAATGGATTTTGTAGTGTCAGATCTAGAAGTTGTGAAGACACAGCTATAGTAAGTGTTTTGTATTGTGGCAGAAATTTGGGCTGGTTTTTTCATTTATTTTTTTCAACCTCTTAGAAAGCAGGGGTAAGGAGAAAAGACCCTCTTTCTTCTCCTTCCCCTCCCTCACCCACACCCAAAGAGGTCATGCTTACAGTCTACTTAGGTCGAAATTATTGACTAGACAAGGCACCTGTCAAGTATTGCTCAAATGTAAAATTTCTTTTCACACTGATGTATTGATGATATGAGTGAAAAGTAACTTTTCACCTGTTACTCCAGAAAATATCCACACTCTGCCCACGGAGAGTATAATCATTTGAACTGCCCCGCCCCTGTTCTGGAAATCCCAGTTTGTCTTGTACTGGTACTTTGCATTTAAAATTTTGGCACTTAAAACCCCATTCCCTTTAGAATTCCCAGTGACCTTTCACTTGGGTACAGATGTTTTCTAGAAGCACATAATAGACACCTTCAGATTCTAAGACAAGGATAACTACAAGGATCTACTACTATTTAGTGTGTGCACGTGAGCCAGTGTCATTTTTGTGGGAAAATGTGATGGCTTTTGCCATTCAGCTATAGGTTTTAGTGAGAATGTTGAAGTGGCTGAAACAAGTTATATTACAAGTTTTATCGTTTTGCCATCGGGACTTCAATAAAAATAACCGCTGTTCAAGTTTCTGGTGAAAAATAGTACAGTGTACCTTTCCGGGGTGTCTATTTTTTGAGAATACATGAAAAATCTAATCCTTGTACGTCGTGGTCCCAATCCTCTAATTTAATGGGCTCTATTATAAGTTGAGCAAAAACAATCTACTATCAGTCTCCAGCCTCAAGGCAACTTATTATAGATTATGCATATGAGCAGTACAGCACACTGAGTGGTGAATAAAGGTATTTGATTTTTCTGTCTGAGTATGGTGAAATTCTTATCTTAGGTGTCGCTGTTGCTGTGCTTGGGAAAAAGTTGTATGCCATTGGAGGTTTTGATGGAAGAAACAGGCTTAGAAGGTTTGTGAATGGACTCTCTGTGTATATCTAGTAAGAGGCATTGATTGCAAATGTTTCAGATAAATTGTGTGGTTTAGTCGTGAAATTCAAGGGAAACAAAATTAATATAGATGCAAGCCTGTAAGTGTGAGCAAGAACCTCAAAAATTAGTTTTAAAAAGATAGGCCTTCATGTACCACTTTTATTCCAGCACTTTTCAGTAAAAGACACAAGCTCTCATTGGTTTTCAAAACTAAACCATTTTTTACTGCCACTGGAAATGTTAGTGGCGTAGAACTTTAATGTAAGAAAAACAGCATATTGCTCCACCCCAAGAAAGGTCCCACTTCCTTAGATCAACCTTAACAGAAGATTTAAGATGTGTTTTAAAATAACAGTAGTTACTAAAGCTTATTTCAGAGTGGAAACTGCAAGGTTTTTGACTGGGTTCTAAGGTTGCCTACCATAAGACAAAAAAACTTTCATTATAACAATAAATATTGTACCAGCATGCTGAGACTGAGAATTCTTTGTTTCAATTTTTACTTCTTTACAGTGTGGAATGTTATGATATAGATACTGATTTGTGGAGACTAGTATCACCACTTGTTGAACGTCGAAGTGGGGCAGGAGCAGCATCCCTGAACGAGTATGTTTATGCCATTGGAGGGTACAATGGGGATGCACAGTTGAGCAGTGTAGAACGTTACGACCCTACACTTGATACATGGACAGTTACGTCACCTCTTATTCACAGGAGGAGTGCCTTAAGTGCAACTGTGCTCCTTAATAAACTTTATGTTGTTGGCGGGTATGATGGCGAGGGGTTTTTGAGTACTCTTGAGGAGTATATCCCAGAGGAAGATCGCTGGAAACTGGTTAGCAGCATGAATTTGGGAAGAAGTGGGGCTGGAATTGCAGTGGGATGGAAACCAGCTATGTGATCACAACAGTATTATTACTCATGGGTAAATTGGTCATTTAATAAGACCTTGGAAAGGTCAGAACATGAACACATGTATAACATGAAAGTAAACTTTTCCGAAATGAAAAATGTTTGGCTATGATTAAAACACATTCTACTGCTATGTGTAAGCAAAATGCTACCTAAGATATTCTTTTATGTTATTAGTTACACTTGTTGTCATAACTGTCATTAGAGGTTGTTAGATTCAAAGATTAGGATGACTATGAGAACAAGATTTTCCCAAAACTAAATAGCATATGCACGTGAAGCTGAGTCACTTTGGCTGGAAATTTTAATAGCCATCATCATTCAACTTTGGGCTTTAGCAAGAATGTCATAGTGGTGGCTTAACCTCCACCAAGAAAAATAATCATGCTAACTTTAATTTTTTGAAGGTTTTTTCGAGGTGTTTAGGTTCTGAGAATAATGCAACAAAAAAACTTGAAGTTAAATCTTGTGCACATAGTCCTCCTTTTCTTTGAATCTACAGGTCTCTATTAATAGGACCTGTGCAGGGAATTTTGTCTGCTACAAGAACTGAGAGCCTCTGTTACTTTTGATAACAACCCATATGTTGCAATAAGGAAATGACAACTTGTCCAACTTCCTGGCCTACCACGCAGATGTTTTTAGGGCTTTATCACCCATTCCTCCCTTGTAAACATTCATGAGGGAAGAATGCATGACCAAGAGCTGCACGACAGGCTACCCACTTGCTTGCCTACTTCAAAAATAAGTGACTGCCCCACTGCAGTAACTTGTGAGTGCCCTGATCACAGTGATCAGGCCCCAGTAGTTAGAAAGGTGGATAGCACTATACTATCCAAAGGTGATTTATCCAGAGGATAGCACCATCCAACTTTTGAACAACCAGGGCCAGGACTGTAAGTAAGCAACATGACAGCAGCGGCAACAAATGTGTCATCTAAAAGCTGTTTTACCTTCTTTCATTTTACAGTAATCATGAATATTTCAACACACCTAATTGTAAGGACAATAATTTAATTGCCCTGAAGTTGAATCCTTAGGAATTGCCTCGCAAGTTATTATTATTATTAGTTAGTTTCTTGTGTCCCCTGAAAGGAAGCTTCTGTGAAAACTATCATTATGACAACTGATTTCTTTGTAATCCCTAGAAATTTTATCATGCTCAAATACGTGTAATACATATAATAACATATAATAATATAAAAAATTTACATTTCTATAATACTGTATCATATATCTCTGAATATATTGTATTGTACAAGAATCTTACAAGTATAAATTGTAATATATTTACAATAATGTACATTTTAACAGACACCAAAATAATAAATTAAAAAGTAACAGTAACTATGTATAAATTCTAGTATCCTCTTGATTTTGGGCGGAATCTTTCCCCTGAATCTCTTAGTTGTTTCTAATTTCTCTGCTAACCTTACCACAAAAGTTATTTTAAAGTTCTTTCTTTAGTTCACTGCCTACGGCCTGGATCGGCCAAACGCTTGAAAGATGTAAACAAATTTAACTGTAGACATAAACAAGTTGCAACTGACAGCACTTTCATGTGGGATTTCCCACAACACATCAGAGGTTAAGATATATTTTGAGGTTAATTGTTGCAAGGGAGTGCTACAACCTTTTAAGCTTCACTACAGGTCCTTCATAAAAATATTGTCACCAGACTAAAAATCTTTAAGTGTACAAGTAGGGTTGGCCTAAAAATATCAAACAAAGGGAATCTGAAATGTCTGCAGGTGAGAAAGAACTACTGTAAAATTCCGAAAATAAGCTCCTGGGCTTATATTTTTCAAAGGCCCTTTTTGAGGGGCTTATTTTTGGAAGGGCTTCTATTCGGACGGGCTTATCTGTGGAATGAAATTTGCATTTTAAAATCGATTGGGCTAGCCTTACAGTTGGAAGGAAATTTACTGTTTTTGCTTTGTTTTACTTTGTATTTGAGGGCAATTTCCAAGTACAAGCCCCTGGGGGGCTTATATATGGAGAGGCGATTTAACAGATAGTTTTTCGCATTACAAGTTTGGGGGCTTATATTTTGAGGGGCTTATACATGGAGGGGCTTATTTTCAGAATTTTACGGTATTTCAGACAGTTATCACTGAATACAATAATAACTGTGGGTAACCAAAGGAGCCCGCAATATATCCTAATCTCTGCGTTGCTAATCCTAATCTCTGCGTGAAGTGTATGTAACCAGTATCAAGTTGGATTACCACTGAGAATAAACTGAATGACCTACTGCACTTTCAGACAGTTATTATTTTACAATAATAATAATATTGTGGGTAACCAGAGGAGTCTGCAATCGTAATCTTCAGGTGGTCTGTACTCCCTTAGAACCATTGGTCATTAATAGTGTTTAATGATAAAATCACATAGTCAAACTATTCCTAAAACAGACACCTGATTCACACAGTTTTCTCGGTCTCACAGATACCAACCTTCACAAAATCCCTACTTCAAGGTATAAGTCACACAGCAATTTATCTCCTGCCAATATTCAATATTGACCTCCGTGGTACTCTTTCCTCTTCGATGAAATGAAAGCCCTCATCACCAATTTGTGGATAATTCATCATATCCAAAAAATCCAGGTCATAGTACTGTGGCTTGCTAGTCCAGATATACTCAGAAAATAACTCCAGTCCTTCGCAGTGGATGTGTCTTAAAACACAGTCATTCATTAAGCTGTACAGTGTTTCTAGTGTTGTGTGATTCTCACAGTAAACTTTCCAAAACTCTGTCATGCAAGCAAGGGTATAATCTCTCCTGTCACACAACAGTTGAGAAAGAATTTCAGCCTCCATTCTGATACTCTGTTTTGTTGCTGTAAGATAATCTCCAGCTCCCAATATGTGTGAAACCAGCATGTTGTTGGCCACTACACCCTTAAATCTTGCTTGTACAAGCTGAAAGGCACAGATAAATTAATTTTGTCATTGTATTTTTTAGAAATAGAGAAATCTAACATTGGAAGGCTCCGAGAAAATTCCAAGCTCCATATGAGATTTGCATTTGAACTAACAACCCTCTGTTTTATAGATCTAATGCTCCTACCACTGAGCTGCTGGAAGCTCTACGGCAAGCAGGGTCGAAATTTAAAAATAATATAACTACAGCAACCATTGAGAACTGTATTGGGGACTTGCTCAAACCTGGCCGTCCACAAGTGAACAAAGTTGGAACTAGGAATTTTGGAAAGACTCAAAATTCTGGGTATTAAATTTAGTTATATAAGATTTATAAATAATAAAATCTTATCATAAATTTAGTCATATAAGATTTATAATAATAAAATCTTATAGTGGGAGGCTAACCTGGCTGGCTCACCTCATCATAAACAGGCCCAAAAAGAAGAGTTTTTGTTGTGAAAATATTCTGTTACAAGACAACAACATTATTGGTGCAAATGTGGTATTAATTAATTTGCTATTACAAAATATTGCCCACATGTGCAAACAGCTAACAACTGCCTAGCCTTCACAATTAGGATTTCACGTACACAGCAAATTGAGTATCACTGGCCCATGTAGAGGCTCCACTTACTTATTTTGTCAAATGTTTACCTGTTTAAAACACTAACACTAATGAAAAAGTTTGACATTAAAATTGTAACTTTCTATTCACAGACCTTTCCAGTGTTAATCGCAATGGCAATAATAATGTTAAACAGTGAAATTCTTTGACACATGCTAAATTTCTTGCAGTAAGCTAGCTGGATACATCTATCCATGTCTTTATCAACAACTCAGAAGACTTTCAAGGGATATGCTAGCATCTACAGTGTGTATTTTATTTACAAATCAATCATTTTTTATCATTACCATGTGCATGTGCTCATTGCAAGCCCCATCATAATATTATGTTTGTAATGTAATATGCACCTCACACATGTCTGGTGTTGGTAATGACTACTTAGTGACCCACATCAAATGTCATGGTCACACTTCTGTATATTATGTATCTGTTAATAATATACTACATGCTTCAAAAATCCACATAATCTTAACGGTTAAATAAGAGAAAAAAAATATGGAAAATTGTATCTGCAAAATAGAGGAGCAATAGAATACCATAGTTCACCAAATGATTAATTTAAAGAAATAAAATCATACAATGCATAAAGAATGCATTACATTTTCAAGTACAATCAGGTAGTATTTCATTTTGAAATCTTTATTTATGAGATATATGATCTTGGCAATAAAACACTGAATCACATGTGAAGGATGTATACATAGTGTCTAGCATTATATTAACAGAAAACTGGGAAGTTGTTGTTGCTAGTTTTAAGTATAAAATAAAGATCTTGTATCTTTCATGTCTGTATACATGTACATGTACACGTATTCAAGACAGCTTTTTCAGCTACCTACTGTAGTAAAATCAGCCAGCAACTCTAAGTTTTGAAAAAGATTCAAGGAGGATGACAGTCCTGTTACTGCTCCTCCATTTTATTGCAATATGGTTGTTATATGAGCTGTAGCCATGAATAAAAAACCTGGGTTTGGACATACTTGAAATTTTGGAGGATCAAAATACCAAGTCACGTACACAGCATGTGATCTTGCATCAATGCTCAAAACATAATCAGGTGATTTGAATTTAACAGGATTATAATCCACAGGTAAGTGAAGACAACAGCAACAACAACAGCTCCCAATAATACATCTTTTGTCTTCATCCAAAGAGAAAGTGTTTACAGACAAGCTAGGGCCTGGTTTCTGAAAGGCTGCAGATTAGCACTAATGCAGGATTAAAGTTTTTTTTTCCCTTTTTTGTATTTACCGGCCACTGCATTGCTTAGAGACACATTTTGTGTTTATAGCATTACTGTATCTTGAAGTAAAGGCTCAATAGCATTTTATAAGCAAGAGTAACATGTTCTCACACAAGAAAACCTTGATTGGTTTAATCCTGGATTAAACTTGACCATCTTTGAAGAAACTGGGTGCAGAAAATTCTAAATTTGAGGCAGCAGAAACCATGCAAATTCAACTATCTGATAACAACCTGAATGCACAAAAAAAGCCTTCAATATCGTAGGTTATTTTTTCAACTGATTTGTTGATGATAGAGATATTGATGACAGTGGGTATGCAACAAAGAAAGTTATGGAAGACTCTTTGAAATGCACTATGAGGTCCATGCACAAGGATATTACTATTTGACAGCAGTGAATGATTTTTTGTGGGCAATGTCCAGTGGGAGAAATACAGTTTTTAATGAAGGGTGCAACATTATGGTTGCCATTTTTTGCACAAAACATAAAAAAAAAAAATGAAAGCTTTTTATTGTGCAATGTCCAAGATTTTGTGAAAACTCACCACAGTTTAATTAATAGATAAAAATAAAAATGAAAAATGAATAGATAATTATAACTAAAATATATACAGAATGACTAATAAATTATTAAAAAGATGAAAATAATGTAAAAACTATTTATATAAGACTAGAAAATTTTCACAAATGAGACAAAAGCTAAATCTATTTTCAATGTGATAAACTGGTAGTAGTGGTACATGCAGTAGTAGTTAATTATATTACACCTGATAAGTCCAGTTTTCTTATACTATTTTTAAAAGCCTTGAAAGATCCTATAGTTCTTTGTGAGTCAGGTAAAGAATTCCAAAGTTTTAGTGCTGTAAATCACCACGATTTTAAGGCCGTAAGTTGAAGAGTTAGCCATTGACTGCTTTAAAATGTCATTTCCCCTGAGGTCATATTTACAGTTTCTATGTTAGATAAGATCTTTGATGCTCTTTGATGCATGTTCATTGTTAATGACATCAAAAACTGTAGATTCACAAGTGATGGTAAACCTATTCTATTAAGTAGTTCAGAGTAGGGTGTTTGTTTTTCATCAAAGACAATACGAAGGGCACGCTCATTAGCTTTCTCTAGCTTTGCATTGGCACTTTTGCTATAGAAATGCCTTGTCTCTGACCAATATTAACTTTTAATTGGCATCACTCTGTGAAAGAGACAAGTTTTTTTTGGATTTGAAGTCACAAAAAGGATGGCAACATGAAAAACCACTTTTCCTTCATCCTGGGCCTTGACACATTTTCATTTTGCCCATTTTTTGTTAAATTGGCAGTATTATTAACACATCAATCTCATTATTGTTTCTCAAGATCTACAGTGTACATGTACAGCTTTGTTTGCTACTTGTCTGTTTTACAGAATGCAGATTTGGCTATGGTTTGAGTGGTGAACACGGTGAAATTATGAAGGATGAAGAAAAGATATGGGTATTTCTCTGTGACAAAACAACAAAGTCGCTGTATAGACTAGGTGACAATAATATGGCATGGATGTTGCATGTCAACATCTTGATTATCAAGTTTTTTAAAGTCACAGTTCTCTCATACAAGTATACAACGTACAGTTGTGTACCTTGTGACATATACAAATGCAACAAGTTTTGTTTATTTATTGACAATCTGACATGAAAAAAAAAAACTTGTGATAAAAGACAGCTTCCTCACATGCACTGTATCCTTTCAATCACAAGCTAGTAACACGCAACGGCAGAAGACCAGATCACCATTTTGTCAAGCAGACCGAAAAGATAATTTGGCATTCATTACATCGCGTTTTAAATATTGATAAGTACCATGCAAATCTTCAGCTTTAAAGTGAGAGTCTCTGGGATTTGATTTGTCAGACTGGTACACTGTAATCATGTTGAACTGCAAGAAGGGTTTCATTTGATATAAAAAAAATTCAGTAGGTTATTGTCAGATGGCTGATTATTAATCTATTCGCAGCTCTACATACAGAAGTGTGTATACACATAAAAACATCACAGAATTAGATTTAAAATTGTTGATGCCAAACATGTAAAGCATGCATGCATTACTGAGTCTACAGCTCAATATCAAGGGCTTCTGGACGAGAAAGACACTCTGTTCAAGACACTAAAATACTAAAACATATACCGCAAAACATACCCTGTTAAGTAGCACGTACTAGCCTCCTATGCAGACATTCTTAGAATTTTGTCACACGTTTCTTACCCACAAAGGGGAAGGACTGTTTGATGAGCCAAAGGAACGTCTACATCGGAGGCTACATAAGGGAGTGCCCCCCTCCCCCACAGGTAATGACTGTTCAAGCTCTCCATTAGATTAGCCGATAAGTCACTCTGTATTCTAACAAACAATAAATTTAGCTAAATTGAAAGGTGAAATTTGGTCATTAATTTTAAACAGCTAAATGGTTTGTTTGTTAAAATAAAGAGTGACTAAACCGGCAAATTTTTTGTTTTGTCGGTAGACTGAGCTAACTACAACTTAGCCATTATCTAAACACCGCCATTACTGTTGGTCTGTAGAACAAAGTGTTTAGTTTATAGTGTTATAGAAAGACGTCAAAATAAATTTTAAAAACTATTATTTCTCCTACTACAAGCTTACCTCAACTGCATCATGGATCACCTTCTCTGGTTTATACATTGAAATCTTTTCAGCTGCCTCCTTCCATTTTTCCTCTCCGAAATGCCAGAAGGCACTTGCAATACTATCCTTGTCGTTCCAAGAAAAGCTGGTTGCACCCTCGTCGTCAGTCTTGGAACATCTTTGATCACAATATGACAAACCTAACGCTGATTTAACGACTCGTAACAGCTCGCTTTCTTGAAGAATCTCTGGTGTATTTTGATGAATTAATTCGGTGACAAGTTTTCTCCCATAATCAAATAATTCATCTGCTGTGATTTGAGAATGACAAAGGCTTCTTTTCTGAATTGCATTCGGAAATTCCACACCACTGCTGTCTTCGGCGGGCATTTTTAACATTCTTTTATAGATCAACGGACATCTGAAATACGATGTTGTTTGCAAAGAAAGCCGAGAAGAAGTAAGACTTCGGGATATACAAAAAAGTTTCGTCAAATCATGCATTGTGGTTTGGATCGAAGCCAAGGGTGACGAAAAAGCTGCTTGGATGAACAACGAGTTCTTGCATCCATAAAGAAAGCCCGAGTTTGACTCCAGTGGCAAGGACATGGTCTTCTGATCACACCATGTACTGTTTAAGGCTTATCGCAAGCTTTTCTAAGAACTAAATGCAATGTCTGACAAAAATTACTGCATGAAGTTCGCCATGTTTTCCACCTTTTTTCCGCCAATTACTTCCCTCTCTTTTTTAGAAACAAGGTTTGGTTACCTTGCCTAAAGACGCGGTTACTCATGTCCCAGTTTCACTCGGTGCAAAGTGCGCCTGACGATTTTCGTATTTTCGGTTGGAAAAATCGCAACAGAGAGTTTTATTGGTGATTATACAAAATGGCATCGAGCGCAAATCGCTCAAGTGATGTTATTATTATTGATGGGAGCATAATGGAAGGGGTGAGAAGAACTTACCATTCACCAAGACAGTTCCCATAAAATTATCTTTTTGAGATAAATTTTTCGTTAGTACGTACTGCATGCGGTCAGTTCATAGATTTTGAGTTTACCTTCATTGTGTTATACTTCACGGCTATTAAATCTGTCTTGACTATTTCTAGGGTGGTCAAATCCTCAGGAATGCCGTGAGCTTTGCCTGCTTGTTAAATTCTGCAGTTTGTGTTGAAAACATCAGAGGTGGAAGATCAACACCAGGACTGCGAGCTCAACATATGACTGGTAAAAAATAAATGGTTAAATAATGTGAATTGTCCAAAATACCTCTGGCTTGAGACCAAAACATTTCTTTTCAAAGGACAAACCCACACTCACAGTGTAAGGGGTCAAATTACATTATGTCGCTCCAGTCAGCTGGGCTGAGATTGCATCTTAGCTTGCTGGAAAAATCTTCTTGAAATGATGTTTGAGCGTTTACATGAAGAGTGTCAGCCTGCTGTGAAACTAAAGGTATAGTTCAAATAAATTGGTCAAATGGGCTGAGATACCCTATGCATTTAAAATTCTCCCAGGGCTGAAAATAACTTAGATGCGTGCATTGAGATTTTAAACCATACCCAATTTGCATGTGATTTTTCCCGGCAGTGCACAATTTTAAACATTGCACCCGGGATGAAAGTCACCACAAGTGATCATTTGATGAAAATACAGCTTCATACACTTATTTATAAGTCGGCTCACTAGTTATAGGGTAGGACGGTAGGTAGATAGATCGATAGGTAGGCATGAAATGATTATCAAGGGAACTGACAAATAAGTATGAAGTTTTATTATTTCTAGGATTGCAGCTGATTAGAGATATTACTTCTGGTAAACTTGACGGAGACAAAATTGGTTCTATGTCTGTCACTCTTCATCCCACAAATATTGGTTCAGGGACCTTTATTGCAGATACTAAAACAGCTGGGTAAAGGAGTTTTAACTGATTTTATTTTGGTTTTGTTATTACTGTCTGATTTTCTTTTGTTTCTGTGGTCGAAATATGAAGACCTCAATTGAGTTGTATTCTTGCTCTTCTTGCTATGTTTTTAAGCAGGAGTTTAGCTTTTTCTTCTTCATGAAATGTGTAATATGTTTTGCCATACTTTTGTCTTGCTCTACAGCCAAAGCAATGCAATCTTATCCCTAGGATTTCTCAGTTTTGTCCCTTTTTCTGGTGATTATTCTGTACTATTGACATCATTTTCTGGTTATCATAAACATCTTCCAAATTTGGTTGATGCGAGCTGGTCATGAAGAAATTATCAGCCATGGGAATTGAGCCTATCAGAAATGAAGAAATAAGTTATTTGGAATGAATAACAATACATGATAATGAAACAAAAGAAACTATCATTCAAGCTAATTATAAATTTTACCACAACATATTAATGCACATTAAATAAATAAAATTTGGTTTTCTGCAGGAGTGTATGCCTGCTGATGCAGCTTACTTTACCCTGTTTACTCTTTGCACCTGCTACATCAAAACTGATTCTTAGAGGAGGAACAAATGCAGAAATGGCTCCACCTGTTGATTTCATGACAGATGTAAGTTGTCAGTCATTATTTATGAGGTCTTAATGCTCATATTAAATATGTCAACTTGTGTCAGCTAGCCCCTGCAGTGCCAAATCAATGCAACTGGGATGAGTTAGATTTTAATGATCAATAAGGTATATTCCTGTTGAACAATGTGACTATTTAGGTCACAAAATTAATTGTTAATGGGTGCGGCCCCACTTGGCAAGTCAACCGGGTTATAGTTTTAGCAAAACCCTGTAAAACATTCTTCACAAAGTCATTCAATGGCACGTGTTTTTTTTTTTTTTTTCGCTTGCTTCGGTCGCTCATAATGCTCACCTAAGAGTGACTGACAAAATTTGTCCCCATATTACTGATAAAAAGAGGTCAACTTCTTAAAAGTTTTAACTCAATTGTGTTAAGAAAGAAAAGCTGACTTTAGAGGGAAAGAAGGAATTTAGAAACTGTGTTGCTTGTGTGCATGATAAGCCAAAATTTGGACCATTCTCACTTGAGGCAGAGATGATGATCGACTGATTGATAAGGTTAACCTGTGTTAAACTACCTCACGAGGTGGTTTTAAAAAACCTAACTTGGTTAAGAAAATCTATTGTTCTTGCTTGATTTGCATAACCTGGTTAAAACTTGGTTGCAAGACTATAGAAAACCCGGCTACACGCGCAGTTTTTTTTTTAACTTTAATAAGTTAATTGGAAATTACTCAGTTACACAGTAAGTCCCCAATTAAAGTGTGGTTGCAACCAATGTTTACGAGCAGTTGTTGAGTTTTACCTCACTCTGATCTCTTACAGGTTTTAAGGCCTATTGTCAAAAAGTTAGGAGTAGAGTTTGAGTGTGACATTGTCAGAAGGTAAGTTATCTTGCTGTAATAGTTACTGTGGCTTAAATTCCTAATGGCTCTGATTTAAAGAGGATTAGACAAAGGGTGACATGGAGGGGTAACGAGGATGGCTTCATAAAACTCTGGCACTAAATTTCCTAAAACATGGAGGTCAATGAGGAAGTGTACACTGTTCCTCCAATGACAGACATTCAATGGCGACATTCAACAAGAAACAGAACTGAACTGACCTGCCTAAGTATACAATGTATATCCAGGGGTATAAAGTCATGATGAACAAGGGTAAACAAGATTTTTTTGAAGGTCAGGAAGTAGGGAACTTTTCTTTGCATAAAGTGAGGAGAAAATAGTTCTTAGCAAAGTTAGTGAAAAGTCAGCTAATTTTTCTTTCAGGATGACATTTGGTTTCGTTAAACCCTTAAGACAATTGAAGAAGAAGTGCCTTTATAAATTATTTACCATACATTCAAGATCATGCAAGCAAGCTTTGTTGAGTTTTTTGACAATCTCTGCTTTATTCTAAATAGATATAAATTCTGGATTGTACAAAAAATGCTTGTAGAGGAACTGAAAATGAAGAGACAATAATATTCAAAGCCTGCAAAATTAACCAGCTTCAAAGTTGGTGAAAGTTAATTTTTTTTACAGTCCTGGTAAAGTCAGGAATTGTAGTCAGATAAATTAGATTTTTTTTTTTGTTCATCATTAATATGATTTTTTTTTGTAGTCAATTTCCAGCAACACTTTCATTAAAGCTGTATTTTTAATTCTTTTTTTTCTCTTCTGCAAGAGGTTATTATCCTAAAGGAGGAGGTGAGATTCATGTGACAGTGAAGCCAGTCAAACAGTTGAGACCTTTACAGTTACTGGAGAGGGGATCATTAACAAGAATAACTGGACGAGCATTTGTTGCAGGAAGGCTTCCTTTCAGGGTTAGTTATAGTCTGCGTCACGAACATAATTAAACCTCGGTTTAGTAACGTCTGCAAAGCAGCGCTGATATCCTTGTTCTGGGCCCCAAGGGATTCAATGAATTACTGGAAGTGCATTTCGAATTTCCTTTTACCTTGATTGGCACGTTGACAGTGGCTTTTTCAACAAACTAATCCTGGTGCGTACTTAAATCCTGGTACACACAGGTGGGAGCCCAGCTGCAAGAACAAGGATTTTGGCGCTGTTTCACAGACAGACTTAACCAGAGTTTACAGTTTCATCTGTTTAGGTTAGTTAACAATAAGCCATTTCTGACTTATACGACAAACCTTCAGAAAGAACTGGACATCAGTAGGGAAGGGGTTCTCCTCTTGCACGTTAGTTTGGACCAGAGTAGACTCTGTGCATATAGTCACTTGTGTGTCCTAACTCAGTGAAATACATCAGAGCACTTGAAAACTGCCAACTGTGCATGAGGAAAGGTAACCCTAAAAAAATGAGAGATTACTCCATAGAAAAATGGGACCATAGAAAAATGGGATGCAAGGTAAAAGATGGAAAGGGATGGGAACCATGATTGTTACAGTATGAAGATGGGAAATTTATTAAAAAGAGGTGTATGCCAATTTAAGAGAAGTGCATTATTAGGAATTGAGTCAGGGGCCAGGATCAGGTTTGATGGAATTAAGAACATATAAAAGGGGTCAGGTACTAAATGGGAAGGGACTGGCAAGTGGAAAGTGGAACAGAAGAAAAAAGGAAGTGGGAATTGGGTGATAAGGGAAGGGAAATGGAATAAAAAAGTGGGAACTGCTAGGTGGGATGGGGGTGGAAAATGGAGCTGGAAGAGAGGAGGGTGCAAAGGGGTGGAAGCTGGGGGATAAGTTCAATTAAAATGGGAGAAGGAGTTAGAACTTAGAATAGATACAATGGGAGTAGGAGAGAAGATGGTGAAATATGGTTGGGTAGAACTTTGGAAAAGGAACGGTTGCAAGCTGAGAAGAAGATGGGTGTTAATGGGAGAGAATTAGTGGCAACTGGGAGAAACAGAGATGGGAACTGGGAAAGAAGTGTGTGACTTGGGAGAGAAAAGGTGGGAACTGGAAGAGAAAGGGATAAAAGCAGGAGAAAATGGATGGGAACTGAGAAGAAAGAGGATAAAAAGTGGGAGAAAAAGAGGTGAGAGCTGGAAGAAAATGGGAAGAGAACTGCTGGGAAGATGTTTGTGAAAATGGGATGGGGAAAGTGAGAACTGGAAGAAAAAGGGGTTAAGAATTGGGAGCTGAAGGGATTAGAACAGGAAAGGATATTGTTTGGCGATGGGGGCCTACATGATACATTTTTTATAATAAAATTATTGAAGCCAAAATACATTTTTTTATTATTGATGTCAAAATAACCTTAATACTCAAAACTCTCCTTAACATGTGTGTTCTAATAATATTGATCTACAGATAGCTCAGACCATGGCCAGAGAGGCAGACAGAGTTTTAAGGAAAAAATATCCTGACCTCAGTGATATTAACATAGAACCAGTACAAGAACCTCCTGAAAAAGCACATGAAAGTGGAACAGGAATAATGTAACTCTTTCTTCAGCCATTGGTAGCTAGCTGAATATTCAGTTGACTCCTTGACTTCATCTTAATAATTCAGATGATAATATTAAGCAGCCTTGAATTTTTTTTTTTTAAATTTAACCTTTCAAACCCAATAGTGATCAAAATCAATTTTCTCTAACCATATCCATATTGTCAAGTGCAACATCTATGAATTAATCAAATGAACAAAGATGATATCAAGGAAATGTATAGAGATCAGTTTGGAGAATTTGTATGTGGATATTGGGGCTTAAAGGGTTAAGAGAAATTACTAGCCTGAAAGACCAATATATTATTGAAAAATAGAGGACAAAAAAGAATTGTTTTTTAAATTATTGATAGTTTCTAGGACTCTTCATGCATTTAATATACCTTTGTCATTTAAGTGGATTTTTTTCCTTCCGTTTTATTCTAATGCAGCCATGTATGAGCCATTTTAAAAATGCCTGGTTAATTAGATGATTAATGTCACCAATGCTTATCAATCATAATATTATGCCTCCTTGATTGAATATGTAATAATACAACAAATTATTATTGTGATGTTTCTTCAGGGTCATGGCTGAATCGTCAACTGGGTGTAGACTAGCTGGATCAGCAATTGGAAAGAAAGGTGAATGTCAGTTTGTTATTGGTTTATATAATATACTTCAGCCAATTGACCAGTGTATCTTCTGCAATGGAGAGGTAAGTGTGGCCGAGCGGTTAACATTCACGAACTTCACACCTGGAGGTCCAGGGTTCAATCCAAGCCCACTGCTCTGTTTCCTTAGACAAGGAACTTTACTCCACTTTGCCTCTCTTCACCCAGGTGTATAAATGGGTACTGGTGACATACTGCTTGGGGGGTAATCCTGCAATGGATTAGCATCCTGTCCAGGGGAGAGTAGCAATACTCCTAGGCATGGTTGATGCTACAAAAACCAGGATAGGTTCCGGTCATTTGGGGCTTTGGCTCGTGTGTGCCTTTACCATTTTTTTTATCTTCTACAAAGGTCTGTTTGCACATGTATTGACTTAACCCTTTAAGTCCCAATATCCACATACAAATTCTCCAAACTGGTCTCCATACATTTCCTTAAAGAATGAGTTAAGAGAATTTGATGAAAGATCAAGGTTTTTTCTCATTGGTGATCATTTTATTAATAATATTTGCATAACCTAATCTCTTAACAATGTATGGATATTGTTAGGAGAATATTGATGTTGGTCACCATTGGGACTTAAGGGGTTAACAGGTCATTTTTGAGTTGCCTTAAGCCTTTTTTTCAAAGCAAAGCTAAGTGCAAAGCCATTGAATAAAAATGATTTTTTACTCTCATGCAAATGAAACTGATTTTCATAAGAAAGGTTTTTTAGTTAGCCTTGTTTCGAAGGTGAAAGTGTTTGGAACTTGGAAATAGCCTATTGACACAACTGTACAATCACATGACTGATCCTCACCCTTCCCCTACCCCTGCATGGATATCATATCTTTGATCAGCCCTTGTGATATTACTGTTGCAGGAGTCCCAGCAGAAGAAGTAGCGAGAAATGCTGTTGATGAGCTGACTAGTAATCTTCAGCATAACAGCTGTGTTGATGAACATTTGCAAGATCAGGTGAGTATACCAGGAAGCTTAAACTCTCTTTGAGGCTCCGTGTACTTGCTGTGGCTAAAAGATTGAGGCTAGACTGCGAGCAGTCTCTCTTTTGCTCAGAAATCTGTCACAAAGCACGAGAGGTATGTAAGTTGTGTGGGTGCCACTATGCTCAGCTGACTGCTTGCAGCTCACACATTCACACATCATGCTCTCTCACTGAAGCCTCTGCTCGCAGTGTACAATACGGTTACTAGAGACCTTTAGATTCTGAGACCAGTACAACTACGAGTACCAGATGTTCTCAATACTAAGTAGGGCTTGCGTGTGAATCTGCATCATTTTAGCGGGAAAACATGATTACCGTTGTCATTCTACTACGAGTTTTAGCTACAATGTCTTGGTAACAGAAACAAGTCATAAAGTGTTAAAGGTTTTATCATTTTGCAGCTGGGAGATGGCTTAAGCTCCTTCAGCAAAGATACAAGAGCTAATTTTTTTTAGTGAAAAAGAACTGCAATCAAGCTTTTTGTGGTGTCTATAATTTAAGAATACATGATCAATCTTGTACTTGTTATGGTTTAATTTTATCCTTGGTTTAGATTTTATTTCCCTTTGTTTTGGGGTATCATAATGTATGATAATGAGTTTAAAACAAAGGGAATGAAATTTAGGCCAAGGATAAAATTAAACCACGACATACTCGTAGTCCTTCTCATCCTAGAATGTAAAGGTCTCTAATATTTGAGAGACTGCATACTTGTATGAATGTACAGATTTATCATTTCATTCTTTTTTTACTTTAGTTGATCATTTTTATGGCATTGGCCAAAGGGCATTCCTCTCTTAGATGTGGGCCACTGACAATGCACACCCAAACGGCAATTCATGTGGCAGAAAAAATCATGAAGGTCAGCCCATCTTACTCTTGCTTGGTTTAAAGCATAATTCTTAAGTCAGTCAAGTGGGCAAGCTGCTCAGGCAGTAACCTAAATAACTGGCATTTTTGTAGTAAGCACATGTTATTTAACAGAGAATGAAGTGTTAGATTGCTATAATTGCACATAAGTAAGGGGAGACATGGCCAACCTAAAATAAGGCTCTATTTTTTTGCACCTTTTGGCAAAGCAAAACACAATTGTAAAATTGTGTCAGATTAGCCAAAATTTGGCCTAATTTCAGGTTTAGTCACTGCCTTCAAGCATGATGTGCATGTAAGCAAAATCACACTAGCTTTCCCATGTCTCACTTCTGTGCACATGCAATGAGTTTCACACAAGCTCATGTATTAATTTGTACTCCCTACTATATAATCCTGAGGAAAACCAGGGACTCCTCATAGTTTAACTAATATCTTGGGAGGCATTTCCAGTGTATGATACAAAAACGCCTGTTCTTTGCTGGTTTAAGCAAGCCCTTAGGAAATTAAAACTTGGGAGAGCTCACAGTATATAAATCTTCAGGCTCCATATGGTCTACACCCTTTGCAAGTTAGCACTTGTATTCCCAGATGTGTGTGGGGAACAACATTTATCAGCTTCTTTTGTACCTCAATCGCTGTCAGTAAAAGGCAACACATTCAATAACCGACCCATTCTTCTACCTTATCATCCAAAGACATTTACAACGTTATTTGAATCCAGGGTTTCGCATTAGTAGGTTGCAGTAAATAGATAAAGTAATACATATAGTCAGTTGCTAGTTGCAGTGGTTGGAAATATGTGGTGTTCTATTTTGAAATAAGTACATTTTAATAGCTTTAATTCCTTGAACAAATAAACACTTCTCATGTTCTTTTTGAATCTCTCCTTTAGGCAAAAATCCGGGTTCAACAACTCTCAGAAAAGGAAGGCTGTATCATTGAATGTGATGGAATAGGGTTACAAAATCCACATCTCTAAAACCTTTGCAGTTGTAGATATCAAATAATACATAAAATCAACAAAATATTGCTTGTACATGGTTTATGCTTAATTAAAACACTTTTGAAAAAGTCACTGCAGCTGTTGCTGGTAAATGTTTTTTTTTTTTGTTGTTGTTACTTTACTTGCATTATTACTTGATTCACTTTATTAGATGAGTGCTCCTTGAACCCTTCCAGGGGTGGGTAGGGGGTGAATAGCGTGGATTGGTACCCTTCACAATACCATTTTGGGTATTTAACCCCAGAGTGAATAATGGAGTTTTGTAAGGAACTAACTTTTTGCGTCTGTGGACAAAATCCTATGGTGTGACCATTCAAATGAAACCTCTCAATCTGTACTTTCACATAGTGATACGTTTTTTCAAATTTTACAAAATGAAATTTGGGATTTTTTATCGAATTTTGTCTTTGGCCACATTTGGCAGTGAAAAGCCTTTTCAGTCTAAAGAGTGACCAACATCAATTTTCTCCCAACAATATACATATAAACACACCATTTTTTTAAAATCACAAAAAAACAACAAAAAACAACGATATGTTTAGGAAAGAATGTACTATATTCACAATGATAAAACCATCTGTCTGTAATAAATTTGTTTTGTTCTTTTGGGTTCTCATACCAATTTTTAATCAATGATCACTGTCATTCTAAGTGGAGTCCTTCAGCAAAGCCCCAGGTGTCAAACAAAGCAAAAAAAGCGATTAAACAGATGGTTGTCATCATTATAATTATAGTACACTAGCACTCCTAAAGATAACCCACCCTTTTTTCTCTTGCGTTACTTTATTTAGTTGAGTTGTTCATAAATAAGCCTAAAACTAAATTTAATGATCTTTTTTGATTGAAATGGTATGAGTTTCGAAAGAACAAATTATTTGGCACAGACAATAATTTTAACAGGTGTGAATAAAGGTGATTCTTTCAAGAACATCATCCTTGTAAAGATTTTGTTGTTCATTTTGTGATTTCCCAAACCTTTTCTCTTCATGACATATAGTGGAATGTGTACTTAGCTTATCCAGCTAGTTAATAGGCACCCCAGTCAAAATACTTAGAAACAAATAATATTCAAATATAACATTACAAGCGTAGCCGAGGATTTGAACTCGGGTCGACCAAGAATAAATCCAGCAAGTGGCGAGAGCGGGACTCGCACCCGCAACTGTAGGATTGTGAGTCTCACACACTGACCACTCAGCCACACTGCCTCCCTAACCTTTAGAATCCTCTTCTGTCATTAAAAAGCTGGATATTCTCCATCATTTCTTCTGCTCCTTTACACCTACAGCACTTGAGACATGTTTTTTCCCGTTTTCTTCCTAAGCAACAATAACACTGGATAGTGAATGTCCTCTTCATACAGGGGGTCTTCATTCTTTGCCACCTGATGTCTTTTCCACACCAGAGGATCATAATTTTCAATCTTGTCCACATTAAACTGAGCATTTGCCCTGTTGCAAAATAAATCAAGTGTGTCTTTTCTATTTGGTGCCATCAATATAGCAGAACCATCCTGTTTAAGAAGAGTTCCTATCACGTGAAGCAAACCAGAGTGACAGTTAGTGAAGAACAAGCAATCACCACTAATAATGAAATCAAATTGTGATCTTAAATCAGAGAGGTTGGCCTCTGTGTCCCAAACCAAAACTTGGGGTGATACCACAGTTAAATCAAAACAGGACTTATTACGGTCATTGATAGCTTTCATATTCTCCACACAGTCTTCGTTCCCGTCTGTTAGTAATACTTTGGAAGGATTTGCGGAGGCAGCCAAACAAAATCCGGCTAAACCAGTCATTCCTGCTCCAAGTTCACACACTGCTTTCCCGTGGAGTTGATCTTTGTGTTTTAACAGGTAATAAGCCAAAACTTCTTCGGATGGCCACAGGCACACGTTGCCAGTGTTATCAAATCCGGTTAAATCTTCAAGGACAACTTGTCTAGATCGCTGCTTTATAAACAAAGGTTTTTGTTCGCACAAACTGACATTTTCCAGAACTTGATTCTGAAGATGATAGTCCACCCATTCACAACCAGCTTCACTTTGAATGGATTTCTTAGCAAACAAATTGAATCCCAAAAATCTTCTAACTGATATTTTATTCTGCTCTGTTTCGATTGTTTCTTTCTTAATAACTGACGCCAAAATCTTCCATCTTTTACGAGCTCTTTGCTGCTGCATGAAGTCCGCCATCTTGTCTTCGTAGCCCCTAAGGATGCATGGGATGTGCTTGACGTCATCACATAACGCGCACCGCAATCAAAGTGCAAGATGGACTCCTTATGTGATCGATTTCCTCTCCATAAAGCTGTTTTTGAGGGGAATTTGCGAAAAGTTTCAAGTTGTTTGCGTACTTGTGACATTGGAGAAAGAGATATCCATGGTAAGGGTTATTCTGTTTGTTACGATCGCGTTTAAATGGCACCCAAGAGTTTGTTTTCATTTCCGCCCGCTTCTCGACACCGGCCGGCTCTAAGTGAAGTTTCTCTTTTACTTTAGGAATTTTCTTCAACAATCTTTTCTTTTTGAGATAATCATTTTGGTTGACATATTGCTATTGACACTCTGTTACGTTAAAAACTCTGTTACTCTGTTTCCTAAAGAAGGAATTTTGATTGTTTGGGTTTTAATTTTAGCGCTGCCCAAGTGCATACAAGAGTCATACAGTCGATGACAAGTTCCTTGAATTGCATTGTTTTCTTAAATGTTGACGATGAAAATAAAAAAAAATGGCTTGTTTGATTTTATTCAAATCTTCTTGTCTTTGGTATTTAAGATAATTCACCTGAATGCACTGCCATTTGTTTCTTTTGGAAGCATTTTTGCACTAAAATGTCACAAGACATTTTTGTTACATAGTGAGCTTTATGTTAAGTTGAATTATTTAGTAATGCAAGGACTGTTTAAAGATCTTCATTTTATTTTAAAAGCAAAACTTTTTGAAAAGTGTAAGGAATTAAGTCTTATTTCATCAACTGTCGCTCCTTGCTTTGTGTTCAACACAAAGAAGTTACCTGTTAAATTATCCGTGTAATAGTTTTGGCTTGTTATTCAAATGTAAAACAGATGTTTAATGGAAACATGTTTAAAACTGTGCCCTATATTAAATAGCACTAGATGTTCATGTGCCAGTCCAAGCATGGTTTGGCCACATGTCATGAGACAGTCACTGGTTGTTTAAAAAATATTTCAGGTTCAGTAGTTTTGATAAGTTTTTCAGGGAGTCACCTTTTATATTAATTTAGATGTAAAATGACACATCATAGTGCAGGAAAGAAATAGTTGTGGCAGTTTGCCAAAAAAAAAAACCTTGTAATTTTGGAAAATCAGCACAACCTGCATATTAATTTAGTTAGTTATCTGCTAGCTATCTGCTAGTTATGCACAATGCAGGATTTCCAAGAGCAATGTCAAATCGGTTCCTGCGACAGTGTAGTTGTCATTATTTATTTCAAAACAATGTATAATAAAACAATTATTATTAGATTTGGTTTTTGCAATATCCGGAATAATCAAGGTCTGGGTAAGTGTTATCAGCCTCAGCCTTCAGCTCAGATGATAACAATTACCTTGACCTTGATTATTCCAGATATCACAAAAACCTGATCCAATAATTATTAATAATTGTGAAATACACAAAAAATTAAGAAGTGGGATAAATAGATAAAAAATTGATAAAGAAAGCAAACAGAGGTCTTTTCAATACAAACTATAATAATATTATTTTATGTGAAGTTAGCAGATCAGAGTGCCTCTTAAATTTTCCTTCAGAGTTCTTTTCCTTATGTGTCAGCTAGAGTAGTGTTTGTCAGGATTGTATTGTAAATAAAATAGTAACTATTCTGATTTTAGTTATTTGCACCTTGATTTCTTTGTTTTTCCTTTAGGGAACACACCCCTCCACCTAGCAGTTCTTTTAGGACATAAAGGTATAGTAATAAATTTTTGTCTTCTTTAGTTTAGTGGATATGTTGTAGGTAAAACTCTGTTCTCAGGTTGCAGCTGTAGGTTCTTAAAGGAGACTTGTACATGTAAAAGCAATTTCTGGTTCAACCTGAGAATGTATTCTACCTTTAATGGGTAGACAAAAGTTTATTTTATGCAAAAACAATCTGTATTTAATTATGAGAAACATGACATTCATGTGGAAAAAACATGCTAAAACATACAGGCAAACAAGCTTAAAGTGGTGCCCCTTAGGAAATAGCCGGCTGAGGGATAAAATACAAGTTGGTCCTTTATTACCCATTAGACACGCCTCAAAATAAATCAGTTTTAGAATGTAGTGGTTACAGGGGAGTATTTGTCATAACCTTTCCACATAGCTGTCCTTGTCCCGTTTCTCCTTACTCCTCGATGCTAGGGACATTTTGCCTGCAGGAACATTTGCGACTCAGCAACAGAAATTTCATACTGATGATGTAAATCAATGTTTACATAATAAATTTGGTAGTCATGGGGTTCCAATTGTCAATTTGTTTGATTTTTTGTTTCTCTTGGTCAATTAAGGTAAAGTTTTGTGTTCTTCTGCGAACAAGCTCCAGCAAAACTCAGATGCTTTTTCTAAACAAGAATATATTCCAGGAATATTGACTGCTTTGTAGTAGATTCATCGCGTTTACCTTTGACCTTTGTGGTCTTTTGTCTGTCATTTGTAAACAATGGCTAAAACAATATAACTCCCACATTGACCAATCAGAGCTCCTGACCAGATTCCAGACAGATTTTATGTCATCAGTATAGAATTTCTATTGCTGAGTTGCAGACGTTCCTCTTGGCGAATCATTCTTAGCCATGAGGAGCAAGGAGAAATGGCTGCATTCGCAGGCTATCCTTGTCTCAAAAAAGAAATTTATACATTACAGGTGATACACACATTGAAATGGTATGTGGAAGAAGGCCCTTGAGGATCATAATAACATTATGCTCTGTTACATTCTCTGTTTGTTTCAGAGAAAACTAACATTACTTTTATTTATGAGGCATGTTAGGAGAATCTAGCAGTTAAAGGGGAACTCTGGAGTAGGACGTTTTTGCATAATACTTACATCTTGTCATGTTTTTGTAGAATGTGTGTATTTATTGCTGGCACATGATGCACCAGTGAAGGTTAAAAACAACTTAGGATGGAGTCCACTTGCCGAAGCAATCAGCTATGGAGATAGGCAGATAAGTAAGTTTAACTACTGTTAGGTGGTTATTCTTTGTTTGACTTCTGTGGTACAGACTGTAGTCCACTAATCCAATGGGAAACAGCCAGTCTCACCTTCTTTTCAGTTTGACCCTGATTTTGACTGTGGTAGGGTTAAGCGCTGACTATAGTGTTTAGGGTTAAGCACTGACAATAATGATTAGAGTGAAGTGCTGAAAAAATGTTTAGCTTTCATTTACTATAAGGGTTGTTACCATTATGAAGGTTAATTTAAGTCATGGGGTAAACTCAAGAGGGGTAAATTCAAAGGGGTGCAGAACTGGTACAAATCATCTAATGAACATGAAAGGCAGTGTGGCTGAGTGGTCAATGCATTGGACTCATAATCTTGTCAGCTGGGGTTCAAGTCTTGCTCTGGCCACTTGCTGGACTAGTTCTCGGTCGTCCCAAGTTCAAATCCTAGGCAAATCTTGTAAATAGCCAACTTCAAGTGGTTGCGTTCTGCCAGTTGGGGTTTTTATTCTTGTTATGTTCTATTTGGACTATTTATTTCTAATCATTTGAGTGGAGTCCCCGTAAACTAGCTGGATAAGCTAAGTATACAGTCTACTATTAAGTGCAAACCTTTAAACCTTATTTTTACCTTTTAATGACCACTAGTCACTATGGAAGTATTTCAGTATTACATTTACCGGGCCACAGGTTTTCTTGGTCTTGCAATCTTGGTTTCCAGGGCACTTTTTAATTCATTTTTAGTTTTGTATATCTGTAATTTGATATGCAATTTTTATCATTGTTTCATATGTTATTGCATGCACGGCTCCCCTGGTTACCAAATCTTTGTAAAATATCAAGTTTTTGGAATTGGAAAGTACCACCCTCTCTGAATAACATTAGTAGTGTAGAAGTTTGATTGATTTTTCTTGTTTGGGCCAGTGATCACGAGTAGGCCTTCTCCGGCCCTGCCTTGAGGTCTGGATCTGACAATGTGATGCCTGGCTGCATAAATGACACTGTATCTTTCTTATTATTTTTTTGTCTTTAGTCACTGCATTACTAAAGAAGCTCAAACAACAGTCGAGAGATGCGTTAGAAGAAAGGAGACCTCAGCTTACCGCTGCTTTACATGAGGTACAGGCTGTACATTAAATTGAATTTCTAAGGGTGCTGTGTTGACTACAATGAAACCTGTATAAAGCAGCACTCTCAGGAGTATCAGTGGTGTCAGCGTAATAGATCTACAGTGTATGTCCCCTGGAGGAGGCAGTCTGGCCAAGTGGTTAAAGCTGTGGATTTGCATTTCAGTGGCCCCAAGTTTAAGTCCTGCTCTGACCGCTAGCTGCATTTGTTAATGGCAGTCCCAAGTTCAAATCCTTGACCATGCTTTTAAATGGCCAACTGGTTTGCCAGATGGGATTCTTAACCCTGTTAAGTTCAATCATTTGAATGGGGTTTGATTTGCTTGGCAACTGCTCAAATTATCCATTTACTTATGTATTACAATTTTTTTTATACTGGTTGTGTTTCAAAGAAAATATGGAAAGACCAGTCTAGGGTGTGATACAACTGCTCACATATCCATGTAATGTAATGTTGGGTGTCTGGCTTTATGTGTTGTCCCCTTCATAGAAGTTTCACTAAAACGTACCTACACCTATGTACATTTCAATAACACCTTCTGGTGCATGTACAAGGAACAAACTATCCCACATACACTGCATATATATCTTTGTAAAATCTTTTTAGTAAATGAGGACTTGATATGCTGAGTAAAGTACTTCATACCCACTGTCTAGTTTTGTTAGAAGCTTGTTTACTTTTCTCAGTTAAAGCAAATTAAGAAAATGACCATAATGTTATGCTACAAATGTATTCTGCATGCTGGTAATATTACTGTATTGAAGTTATTAACACTGCTTTTGTATTCTTATTTCTTTTCTAGCTTGGTGATTTTTATGTCGAGATCCATTGGGATTTTCAAAGCTGGGGTACAGTATGATTATTAATTTAATGTTTGATATACAACATTGAAAGAATTTGTAAGCATATTTCATGTTGTACTGTTTGTTTGTCAATTGCAAAAAATATTTGCTACAAATAGGTTACATTCCAGAAAACTGACAAATTTTATCATTTTATTTTTCACAGTGCCACTCTTGTCTAGAATATTGCCTTCAGATGTTTGTAAAGTGTACAAGAAAGGTTGCTCCATAAGGTGAAACATGGTGCTCTGATGTGACTGTTGAGTGTGTAGATAAACTTTAAGTGTAACCATTCAATTTGAAGCTACGGTGCTCAAGGTGGCTTGACTTTTGTATGAATGAAACCCTATGACAGTGTGGCTATAGATAGAAGCTAATGAGCCATACATACCTGTGGTACAGTACTGTTTATTATGTCACCCAAGGTGGTTCTAAATTTTCAGTCTCTGAATGAAATCCTAAAGGGTGACCATTCAAGTGTATAAAAACCTACTGAGCAATACTTCCGTGTGGTGTTGTTTAATGTTGTCTGCAAATGGGCTCTAACTTTTGAATCTCTGGATGAAATCCTTACATGTTTGTCGTTCAAAGATATGAGGGATGCCATGATGACAACGGCAACAGGAATGTCAAAATAGCAGCAAGTTGAATAGGTCAAACAACAACTCTGCATGTTGCAGCAAACTTTTTTGTATATTTCGTTGCCCCCTAATGCGCTTCCACGACATGAAAATACCTAGTTTTACACTGTAAGAAAGACATGAACAAGCAAAATGCAAGCTTTTCTTTTCTTTCTTAACTTGGATATGGTTCTTACAAATTCAACTCTAGACGACTTTGCTTGCATTTGACAAAATAAGTGATTTGGGATGATTGCAATAGAGATCCATGGAAGGAACGCCAATTCACTTTTTGCGGGATGTTTTCCCGACCATGGCTATTGTGGTATCTTGACTTAAAATTCCTAATACCAGTTACAGTAACAGCACATGCATGTTATACTCTGTAGCTCATGTGCTTAGCTGGACAGAGGCAAATCCTCTAGTGTAGCCATACATGAGCTCAATCACTTCCTCCTGTTAAAATAATTATTGTGACGTGTGTTAATGCAAGGGGAAGCTTTCTTGTTTAATATTGGTGTCACTTATTTGTTATGTCCTCTCGACAGAATGGACAGCACACTAGTGGATTTTACAGATATGAAGTGGCAGCGAGGGGATTTAACTTTTACCTTCAATGGTGATGCTAAAGGTACATGTACAAATACCAGTAGTAAGTTAAGAACTATATCAAGCACAATCTGAAAATCATGTATCTTTTTTATGTTACAATACTTACAACACAGACCGTTTAAGTTACTGTAGAGCAATAATGCCTTGATCAGCCACAATAGCAATTTAAACATCAATAATTTGATTCATTGACAGAAAATCTGAGAATATTTTCTTTTTTAGACTGGAAGTTCAGACCAATATTGATCTTAATGGTTTTGCTTTAAAAATGATGCTTAGAATGAACATGTTGAATTCTCGAATTCAAATTTATCAGTAAAAATCAAACATCTTACCCTTTGGATGATCTTGTTTGTTCTTTAACAGGGAAACAATCTTTTGCTGTATTAGACAATGAAAAAAAGGTTTTTCAAAGACTTAGGACAGAGGTGAGTTAAATTAGAAGAGGAAAATAGTGACGCATTGAATCCTCCATGTTTTTGTAAGATACATGTGCACATACATAGTAAAAACAACTACGGTACCATCAAGTAATGTATGTATGCATTTTTCGCAAAGCATGTCAAAAATTAAAACTTACAATAGCCACTGTATTATTATCGGTTATCTTAAACTTGGTTTGTGAGCACTTGCCCACTCTATGGCTATCATAATTTTCGGACTGGCTTAAAAATGTCTTAAGATATTATAGTTTCCTCGGTATTTTGTCTTTTGACCTAAGAAAACTAACTCCCAGTAACAAGAATGATGACTGGCCAACATTCTTCTAGTGCATCTGCCATGCCACTAATATTACTGATCTGTGGCAGGAACATCATTGGTGTAAGTTCTCGATATGAGTATATTCACTGCTTGTTGGTTTCTTTCAATGTCAGGACACTGAGGCAGAAATTGAGGAGGAGGTTGACTTGCTAATGAGCAGGTATATTAAGACGTGATTGGGGGATTGTTCCAATAAATGCCTAATTTCAAACCAAGTGAGGCTGGGTACGAGTACATTATCATGGGATACGTAAATGACATGAGACCCAAAAGTCAGAAAGAGGAAACCAAGATTTACAGAATCCCTTTGGTGTTTGTCAGGCCTACATTGAACAAAATACAGCCATTCCAAAACTCCAAACTTTCCTAAGAAATGCATAGACATCTGGACAGTATACATCTCTTAGAAAGTTTTCAAGTTTTAAACAGCTGTATCTTGTTTATCCCATGATATAAGGACTCATACCCAGCCCTCACCCAGCAAACGAGGAGCACAAGACATGTATGACATGATAAGGTGCAGAATGGTTGGTCATTTGGTTGTGTGTCTGGAGGCACAATCAGACAAACAATGATGTGTGGACAACCATTATTTTTTCGCGCCATCCCTTCTCTACACCCACTTTATGTTTTGTTCACCTGGAAAATGTTAAAGAAAAGCTCCTGTTCTGCAGTCTAGGTATAATGAGCATTTTTAGAACGTTTTGTACGCCACCAAACGAATTGATGGCATATTACACCCTGACCTTACAACAGCCACCTCTCTAGAGAGCCTTGTTAACTCTTTTGCCATGTTAATTGTTATGGTTGGGTCCTGACTGTTTGACTGTCATCTTTTGCAGTGACATTGTTGCAGCGATGATGTCGACCAAACCAATTACTTTTAGTAGATCACAAGCTGGCTGGATCTGGCATACTGATAGAACCGTGAGTAGCTCTCTTGGAAATTTTACTTGTGTAAATGACCCAAAAAATCTCTTAATTTCCCTCAAAAATTTCTGAAAATTTATGGCACCATGTGGATGTACTTAAGAGGTTTCATTTGAATGGTCACACCACAGAATTTCATCCACAGACTCAAAAGTGAGATTTACATACATTGTACAAAATGAATACCACCATAGGAAAGAACTGCTGGAGAGGTTTTGTTTGAGTGGTTACACCATAGGATTTCTTCCACCGGCTGAAACGTTAGGACTGCATTAAGTAAATAGCACCATATGAAAGTACTACTGAAGACGTTTCGTTTGAATGGTAACACCATAGGATTTCATCCACAGACCCAAAACTTAAAACTACATGCAAAACAAATAGCACCATGTGCACGGATTCGCCTTTCGTTTACACTGGACCCGCGTAGCAATCGTGCACGTTTTTGGACGGCAAAGTTTGCAAGTTTAGTAAGCGAAAATGTTTTACCAGTACAGTTCCACGTTTGCGCGGACTCGTGTAAACACCTGAACCATGCACAGTTTGTGCGGTAAAAGCCCAGAGCCTAGTTACGCGCCTTTCATTAACAACAAAAGTCATTTCAATGCTGACACTGGCAAAAGCTAATGTTTCCAAGGAATTTGTTTCATTTGCTTATTTTTGGCTTGACTTAGGAAATGATTGGCCCTTACCTTTCTGAAGTGTACTCCATTAATGGAATGATGCTTATTTCAAGAAAACGGTAATTTTTCACTCTCTGTTTTGTACAGTATTTTACAATTTTGCTACAATTTTGATATTTTACTGTGCTTAGTTATCTGCATGTTTATGACCTGTATTGTTTGTGAAATTATAGTCGTGAGCACCTCACAGAAGAGGATGTGGTAAAGAATAAGGTTTGTTGTTTTGTTTTGTTTTTGTTCAGTTTTTTTATTAGACTTCACACTTTTAACCCCCAATGGTGATTGAAACCAAATTTCTCCCTGTAATCTGGGGTGGGGCACTTCCCTACTCGCTAAGATGGATTTCTACTGTCGCGTTTTTTGTACGCGTTACGCGCGTAAATAAAAAAGAGGCAATGTATAGAAGGTCGCTCGTAAACGTTTAAGTTGAACCTCGCTCAACTTTTGCGTTTACGCGCTGCTGCACGTAAAAATTACGCGACCGTGGAAATCCACCCTTATGGAACTGAGCAGAATCCGCAGTCATTAGGAAAATTCTTGTTCATCAACTATTTACTTTCCTCCGACAGGCGCTGATAGACACCCTCAGCAAAGGAAATGGGAACATTATGGACAGCTTGCCGGAGGTTGGAAAACTGTATACAGTAACTTAACAATAGAGTGATTTTCGTATGACCTTGAAAAATGGTTTCGGTAAGTGTTATTTCGTTATTTGTTTCATCAGCCAATGGATGAAAAGATCAAAACATGGACTCTTCGTTTTCCCGCCAAAGAAAACCCTAATATGGAGAAGGCATTGTTCGATTGGCCAATCGTGTTGCAGTATGACGTCAAAGTATCGACTGATTTCTAGAAAGTTCTCGGACATGAAGTTTTTTCACCTGAACTTTCGCTTAACCAACCAAAAGCCACGCGCCTTTGTATCCGTTCTTTCCTTTGTTTGTTGTTTCTCTTTTGTTTGCTCGTTTTCATTTCAAGGTCATACGAAAATCGCTCTATTTAAGGGTGACTTACAATTTTGCTGACACTGTTCACTAGAACAAGGAAAGAAGGGTGGCGTAGTGGCAGAGCACTCTCCTTGCCACTAATTTGTCACAAAAGTTCAAATCCCGGCGTCGAGACCATTTATGTGTTGAGTTTGTTGGTGGTTCTCTTCTTTGCTCCGAGACGTTTTTCTACGGTTACTCTGGTTTTCCCCGTTTTTCAAAAATCCTGCATTCTCAAATTCCAGTTCGATCAGGAATGAGATCGACGACGAACCTCTACGTGGATGTGCTACCTCTAAATTGGCTATGAAATCTTTATTACTAGAGCCAGAACTCTCCATTTTCGCGTGTTTCTATTTCAGACTACACGGCGAAATTCACTTCTTCCACCGCCCAAAACGGATCTGACCTGGGATGAATATCTGCTTTATGACTCTGAAAGGTAAGTTTGTAGAACCATCTAACCCTTAACACAACGCGTATGTTTGTTCAGCTCTGCATGTATGTCGGTATTTCTTTCTTGTATTAGTTTTGGACTTGTCTTTGCTGTTGCACTTTCAATCCAACTTTGCGTCGTGTATCGCCATTTCATCTGTTTTATATCGCTGTTTAAAGTCCCTGTAGCGTGTTGGAATTCACCCTTACGGGGTCTTCCTTGCCGTTTGCCTCATCACAGTCCCGGCTATTTTTTCGTAAGATCGTCGAGCGCTTTGCGTTAAGGGCAGCCATCTTGGATGAGTAGTTTTGACACTCAACCAAGATGACTGCCCGTAACGCGAAGCGCCGGATCTCGAGGATCTTACGGAAAAATAGCGGACTGTGAACAGTCTACCCTTATCGTAACCTGTGTACCAGGCATAAATGGACAGGGAAGGGGGACAGACGAATCGGGGAACTTTGAAAAAAGAAAAGGTCCAGGAGCACCATTGATAAAACTCCCGGCATATTTGTCTGCCTTAAAATTTTTATTGATGGGACCTCAGTATATTATTGATGAATGACAGTAAACAAAGCACAATCATGAGAGCCTGGAGGCTGTGGGGCAAATCTTGCACGGCATGTGTAAGCGTGGGCTGACTTACAGTGCGACCACAATAACCGGGGCCACTTAGACAAAGTTGACCGATCAGGTTACAGGAAAATACCAGTACTTTCCAAAAAAAGTTGGTTGTGGGCCAGTCAGCAGCTCGTAAAAAAAGACAATAAGTTATTCGAAGCACAAAATTTAAATACTGATAGCAAACGTTTTTCAAGAAAGCAGAATGTTTCACCAGACAATGTTTTTCTTCGAAACTTTACATATAATACTCAGGAGACATTTATTTGATACAAGCTGGTATTTTGTCATCTAGCAGCAATTTCGTCGCTACCATTGCCGCACTGTGCAATAAACATTCAACAGTCAAAAATGTGACTATAACGTTTACATTTTCCCCCTCCGTTAGCACTCTAACGGACCTCTCAGGAAACATAGCCTTTCTTCAGCCGGTTTAAAAGGGTCACGTCTTTAGGTTGTAATTGTTTGATTTCAATCCATGTTGTTGATTTCGTTCTGTGGTAATTGTAATTGACAACTAACTTTCTTGGAATGTATTGTTATTTTCCTGTCATCCAATTGGTCAACTTTGTCTAGGTGGCCTTGGTTATAGTAGTCGCACTGTAATTGGAAGGGCACTGTTCTGTAAATCTCAGCCAGGACTTTTGTCCTGTGATCAGCTTCTAGACCTCAGTGTGGCCCTAAGGAACATGTTGAAATGGAGGTTTCGTTTTCTAAAGGACGAAAACAGTGCTCTCAAAACCTGTTTCTTTGCCAGCAGAAGTTTCCACTGCACTTCTGTTGTGAGAGATTAATACCTCAATGTCTTCAAGCAAACTTCTAAGCATTCCTTAATAAGTCAAGGTACTTTTCTCGACCACCCCACCCCACCCCTTCCTATCTACACTTGTTATATATGCTGAACTTGTCCATTCTTAATGCACTTTACTTCATTCACAGGCTGCCGCATATTGGTCGGCCGATGAAACTCAAAGAAGACAAGAAGAGTGTTAAGTGCCATGTCGCAATGGTAATCTAGATTGATTATTTTTTTTTCCTTTTATCACACTGTGATCTTATGCCATGTCCTTTATTGGTATCACTGTGCTTTTAGTTAATCGTTGTTCTCTTTGTTTCACAGAGTGAGGAATTTCCGCTTTCCGTTGACTTGTAAGTTGTTGCATTTATTTATTTGTTTATTTTTTTTGCATTGTATCATCTGTAAATTAACGTATCACGGTCACCCTTGTCATGGAAAAAACCAACGAGTCCACAGTTTTAGAAAAGCTTCACTACCTAATTGTATGCTAAGAACAGTCCAACCTCCATATGCTACCACCTTTCATAAGCAACCAGCTCCCATAGGCGACCACCCATTCCTAGTCAAAGCCCAGTGATTAGACCCTCTAGTAAGCGACTCAGCCGCGACCACTTTTTGTGCTGATAGTTTTATAATTTGCTATTATTTTTAACCTCTTGTAAGCGACCACTTGACGCATGGTCTGATCTCTCCATTCGCTGTATGTACCATGACACTCACAGTTTTCGAATAACGTTAAGCGACGACATGGAACTACACATATCGTAACTTAGAAATTGCCTGCAATAAGTTCTCGTCCAGAAAGGAAATGTCTCGTGACCTCTTCTCGGAAGCAACCTCCAGTCGCTTCTCGTAAGCGACCACCTCCCTTAAGCGACCACTGTATCTTCGCATGTTGGGAGGTTACCTTAATACGGGAGTTGCGTGGCACGTGCGTGGTAGGCGTTTGAAAGGGATTCCTTCTCCCTCGCACGCAGTCTCGCGCCCAAATTCCCTTTTCCTTCTCGAACGCCTGCCACGCAGACTATTCAACCGTAGCTAGAATAACAGTTCTTTATTATTTTCCTTCTCCCCAGAATCCTCAAAGTGTTACAGGTTGTTGCTCCATTCAAGCATTTTAACAAGTTAAAAGAGTTTGTAGCCATGAAACTGCCCGCCGGTTTTCCTGTCAGAATAGGTTTGTGTAGTTGTTGTTACCATATATATCTCGTGTCTCTTTGCACAACACCCCCCACCCCTACCCCTCACCCTTCCCTTCCCCTCCCCCACGGGTAAGATGTTCGGTTGTTTTGCTACAGCGTTAACCGTGAAACTTCTGGAAAGTTTTCTTTCTAAAAGTGTCACAGTGCTTTAAGTTGATCGGGGATATTATCGTAGTATATCAAACTTATAACAGAGACCCTTAGATACTAAGACGAGGACGACTTCGAGGACGAGATTTTCTCAAAGTAGTGCGCGCGTGAACGAGAGTTACTTTGGCAGGGAAACGTGGTCGCCGTCGTCATTCTACTACGGATTATAACGAGAACGTAGAGGCGGAAACAAGTTATTAAATTTTAGAGGTTTTATCATTATGCGATCAGGAGAAGAGGGCTTAACCTCCTTCAATAAAAACAACCGTGCTAATTTTCCTGTGAAAAGAGGTGCAATAGAGCTTTCCGGAGAGTCTATTTTGTGGAGATTACTAGAAAAAATTGAGTTTAATTTTGTCCTTGTAATGGTCCACATCCTCGCCTTTTCCATTAACGGGTGATAGTCTAGAGAGATCGCCTTAACCCAGTCCCAAAGATGCTTGCAGACAGAGACTAATGTGTTGTTTCTTCCGACAACAGAGATCCCTGTTTTTCCCACCATCACCGCACGAGTGACATTCCAGGACTTTAAATCATGTGATAACATTCCTTCTTCAATGTTCTTTATACCACGAGATTACAAGGTCAGTCGTTTAGATTCCCTGTTAGGAAAAAACTAGATCAATAATCATTTTACTTATCCTAGAAATCGTCATCATGTTACGGTTGTTTTTTGCCCTTTTGACTTCCTTTTTTAAGTCCGTGAAAAATGAACTGAAACTTGGCACTTGACCAGTCTATTAAAATCCTCTAAACAGTTTTTTTACTATGCTTAACAAGGTGGTTCTGGCTTTTGGTCTGTAAATGGAATGCTGTGTTGTAACATCCAGATAAAAGCTCAGAGCTGAGCAGTAATTTCCTGTGGTACTGTTTATTACACTGTACAATGTGGTTACGACTTTTGAGTTTGTGGATGAAATCCTGAAGGGCGACCATTCAAATAAAAGCTACTGCTGAACAGTATTATCCCGCGTGCTGACATATAATATTCTGTTCAAATGCTGGCTTTCAAGGTTTTCGAGGCAATTCTAGCTATTTTTCTCAAGAGCTTGGTTTGTTCTTCAATACTCTAGAGTTCGTTCTGCCTTTGTTGCTTTGGAGTGAAAAATATTTCATTTCTCCAGGCAAACTTGGCTACGCCACTTTATTTAAGACCCTTAACCCTCGGATTTCAAAAGTGTTCATGTTTGTTTGTACCTTGCTCCGCCGCCAAGTTCCGTAATTTAATTAAGAACGAAACCTTATAAGTGTTTTGATCAAGTTGACTGTTTTCACTGCCATTTATAGTCTATTGCATAGTACCGTGTAAAAAGGCCCCATTTTACTCCTTTGGCACAGTTTGTTTACTTCCGATTTTTCTTTGTGCTTGAGTTATTGCATTGTTTTTTGAAATGCGTTCTTAGCTGCTGTTATTTCCGCGAGGGTTCAAAACCACAAAGATCTTTACAAAACCAGTCTTCCGTTATTAAAATATGACAAAGGACAAAGGCTATACCTCAAATGTGCCGATCTAGGTATTGCCAGACGATGTCGTAATTTTCCATTGATTCTTTTCATTGCCATTTATAGTCAGCTGCATAGGAGAAGGTGAAAAGGGCCATTTTCTCTCGTTTCAGCAGTTTGTTTACTCCCGATTTTTGTTTGTGCTTGGGTTATTGCATTATTGCTCTAAATTTGTTATTGGCTGTTGTTATTTCCGCGAGGCTGTGACTAATTTTAGTACCATAAAGATCTTAACAAAACCAATCTTCCGCGATCCGCTATATTATGACAAAGGAAATAGATTATACCTCAAGAATGCCCATCTAGGCGTTGCCAGACTTACAAAAAATATTTAAGGAAGGCATGTGATTACTATATTAGTTATGGACTTAGCACAGGAAAAAGCCGTGACGAATTATTGTCTGGGAACGATTCCAAGCTGGTTGTTTTCCCCAACTTAAGCGCATTTTCTGGAAGTAATCGGAAGCGGCTGTTTATCTTCACATTGTGGAAACCTAGCTGGCGCGAATTGCGGAACGACGGCGGCAGTTTAATTGAGTGAAACAACAACTCTGTACGTGCGTCACGTTTTTAGAACATTTCTTTGCCGTCGTCGTGTGAGAGCGGATGTGGGCCGTGATTTTTGTGTTTCAAATGAACCCCTAATAATATAATAGGACCTAATAACGAAAAAAGACAATAGTAAGAAAAGATGATGATGATATGATGATTAATGGTGCATGTGGTGGTAGTGGTAGTGGTGAAGATGATGAAGATGATGTGATGACGACGAACGGCAGTGGAGGTTTGTGGGATGGGGGAGGAGAAGGACGACCGACGATGAATGTTACAAACATTGCTGAATTACAGTTTTTCTATTTCTTCCAGGAGGATCCCAATCGCTTCCCTGATTTGTAGCTGTTTGTACCACCTTCCAACTGATGCCGCAAGAGGCATTACTTCCTTTAGGAAAAAATCCATTTATTGGCATTATTTATGCCTTGCCTTTGCGTACAAGATGTTTAGAGTCAAGCAAAAGATATGCAGTTTTAATCACCAATATATCCTGTCGGTTTAGTTAAATACCCTACTGAAAATATTAATCTTTCAAGCCGGTATTACCAAAAAAGGTGACCGAAGGAGTTAAATTTGTCAAACATAGTGTTTGCAGGATGCTTTATCGATGATCTTACTATTGTTCTGTTGTACAAGACAAGGCGTTATTATATTTGTAGTTTTTTTTCGTTCTTTCTTTTCGTTGGCATCCTTTTAACTCTAAATCACATTGTTTCTTGCGAAAATGTGCTCTTCCCTGTTATTGTGGAAGTATAAGACCATGTGTCGAAAAGTTTTAATAAATTGACACTGTTTTTCCAGTTTAAATCAAAAGGGAGTCATATGGGGAACTTATTGAGGATAATTAGACCGTTTCAACGTAGTAGCAGACTTTCAGTAATTTTAGAGAACTGTAATTTGACCATTTTTCAGGAATTTAGTGCGTACAACTTGCAAACAGATGTGGGCCTTGTTTGATAATTTTTTAGGTTTCAAAGATTAGAATTGTTAAGATGTCGGCTGTGTATAATAAATTGCTTTACGTTGTGGCTTAGTTTTATGAGGGAAATAATATATTTATCCAGTTTTAACGTGTAATAAAAGGGGCTGTGTCACTAGGATATCGCGGTTTTAGCTCCACTCTGTGCTGAAGTAATTAGTTAGTGCCTGTAACCATACACAAAATGCTCCTGTTAAGTTAATGAAGAAGATATCAAACAGCTTTAATGAGGGAGCACTAACTATAATAAGTTTCTGGTGTATCTTGCTGGCATAGCAGCATTAAAATATGAAAAAATAGACCTAATTTTTCAAGTTTCAATCCATGAACAGAGGACAGGAAACCATTTCAATACCTAACCATAGTCTTAAATAACAAGACTGAACCATTCTTTTTGGAATTCAAGTTATGGGAAAACATGTTTTAGCTTTCTGAAAAGATAGCAAGTAGTGTGACGTAGCCCCTTTAAGTCTTATTTAGCATGTTTAGATATCGTGGGAATTATGGAATTTGCTTGTGTATAGTAAAACAACTGAAGTAGTTCACTGTCGGCTCATCTGAATTCGAATGCTTCAGTGTGTACGATAATCTAGCTTGTATTTATTGAGTTTTAGTTTATATAAAACGCATTTATGTTGCGTAGCTGAGTAAGTTATTGAACGGACGAATTTACCTTTATTTAAGGCTTTGTTGGTTCACGCTTTGGGTTGTCTTCATTTTAACTAGGTTGGTATTGTACTCTAGTCTGGGTTCAAAGTTCGGCCTCTAAAATAACGTATTTTTATAATGTATTGTAACAGGGGTTAACTCCCAGAGTTAATGTACTTTGTTCGGTGGCAGATCACCGATTAAATATAAGAGTTTTCGGTAAACGCGTTTGCTTGACTTGTGTATTTTGGTGAATACTTTTTTTTGTTTACCCATGAAGCAGACTCTTACCCAGTGGAAAAATATTTCCTTCGTCCCTTCCCATGAGTCCCCGCGCGCATCAACCTAACCCCAGTCTCCTCTCATCACACACATAAATAGCGACTGGGTGGGTACGAGTCTGCCCACTCTTTTAAACGTGTTCGTTTGTCCCAGAACGAGTTGGAATCTGGAAGGGTTAATGTTTGAGGGGGAGGGAAAACCGGTGTACCCAGAAAAAACATTTCTTGTGCAAGGGAGAGAACCAACGGCAAACTCCGTCCACAAATGGCGTCGTCCCTATCCGAAAAGGGTCGCTGCCATTTTTACGACTCTTAAGAAATGTTTGACCGGTTATTGAGAGTGTTGCTATAATAAAAATAAGAAAGAAGAACGCAACGCAGGGTCTAATCCAGACCTATCGTATCCTAATCTCTCTCCCTTACCACTACACTACCATACCGACCACCAAGATTCCGAAAAAAAACTAGCAAATAGTCTTTCGTGCCTGTTTACATCAATAACAGCTGACCCTAGCCCTTTCCATAACTTTTACAACGTATAGCCTGCGTGACATACGCGAATAGGGAATTCATGCTACTTGGGCTTCAACGTCGTTCTTCAACAAGACTATTTTAAAACGTATTATTTACCTCATTGCAACTTATAATCCCGGGAAGACCGTAAACTTCCGATTATAACCTCCCTCCCCTCCCCCATTTGTAGGCCCCATGTACCTGCAAACCAAAAGTACTACAAACCCCCTCTACCTTGTATTGAAATGAATTCGACTAGCTTTTTACGACGTTTAAGCAGTTAAAAAAGCGATCAATTTTCAAACAGTATTATTATCAGCAGTGCTATGTAGCTTGTTTTGAAACACTTGTTGGTCCGACTATAGGACCCCCCTTTCTAAGCCCTCCTAAACCCCTTACGAAGTTGTATAAGCCCACGACTTACAATCGGACGTTTACGGTATATCACATCTGTCATGACTGAAGGTTTGGTTATCAATGGTGGTATCGACCGTTAGCGAAAGGGAAATAGGCGTCACTTTGGAGGAAGGCGAGAGCTCTCACTACTGCGCCACCCTCGTTCCCGTCAGTACGATATATTCCTGGTCATTTTGGGTGGCCTACGAGGCTGGCGAGATCAGAATGGGTTAGCGCTTTTTGTTCAGATTTTTCGCTTTGACTCGCATGTCTCATTCTTCTCCCGGCTTTACAGCTAAACCGGACAATACCCGTGGAATGAAGGAGCTGTGCGTGATAAATGTCACCAGCTATGATCGGAGGGACCCAGGCCACATTTTGGGTTGATTAAAGGGGTTGGGGAAGGGTGTGCCCTCAGTCAAGGGTTTCTGGTTACCCCTATGATGGAATATAAGGAGATGCTCCGCTCGAAAGGTTGTTCATTTTAATTTTCAGGCTTAAAGGTATGTGAAGGGCAGCAGGAGCTTATGGTCATCATTTCTTAGACGAGAAGAGCAACAAAAATATTCTTTAAAACCCTATCCTGCGTAGCAAGCGTTTCCGCGCGGTTTAGGAGCAAAGAACGAGGAACGAGGAACGCGCAAAAAATGGCGCAAGTAAAAGCGCGGGGAAGGGGTGGGGAAGATTGCAAGGTTTCCTTCCTTCCCCTTCCCTCCCCCCTCTTTCACTTTTTCGCACTAATTTCATTTCTCTCGTGGCCAAAATCGAAAATCCCGCTCCTCGGTCTTTCTTTACTCCGAAACCAAACGGAAACGCTTGCAACGCAGGCTGTTAAAATCCATTTCGAATTCGCACAGTTCTCTTTCTTTCTCACTCATTTGGAATTGGAATGACAAATACATTCACACAGACCCGTAGTTCCCTCGAAAACCATGCCCGATTCCATTCCAAAATGGCGCAAAAACCCTACCCTTTAGGGCGGCACATACCTACACGGCTTATAAAAAGCGAGTACCTCCCCGGGAGGGTTATGAGCACGACCCAACCTCGTCCCCAGGGCTTTTCCCTTAAATGGGTGGGGCGGGAATAGCTTGTTTGTCATTTATAGCGCTCTATAAAGGAAGTTTTACAAATGTTACCGCTCGCTGTCCCCTTCATAGAAATCGGAGGAAAGCAAAAAATTACCATAGCCAGTATCTGTGACAAAAAAGAAATCTTGTAAAACTTTTCGTTAATCGTCAAGAGATATAAAAGGCCGCCCAAGATCGCGCGCTGTGAGGTTACGCATAAATTTAGCTTTTCACATAGCGCTAATTTATTACACCCAGGATTTTAGGGTGTACGAGGGGACACGTGACCAGCCGATGCCAGGGCCTTTTCCCGCCCCACCCATTTTTTAAGGGAAAAGTCCTGGGACGAGGTTGAGCACGACCTACTGGTAAATGCGTGTATTGACCATGCGCGAGATCTTCTCTCACTAAAAAATAACAGCGCGGAGCGCAGCGCAGCTCCTCAAACACGTTTTAGTATTTATCAATTTCAGATTTTTAGCATTCGTCAATTGCGGATTTCTAGTGATCATTTCATTTCATTGACCTTCATTAGCTAGATTGCAAATTTCACTTTTTTGCATTTCATCCGATCACGGTTGTTTACAAGAAAATGAAAAATCCTTAATGGGATTACTTAATAAAATCTGTTTTTGTATGTAGTTATAAAAAAATTTAATAGTGAAAGCTCTTGAAATGTTTGCTGGTCTGTATGAAAGCTTGATTGGTTACGCGCGAGCGAACCGCGAATCGCTCGCCCGCTCGTTTTTTCCGAAGTTTGCTCGAGGACTGCTGGCTTTGTATGATCGCTTGAATCACTGCATGAAGCCCATGATCTTCATTTGATGATCACAGGAGTGTTTTTACCCTATCTCGTGAGATTCCTATCGTTCTGTGACTGACGATCATAGGTGGCAAAACTTCTCAGTAGGCTTCCGCACATGAATGTCAGATCTTTGAAATTCACTATTCAGCATACGTCCCGTGAAAAATTAAAAATAAACTGTCGCTGCGATCATCACTTTCGTAAAATTATTTTGCGGAAATATGTTTGCGTATTGTATCACATGAGAATCATTAAATGCATGGTCTTTTAGAATTTTCAATTCGGTCGTTTGACCTCATGGCCCCTTTAAAGAGAAAATTGTGTCCAGAGTCTGAGTAGAAAAAATGTTATAGATGCTTATGATAGCGATTTCACATGCCATAAATTTACAGTTTCGAGTTTCCTTGAGTATTGATTGAGTGCTCCTAACTGAGAAACCGACTGTCTTGCTGAAAGGATAAAAATCACATGCGTTTTAAAAACAACAAAAATTTTAACATTAGTGAAAGATCCAGGCGTAAAACTGTGGTACTGAAAAACAGTTTCAAAATTTCACTGGCACTTTGACAGTGTCTAATCTTCGAAACGGAAAATTAAAACTAATCCTCTCGTGCTAAAAATGGGTAACAAAATAAGCAGTTCCTTGATGCTTGAACAACAGCTCATGGGACCCCGGGGCCATAGAAAGTGTCCGTACTAGCGGGTTCAATTCAAAGAAAATTCAAAGCTTTCAGTTCGATCCCCAAGGACAAATTTAAAAAAGCAAACTGTCCGTAATACTGAGGTGTCTGAACAGCGGGGTTCAAAACTTGAATTCGTGACCAGAAGAGTGAACGTGCTATTGCAGATCAATGCTTTTGTAACTTTCGATTTCGAAATGTTTTCCGTTCCACGATTTCGTCATTATCATCCACGTTTGGCAACAATTTCTCTATTGTGTAACTCTGGCTACGGCCTATTTGACCTTGCATATCAAAAACAAATTTTGAATCTAGACTTTTTTTTCTATTAGAATATACTTATTAGAATGAAAAGAGAGCCTGTCCACAGGCTTCTGAAAAGTGGCTTGTGTCTTTTCTGGTCAGGCTGGAAGAACATACATACAACTCCATAAACGTTTTCTAAGCCATATAGGTATGTGCCGCCCCACAGGGGTAGGGTTTTTGAGCCGTTTTGGTCGGGTATAGACTTTGCCCAGTTTAATTGGTCTAGATTTTCGAGGGAACCACGGGAGTGTAGGAACGTACAGTCAACTCTCTGTAAGACCGACACCTTCTGGACCGGCACTAAATGTCCGTCTTAGAGAAGTGTCCATCTTATAAAGAGTCAAATAAAGGGAGAAAAGAAAGGCAGGGACCAACTCTAGGTGTCCGTTTTACAGAGGTGTCCGTCATATAAGGTGTCCGTTATAAAGAGAGAGTCGACCGTATTTATGGTTTTAACTCCAAACTGAGTAAGAGGGAAAGAGCGGATACGCGAATTCAAAATGGATTTTAAGAAACTTTTTTGTTGCTGTTTTAATCTAAGTAACGAAGAAATAATTTCTTAAAGGCCAGGTCTGAAAACGGGTGTGCAAAATGACATTTTAAGTCTGATATAGCGGTCAGGATTTGGAGAAAGGGGCAGCACACCCTCACAAAGAACTTCCAGGAGTACCCTCCGGGGAAAAAACGTTTTCGGACTGGCCGTAATTCGCCACCTCTGCTAGAGTAGTTGATCCGTAAAACCAGTCGCTAGAACAGAGTATAAATAAATTTTCTGACATACGTCCTGTGTTTCAAGCTTATTTTCTTTATTTTCGAGTCCCCCCACAATACACTCTACACCTCTGTGACAAAGATAAAACTGCCTATCACACGGAAATTAAGTAACAATACGTGACTCCGCCTTCACATGCAAAATATTTTTCATAGCAAAGTCCCTTTGTCAGCTGCCTTTGTACCTTTTATTGTTAGTCAGCTTGTCACACTTGAATCTTCGTGCTAAAGTTTAAGTGTGTTAAATCCTTTTTCACGTTTTTTCAAAGTTTATTTTATCGTGACCAATTTTTTTCGTCAGTGCTAAAGTTTAAGTGAGTTAAAACCTTTTTCACGTTTTTCCAAAGTTTACTTTATCGTGACCTGTAAAACCTTTTATGTAACTTTAAAAAAACAATGGCCAATATCAAGTAACTGTAAAGCGTCCGCAGTCTTTAAGGCACGTAAAAGCTCGGTTTTATATCTAGCGGAACGAAATTCTCGAATTGTGAAATCATTGATTCCACAGACTGCAACAATAGGTCTTCTAGACATATTACAAAATACAAGTGATCACAGAGAGGAATTCTATATGAATGCACAGTGTAAAACGAATGACGTTATCAAGTGGATACAAAGATTAAGAGCTCTCTCTAAGGTTGCCAGGCAAGTGTCAGAAGCGGTCCGGGAGACGTCAAAGTAGGCGGCCTGAAGGCGTTTTTGGGGGCGTATGAGGTGGTGTGATCAAGGTATGATGGGGGTGTGGTGCTCACATGACATGTTGTTGTTGTTGTTGACTAGCTAGCACCTGTGCATGCGATATGGAGACTAAGGCAACGCAAAATAAAGAGAATTATGTAAACGTGGAAAGAATTCATCTGATCGTAAAAACGTACATCAGTATTCCTCTTTATAATAGAATGCGCTGTTTTGCAATTTTAATTTCAAGTAACATGAGACAGCTGAAATGTAACAATACTCTGTAAAACATTTGGCAATTTACTTAGCATGGATCAGGTGATTGTCTTTGCTTATCAAGTTGCTCGCAAAGTTGTCGCAACGAGCTCAAATGATACTACGTGTGAGACACGCGTGGCGTGAGAGAAAGGTGGGGTGGGGGTGTGTAAGGTGGTGTGTCTTGCTTAGCGCTTTTTTCCATGCCTGTCAGTTCAACGATTATGCACACAGCTCAGGCTCCCCACTTTGCCTTGAAAAATCTGTGGAAACTTGAAGGCGCTTCGTGTGAAGATTGTTAGCTTATTAGAAAGCACCGAACCTTAAAATATTAAAAATTCTTTCGAACATGGTTTTGTAACCAGGAGGCGAAAGCCCTGGTCGGGACAACAGAGCCGTTCGCGCAATTTTGCCAGAAAACGCTTCAATCATCGCCTCTAAAAATTCTAGTCGAGTCATTTGCAAAACACAAGTTTGTCAATCATTTCTAGTACTTTCTTTAGCCAACATTTCAATCAACTTGCAGTTTGTCGCTTAGCTTACCTAGAGCTGTTTAACATTTCATCGTTTGTGGAAGTAAAATAAACTTCCTTCAAAGGAAGCCTGACTGATATTTCTTTAAAAATAACAAAACTTCATTTTGCTAATAGTAAACGTTTCATAGGAATGTTTGTTTACTTGAGCTTTCCTTTTCCTTTCCTGCTGAAAAGCTTCCAAAATTAAGGGAAGTTTCAGATGAATTAGGCAGCCATTACTTATAAATTGAAGATCACAAGCCACCCTCCTTTGAGCTTAGCCGCTCTGTCGCAGACACTCTGCTGGGCATTCTGTATACAATGTGTGGGCTGGCTGCACAGCTGACTCCAACGCAGGCAAAAGTGGCTGAGAGAGAAGCCAGTAGAGACGACTGTCTCCGAGATTATACAAAATAAACCCGAGTAAAAAACAAAACTTGTCGCTTTTCTCTTTGCTGTTTTGTTATCAATGTCTATATATATTTTTGTCTCGGGTAAAACAGGAGGATTTGGCTGGCGTCATTTTATATTAAAAGCTAGATTTCTTCACCAACTCAGGTTGTTTTTGGCCGGTAGGAAGGTACCGTATTTATTCGATTAACCGCCCTGGGCGCTTATTAAATTTTTGGACCTTGAGAGTGGGCGCTTATTCGAGGTGGGCGCTTATTCGAGGCTGGGCGCTTATTACATTTCATCATTTTCAGCAAGTGTAGTATGTTTATTTTGCAACAAAACAATAAATGGTAATAACAAAACGCGAAGATGTAACAAAGCAAGGTTTCTGTAAAATACTCTGAACAAAACTACGTCTTCGGGGAAGTCTCTAATTAGTACTTATTCAGTTTTTTTGCCGGGCTGTGAGGGGGAAGGGGAGTGGGTTTGGTTGTTGTCGCTTACTCGAGTTTGAGTGGAAAGGGGAGGGGTGGGCGCTTATTCGAGGCTGGGCGCTTATTAACTTTTTCTGCCTCTAGGATGGGCGCTTATTCGAGGTGGGCGCTAATTCGAGGTTGGGCGCTTATTCGAATAAATACGGTAGCCTCCTAAAAACGCCTGCGTGGGAGGCTATATTTCTAGTGGGAAGGACAATGAACAAAGCCCATGGCAAAAAACTCCGGCACATTTGTGCAGTCTTTCCGTTTCCGTTCTTTCTAGCGACACCGGGTCTAGGTACTCCAAGGAACTGGGAAACAAAACCACCTCTGGGAAAGAGAATATTTTTATCTGTGGTCAGTCTTTCTTGGAAGTTTAGCGAGGAGCAGGTGTTTTTAAACAAATTATAGCATAAATGTCAATCAAAATTGGGCGGTTTCGAAATAGGAAATCGCTGAATCCTGGTATTTACGAAGTCAATCTTTTTGACAGGGCAAGAGCTAACGCTCTTTCGCTTCAATGCCGATAAAAACAACCTCAAGTTAGCGTAATGAATCTAGCTTATACTGTTTTATAGTACTATTTCTAGAATGCATTGTCTAACAGTCTTGAACCCCACAGAAAACAAAAGGCAACATGCAGCTACGCTTATAAAAATAGTTCATTACAAAACAGACCAGGAACTACGCCACAAATAGCAAATTAAAGCGTCTAGCCGCCAAGAGAGGCGTGAAAACTGTGATTATTTCCAGAAAAAAATCAGCATGTTCTTTTTTGATCGTTTATTATCCTGCTATACGCTCTGGCAGGCAAAAGCAGTTATCGTTTCCCATAAAATGAAGCTCACGTTAAAATCTGTGAATGCTGAAACTCCTTGCGCGCGATGCCTAATCTCTGACGGAGGTGTTAATCACTCATCCGTTCAAAACGGAAGTTGTCCCCAATTTCCTTATTGGGAAATCGAGTTGGAAACACACGTCTCAAATGCCACATGCATGAGCGTAAAAAGCCCTCGAAGTTTTTTGTCTTCCTATTTCATGCTAATGTCTTGCACATTTCTTAGATCAATAACACGAAATGTCAAATAGATAGGGTGGACAGAAATGTTGTAGGAATTCCGTACTTCTTGCGTAGAAAGCGGAAGTGCCCTCGAGAACGCGCGCGTGTCCTTCTATCTCGCGCGTACAGCCGTTCTTCCTTGTGCAAACAAAATAACTTACACGTCAATAACTTATACACCATTTCTGCTCTTAAGTATGTCACACGACTGGGGAAATCGAAAACAAAAAACGTAGAAAAGATGTATGTTTTAAATCTCCCAAAGGGAGTAAGAAAACTCTTTCCAAGAAATTTAACTTTGATCATTGCCATGAGTAAAACACTTATCAGTTTGGAAATCTTAGCCTGCGTTGCAGCCGGCCCACGTACTCGTACTCGTCTAAACCATTTGTATAGTCTATACAGAAGGTTTAGAGTGTCTGCGACGCAGGCTAGGAAATCTCTACAAAGTCTTACTTTGCCATTTAGAACTCCAGATGAAAGAAACTTAAAAGTATTTTGTTTTGCTACAAGTCCCTTTCAAAAGCATAAGGGTAAATACCTGACTGTAGTAGGACAAAACAGATGCTAGGAAGTACAAGGCCACTAGTGAATTTGAAATATGATTGAGCATCACAGCTCTTATAACAGTAACAAGTTCAAAGGCTCTGCTATGCCATCTCTATTTTAGTTTTCCTTCAAGTTGTCTATCGTCACTGCTGATCCCACTGCCCACGCGTACTCCGTTCACCCACCCACACACCTTAGAATCCACCCATCTCTGGCAGTCATTAAGCAAGACATTGCTCTGATGTAAAATCTACCTTTCTTTTATTTACATTCTTTAATAAAACTCTCTCAATATACACACCAATATGGCATAATTTAGACAAATATTATGTACAAGGCCCAAACTTTGAAAATTCTATTCCTTTTTTTACATTTTGACATTTTTTTTATGGTTGATTTTATGAATGTTTGTGGAGAACAGAAACAATGCGAGAGACAATAATTATTTATAACACGAATGAGGAAGGCACCTAACCTTATAGCTCACGACACTACAAAACTTCTGAAAGTTTGCTTCAGCAAGCTTAAGCTTAGGCTTATGCAACAGTCAACATAGTCTATGAAGTCCAAAAACAAATGTTCACAACCGTGTTGTGTTGTCTTTTTCATAGTACACAAGGACCAGGTGTTTCAAGACTCGGGTCTACTGCGTACATTTCTGTCCAGGAGCAGCGTTGTGGAAGGACACCGGCCATGTAGGGGTAGTCAGAACCTTCTAAAAACACTCGAAGTCTCATGGCGACTTTTCGACTGTGTACAGAACCACCAAGAAGAACACATTGCACGCCATAAGGTCTCCAGGTGAAGTTGTTGCCTGTAAAATGGTGTTTGACTGTAGCAAGTGAGGAAGGGATCTCAAATCCAGTCTTGTCAGTTACAAGTAAAAATGCATCAGCCTCATTCACTTTTCGTTCCAACAGCTTCAAAGGTTCTTCAAAAACTTGGCAGAGGCAAGCTTGTGTGTCTTCATACATCAATAACGGTACACTAACATTGGCACATTCTGCAAAAAAAAAAATCAGAGGACTGTTTGAAAAATGGCCAACATCGTCAACATTACACTCACAACATCGAGCCCACGTGGTATTGTCACCGGAAGTCCAATACCCAGTAAATTTACTGAGAAGGCCCACTTACATTTCCGATTCTTAACAATACCCGGCTGATCAGAAGGATTTTTTTTCTAACAAAACCCGCAAGGTTGAAAAACAAGTTGAAAGTTAAGTCGGTCCCAAGAGAATGGACGGAATCATTGGAACAGCTAATCAATCGCCCGCAGTAAAAATGAATCACTCTGCTTCAGGGCACCACATCAACTATTGGAAAAGTTACAAAAATTGCAACATTTCAGGGGTGAAATAAAACGCACGATGAAATGGAATAGAAAAGTTGATAGGTCTTTCGGGATAACGAAAGGAGTTTAATTGAAACGCGCCGCTGTACTATTTGAATTGCAAATCCCTTCCCTTTGTGTAATAAAAACAAGTTCGAACAAATGACGAATTCAGTGCTATTTCAGGCGATTACAAAATACCCCTTAAGACAATTTCAATAAACTGTTTTAAAGAGAAAATCCTAAGGCACATCGAAGAAAAAGCAAAACTACAAGATTAAAATAGAAATTAATTACCAACGAAAATTGTTTGCTATGAAGGGCTGGATAACAGCCAAAGTTCAACAATATTATTGTTCACTGCTGGGATTTTTCCCTTTTGCGCTGAAGCGTTAAAGAGAAAGCAAAAATCAAAAACTTGATCAGAAATTCAACTTACCGAATAGAGTTATCTGGTGACCCTCATTGCAAAGCTGTTTAAGCATATACTGCGCCTGGTGAAGACCATGGCTACTCGATGCAAAATCGGCAAACAATACGATCTTCATGCTCTGTGGAGACCTGGTCATTTGAGGTGAATGCCAGCTCTGAAATAGAAAAAAAAACCAACTTGTTGAGTAAGCATCATTCAATTAAACGACATTTATATGCTCACAAGTGCAAGCGCACTGTAGCATTGCATCATGAAATGAACATCACGGGTTTTTAGCGTGTCAAAAAGTGATGCTAAGCACAGCCGATCAAACACAAATCCGCAAGTCAAAGGTCTGTCATTCTGTTTACAGAATAAAGATCACAAGAAAAAAGCGAGCTAAAATCCCTGCCATTTAGACCTGTACTTTGTTTATAAGCTAAGCTCAAACTTTCAAAAACATCACATAACTGATGTAAATAATTTAGTATTTACCAGGATATCGGTCACGTTCGCGGCAGAAATAGTTTATCGTATCCTAGTTAAAGCAAAGACGTTTTGCAACACACCGAATTGGGACAAAAAAAAAGGAGAAGAATTTTAAAACTACTCTCCAAGTTTGTTGCACAAAGAGCTCGCAGCTTTGAGTGAACCGCGTACTGTTCTGTCAGTAAAGGCGTTTGAGTAAATCGCGAACTACATCCACGATCGACTACGTGGACTCGCGTTTGAAAAAAAATTGACACGTTCATATTTTAAGGAACTTTTTTAAAAAAACTACAGATCTCTCAGCGGGATAAGTAATAAAATAGCTCTCATGTCACATATCTATCACGTTCAAATCGACTGACGAGCGTGCCGAATTTCACACGGAATTCATCTCACGTTTACGAATCCTTAAAATTGCACAATCGAACTGGAGAAACATTTTCCACATAAACACGAATACGTCTCAACTCCTCAAAGCAGCCTCGTCAGCAAAGCTAGCGAACAAAACGCCAACGAATGAACTTTTTTGGTAAATTGAAAGTGCGAACAAAGCGCTTTCGAAGTGATTTGACTTCGCTATACCGCAGCAGTTCTTTAAATAAATTGGTCTTCTAAAAATTTCCACATCAAACACTAGCTGGCAAATCGCGAATAATCTACCGGAAACCAAACAGAAACAGAAATTCTTCGTCGCTGTTGGCGAGGATTCAAACGGACCGATTAAAAGTCCAACACCAGTTTGAAATAAGCAAGCTGATAAACATCACGATGAAATTGACATTGCGCTGTGGAGCAAACCCGAAGCGAAATGGTTTTAACTTCGAAAAGCAGAGCAAAAATGAAAACCTACCATGCTAGAGCTTGAAAATGTTGTGTTTCCTTTGCACATTACGCCTGCAATCAGCTCGTTCACAGCGTTTCCTACTTTCATAAACCTTTCCACCAACCTTGTACACAAGAGAATAACTATTTGTTCGCCAGGTTTTTATTGCTTGACAAGCGCTATGACGTCACGACACAGATGAAAAAGCCAATCAGTATTATATCACGCCTCGCACGTTCTGATTCCGATCGCACCATTTCATTGGTTATTTCACAATGCCTTTTTGATGTTGTTGACACATAGGGTAAGTCCCAGATGACGGTTGCAGGCGAGGCCTTTGAGTGAGTAGAACAATGGAAGAATAGCTACGAATATTCATGATGAATCGAGACAATGAGAAAAACCTCAGAAACGGCTCTTTGTAATTCTGCTCAAGCGAAACAAAAAACAACTCGTGATTTGCGAGAAACAAAACACATGAAAACACAAAACGTGCGAAAATTAATCAAATCGTTCACCTCGCATGTGATAGGCTGATCAAACTACAATGCCACCTTGTTCTCGCACTTACGTTGAGATATCACTTCGCGTAATTAGCACACTTTCGATCGGCTTTTATAGTCTTTTTCCGCCTTGTTGACAAAAATCAAAAACCAAGAAAAGAATGTGCTTGTCCTATAATCTCTAGAGCTCATTGCAAAGCCAAGCTTGTCGTTAGTTCATAGAGTACAAATTTGTTTTCATGTTGAAACTCACGTATTCAATTTTGCCCATATCGGATGTATACGTGCTTGCTAAGACCCGCGACGTGACCCCTTTAATTTTCAGGGTCCATATTTACTTTATATCTGCTGGAAGCCCGGAGTTAATTCTATGAGAAGACACTATTGTTTTTATTATCAAAGAATTGACTGCTTTTAGCTACCGGTGATTTTGTTCTCTCCACAAAAAAATATTCTAAAGAGCCGTCAGGGAAGATTTTAATGTATGCTACATTTTCCATTAAGATATAATGTCTATAATTTTATTAAACTACAATTTTGCACTTGTTTTCTTACTGAAATCCCAAAGTCTAAGCACCGAGTTTAATAGAGCTAGCAGTTGTTTATAAGTGGAAAAACCTTCTGTCAAAAAACCAACAAAAAATCCGAGGCGAAAAAAGGAAGGGGGTAATGTCTCTGATCAAAGCTGGCACATTTTCGATTTTCAATGATAAAACATCATTGGTAACTATCAGTGATTTTAAGCCAGAGTTTTATACTTAAAAATCATTTCTCCTCGAATTTTATGAGTCCTGGTATTAAAAAATATTGCTAGCTACTGCTAAGGATTGGAAACAAGCTCAATATCTCACAATGGTTATTGGACTTATGTAAGCTACAGTACGTACCGTGTTGTTTTTTGAGATATTGGACGTTTTCTGCATTTAAGCTTTATCTTGCTGACCTAAATCAAAATGTTTCCTACGCTACTTGCAACGAAAACTACAGACTACTAGTTTCGCTTTGTTTGATTCTCCAAGACACCTGCCATGTCAGCAGAAATATGCAATAGCTCCGAGAATTAGTCAAAACTTGTTGATAATTGTATACTGTCAATACTGGATACGAGCCATAAAACTGATAAAAATAGGTCATAACTAATTTCTTTTGACAGGAAACGGTTGACCACCGTTAAAAGAACCGCATACACGAGCAAAAAAAATGTAATTTGCATTTCTACCGTGGCTAATTTGCCCAGACAGTTTGGTTTTTTTTTAAAATTATTATAAAGTTAACGCGGTAGTTTTTGTTAATTCGCCAAAACAATACGTTTTGCAGGTCAAAATATCAAGCTGGGTGGAAAATGTTAGCCGCGTCACATGATTATTTGTTATTGTCGCTTGGACACACCCCTCAATCCACCCATAAAGGACCCTTTAGGAAAAAGCAGCTTGTCTTTTCCGACCGTAAGCTCTTGTAAATGATAGATCCGTTTTATTCACTTCATTTCTTTTGTTATCCAACAAATCAGAGACGAGATATTACAAGATTGAATCTTAATTAAGGCAAGTTTAGACAAAGACCCACAAATCTCTTAAGTTGTTTTCAGTTGTGTCTGGTCAATAAAATTTCAAGCTAATCTAGATCTTGCCTCACCGAAAACTAAACGAGTTCTCTACGTATCAGCGTAAAATTTGAGTTGAGACAATTCACAAGCCTTTCGGCGAGCTGAATCACTTAATAAAGAAGTCGAAATTGTGAGAGTATTACGCTAAGCTCTTAGCCAAGTTGAAAAAACAAAACGCCTTTGTTGCATCGACCATTGTACTAAGTAAAGTGATCTATCTGACAATGAGTTTCCGCTCTGATTATGTGGATGTTTCAAGTAAACAACACTAAAGGAAGAGAGATCTGTCTTGTTGATGAGGGAAAAGTTATTCCGTTAAAGCTATGTCCATGAAAACCACAATTTTACGAAAGTGGCTACTTTGCGTGGATTTGAGTTGAAAGTTCAAGAGTCGATTTCGTCTCACCTTGAAACATCACTGTAGCACCGAATCTTTTCGTGGACTGATCGAAATCGGAACGCTCAGCTATCCAAAGCAGTGTCATTGATGTCTGTTTTAAAAAGTCTATCAAGCCTAGCAAGTTATGTTCTGCCAAGGGTTTTTGGATATGAACTTTTCTAAAACTATGCCCCCAAAAAAGTCACTGGAAAAGTGGAGAACGAACTTGGGCGTAAATCGGTCGAACTTGACCCCTTTGCCATTAGCACGAAGACCTATATCTAGCTTTCACATAACCAGTTTTGAATATTTTTAGGGTTTTTAATTCATTTTATCAAAATGAACTATGCTTGAGCGAACTGCACAAATATCCTTCCTTTTTTTCCTCAGCTATTTTTGCAATTTCTATAGTATGATCTTATTTCACAGAGCTTAGCTGATCAGATTGGTTCAAAGAAGGTTTATTCATGATATCTCTGTTTCGATTTTAGGCTCTGCTCGATATATAATATTTCACAGTAAGGTGGAACAGAATAAAAGCAACACCGATCTTTCTTTTCGCTAGTTTTCGCAACGAATAATAATGAACGTTAGCCACTGAGCCGCAGAGATATAAACAGTGGAGATAAAATTCCAACGGAACGATTTTTAAGTTTTAGAATTTCTCTTTCTATTTTTTTTTTTACGAGCTTTGGACTACGCTCCTCTAGACTCAGATAATGCGACTTAAATTTTTGCTTACTATAAATTACAAAATACTAAAACAAAACAAAACAAACAATATACGTTTAAGTCTTCAATACCCTAGATCCCCGGTGGTTTATTATCTTTTTTCAGTTTTAAACAGTTTGAAACTGTTAAGTGAAACTCTCACTGTTAAAGACGACACAAATAAAAATATTTCGTCATTAAAACTAAGGATTAACACTATAAGTGAGGTTGGTCCTAGTTTTGAAATACAAATTTTCGAAAACGTGCTTCGGTCCTTTTTTCATTGTGCGTAGGTTAAAGAGAGTAATAAGATGATTTATGAAGTCTCATTAAATGCACTGAGCTCTGGTGATTTTTGAAAATGAAATCCAAGGGTAAGCGTCTGAAAAAAAAATTAAACGATACAAATAAGTCTCGAGGTCCTCTAAAGTATGCGTTTTTTTCTATAATTTTTTACAACAAATTTCTACCTTTACGATCTTCTAATTTCATATCAACAAGATCCGGATAAGGCGGAGTCTCGCAGTCTTTGTTTATCAGCAATTTGGTGGGCAACAAAACCAGGTACGGAAACGCGTTCTTCTCGCTCATTTTGCAACAAGCTATTTTAGGATTAAGAATTGCCATACACTGTCACTTAAGAAAGCCTTTTGTCTTTTAGCTCATTCTTTAACCCTAAAAAAACAGAACAAGTTTTGGTAAGTTGCTGAACGCTAACGCTCACAGTAGTGTTTTTTTTAAGCTGAAGTTAGCGTTGGATTTACTAAAGTTTTTTGTTACTTGTCTGTCCTCTCAGATACTGTCTTCGAGCTTAGCTTTAATTTTGCATGCATGCTGGAGAGTCATGAAACATGACGATATACGTCAGTCGATTTTAAGTGGGCATAGTCACGTCTCATAGATAATTTACTGAAAAAAATCAGCACTTGGAAATTTTCGGAAGATATATTAACTGCCATGTAAAGGAGTGGCCCTTATTGAAGCCAGGAAAACTTGAAATCTCAAACTTAAGTAGAGCAACCCCGGAAAGTCCTCAAGTCTACCATCTCAGTCGTCGTCTTCAACTTGTTTATTTTGATGACAGCACTTCTAAATTTCGAGCTCTCGCTATTTTTCCTCCAGTCAGATTCAAGAGAAGGTTCTTCACGTGAGTATAGCGAAAATCGCAGCGGAAATCGCTAAATTTCGCGGCAGGAAAATTGAAAAATAGTGTGGATATGATTTCGCATACGCTTCACACACTTCAAGAAACTGATTTTAACACTGCTCTGTAAATTGGGTTCGAAGATTTCAATTCGTGCAGAGTGAAACGAACTTTTTTTGTTTACATTTCTTTAACATTTTGTCACATTCATTGGGCGGGTTACAACACTCCGTTCAGTGCCGGGAAATTTTGACAAGTGAACAGAAAAAGTTTTTCCGGAGAGATAAAAAGATTGGCAAACTTTGGTTGTATTAAACAGTATCTACTTGAATGAGAAATACAATAGTTTCCTTTGCTGTAATATGCGAAGAACAGTTCCTGTCTAGGTCGAAAAGAAATGCATAGCAAAACTAGAGGACTGAAAGCCTGATGGTTGGATTATATTTTGGAAGGCGTTAATAGGCACTGAGCGGCAGTGCAAATTCGTCGAAGTAAAAAACACATTTGTCACGGTACTGAAGAATGCAAAATTTACAAAAGCTAACCTAAACAATCGTAACTCGAAATTAGTTTTTATGGAGTAAACATACCAGATACATAAAAATAAACATTAAATGAAATTAAATGAGTCGACATAATTAAGGGAACGACTTGAGGCAGACCAATATTTTTAAAAGCACGATATGATGAAGTAGTCTAAAAACTGTTAGAATGTTTTTAAAGTGACTTTACGGAAAGAAGGATATAAAATTCTCCTGTACTTTAACAATTTCATTTTAATCATGAAAGTTACGTGCTCTCCTGGCAGAAAGGACAGTTTAAGGTTGGGCTGATCCAACAACTGAAAATGTCAAGTTGTACGTGAGCCCCAAAAAGATTGCAGCAGCGTTAATATAACTAATAGCCTCAATTTGTTTAACCGCATTTTGCTTTTTCCTACGACCTCAAGTCACGTTTTGAAGGTACAATTGTAGCTTTCGTGCGAAACATCATGTTTGGTTGAGTCTGGTGACCGTACGCAACCGCGCACGGGGGCGTTGTTACGAAACATGTGCTGGCCAATGGGTTTTCAAACCGTTCGCGGACTACAAGCAATTCTGGTAGATCAATTAAAGTCGTCAAAATCTTAGCAGGTCTAATGTTGGTTCATTCTTGTTGTTTATGATGATATTGATGCTTGAATAGGCAAATAGATGGTATGAATTACCAGACTCAGGAGTTCCGATTCGGTTAACAGTGAGTCTTAACAATATTGCCGGAATTTTATAGCGCAGTAAAGAGGCGAATATATTAAGGAAAACAGTGAGTTCATTCTCTTTCAGCTAAATGGTCATAAATTAACATATGTAAACGTTGTTCTTTTATACAAACAGGGAGGGTTCTTCGGAAACAAGGTGTGTTTGATCTTGTTTTTTTTACTTAGTTTTTTATACGACAACCATGCTGAACAAAACTGATCGTGACATTGCGTTGTGGAACGAGGGTTGTATGAATAAATATCACTGAATTCATACAAGTTTTATTTTTGATTAAACAACAAATGTTTGACCGTTTGTTTTAAGAGTTCTCACTGAGTTCTGTACTACAAAATGTCAGTTTACCACTGAAGAGACGAGTGTAATTAACTGCAAGCACTCGCTTTTATTACACTTGGCAACTTGGCATTTATAAAGCGGCCGTTACAGAGCTCTTTATGTTTCATATATTGATTGAATGGTCATGAAATTTAATGAAAGTCAAACTGAATTATAAGTTGACAATTACACTGTTACTTCTGTAAAGTTAGACTTTATTAGTGTCTGTTGAAACGACAGGAACAGTCAGTCGATTTGCTCTGACTTTTGTGTCAAATTGTCACCGGTAAGCTGTCATTTTCGCAGCGTTATGGACAAAACCTCTTAATTTTCAACCGTAGTAACGTAAGGATTTTGGGCTGCGGCTTCCAGTATTGCTTAGCCAGAAAAGAGGATTAGGTGGTTCTAATTCAGTGATAAATTATAGCTGTTATTCATAAGTGTGACTATCCACCACATTGCAACATGATTTGAATAAAGACAGTTCCTTTTGTTGGTGTAACAAGATGCGCTTTTTTACCTGAATAAAACGTTAAATTTTTTCAATTTTCTCAGCTTATACTGAGTAGACGAGAATTTTCAGCAGCAGTTTGATCTGTGATGCCGAAGATTTTTTATTTTATTTTTATTTTTAGCATAAGATGGAATAACTGATCATAGCTCGGAATATTGGATTTCGGTGCCCTCACTCGATTGTTTAGAACGCCGGTCAGCTGAACGGTTCGTGATCAAGAAACATAGAGGCTGATATTCACGACCAAAAAAATAAAAACTTCCTACCTGGTTATTTATGTGGGATGTTGAACATATGGCATCCATGATACCTGAAAGGGATTCACTGCTCACCAAAAGTTACGTGCAAATGCCGAACCTCATTAAGTGAAAATGTTTAGGTTAGGATTGAGTCATGTGACATGGTTAGGTTAGTTGTAACACCTTCAGCGAAAGGAACAATAAGTTCTTCCATTCCTGAAATTTAAGAGACTTTCTATCCAATAAGATGAGACAGAAAACAGACCAATTAGTCTCTTTGTTTTTTATTCTTATTTAAAGTTGCCAGTCAGTGTTTTCGTGGGACCAAAATTTACTTAAATAACTGAATGCATGGTTTATAAAAAAAAGCGTGCCTCTAAAACTGCACACACATTGTAGCAAACACATAGTAGAAGTGAAAAGGTCTGTACTGGCCAATTGTACTTGAAATCAAAAACTGATTTGTTTGCCTGGCTATTTTTAAAGATACAGTTGGTATTTTTAAAAACGTGCCTTTTAATTCATTGCTTTTTCTCTTAACACGCTCTTCAAACAGTGTTTGAATTCCTTGATAACAATGAATACTGTCTTAAGCACGCTTTTTTTTTTTCAAAGGATAGTTAGACCAAAAATGCGATTTAATTATAAAAAACTGAATAGAAATCAACTCGTCTCTAAAGCGGGGAAAAAAAAATAAGAGAATTGTTTCTTAAATTAAACAAAGCGATTAACGCCCGGACATCTTAAAGCAAAAAATTGTTCCCGATCTGTCAAACAAAGCGTTTGTTTTGATCGATTCTGCACGGAAGGTTGTAATGCCCTCACGAAAACCTCTATACTGGGGGAAATATCTTTCCTTTCAATGTAATAAAAACAGGCTGTTAGTTTTCTTCAGTTTCGTACTCGATCCTTGGTAAACAGTTTTCATGCCAGGAAATACAAGAAGCAAAGCCTATGGTTTTAATTTCACTTTGGCCGGGATCTCATTCAAAAGGTTATTTGTAAGGCTTATTTCTTGACCTCAAGACATCTAGGATTGCTTTCGTGTGGTCATGCCTATTGCAGAACAATGGCCAAGTACATTAAGAATTTATTAACTTGGTTAAGCGCTTTAGGAGTGAAATTTTGGTCAAGTGGAATATTGATTGAAATGAATAAGTTCTTTTTAAATCACGTGGTTTTTAAACATCTGCTCGGCCTGAGGTATATTTGCACGCAGTTTTGTGTTCAATGCATTTTTGCCTTATCTTGAGGGCAAACAGATGTAGGAAAGTAAAGCTTAAAAGTCTCTGGATTTTTCTCGCAAAACAAAAATCTGTTAAAAGCAAGATTTGAGCTACATCTTACTCTCGATCTTCACGCTATTTACAGGGGTTTGCACTGAATCGAGAATGACGTCAAAGCGTCTTTTTCCCGGCACGTTATGACACATCCTGCACGTAAATCCATACAATTTGGGGCGACATCTGGTTTTATTTTAAACTTTTGCTCGGAGTGCATGTAATGTGATGTTCTTTTCTGCTTTCATATCCAAAAAAGATAATATCCGCTTCGTCTAGAAAAGTTGTATGAAGAATTATGACGTCAAACGGCTTATTCACAAGTCTGGAAACAAAGGTGGTATTTTAGCGACTTAGAAAAGATTGTTCACTTTTAAAATCACTCCAATTTGAACAAACCATGCAACAAAACTAGCCAGCCTTTCATACGTCAAACTCAAAACAAGCCAATGGCAGAAAGACATAGGCTAATGGAGTTTCCTTTCGGACAAACATCTTTTATTTCAATGAAAATTACCACTATTCAGCCATTGCCCCTGATTTGTATTTGAAAGACATGCGGTGATCCGATCCTTAATTTCCATGTAGCCTGGATTGCAGATGTATTTTTCAGACGGCGCCGCGTGCTCAACCAAGATGATTTGGGAAAGCAAGTGCGTGGACGCTGTGCACAAGGCTAAAAGGATGTAAGCTTCCGCCACAACCCCTCGCCCACCAATTTTGACCGCAAATTATCTATATAGCGTTATCTTTCAGTCAGCTTAGGATTTTCCTTAAGTAAGGTTTTAATAGTTTGCCTGAATAAGTTGGCCTTTGTGCACAATTACTGTAAATAAAACTTCAGGGGCATCCATGTTAGCTAGGGAGAATGGAACAAGAGCTAAAATCTCCCTTACACCATTATTTTCCCACTGTCAGCGCCCATCCAAAGAGCAAGTTGGCAGGCCTCAAGTTTACAGGTCTTATAGGTTTAAGTCTTTAGGCGGCAAACTTGGCCGGTCGGTTTGTTTCTCGACAATAGCATGCATTTAGTTGGAGTCGCAGTCTCTTTCTCGTTAACAATCGTTACTTAAGGAAAAATACATCCTGATGTATGCAAGCTTGCCGTTCTTCTTTCAAGATAGGGAAAAGACTGCAGGAGGGTCCGAAAGAATCGAGGGTTTGCTCATTATTTGTCTTTCGTCAATGTCACAAAAACGTATGGATCATCATTTCTTCTTTGCTTGTTAAATATTTACGGTCGACATGCAAGCAATTACCGTTCCCCTACTTTAATTCGCCGGTGCAACTCTACGAGAACTGAGGACAAGCTTTACAATTTCTGAGCAACCAGGCCGCTGTAATATTCAACGCATTCAAGTGTGATGCAGGCAAAAATGATGGAGCTTGCTCAGTTGTCTAAGCAACGAAACTAAATCCAGAAAAACTCTCTTTTATTTGTAGTTGATAAGACTTAAAATTGATTTTATTTTCTTTAGTTCAGCAATTTTCAAACCAAAATTGACTTTATTAACTGAGTGCAAATGCTTGAATAGTAAACAAGCCGTTTTGATGTTCCGAGGTAGCTCGATTTTATTATATCGTAAACTGCCACCTAAAAGCCCTGGAATTATACATCTTCGTAAGAGATTTAAAAGGAGGGGCTAATAGCCGAGGGAGGCTTATAATTGAAATAGAAAAAGCGCTTCCAAACAACATATAACGATGTTGATCAAAATACGTTTTGGGTTTTTTTTAATAAGCTTCAAAACGTCATAATAAACTGAATTTGAGGGGGTGGGGGGAGGGGGGCTTAAATCCGAGGGCGCTTGGCCTATTACTCTGGGGCGGGGGGCGTATATGTGGGGAAGCTTCTGAGCGCCAGTTTAAGGTAGGCCAATCTTTGCACACTTATCGTATTACGTAAACTAGGGATGAGTGGAGAACACTGTTATGGAAACACCATCATCTTTTAATTTACAATTATGACCAACATTAGAATTCGCAAAAACAATGCTAAATTTCGTTTTTGTATAATGCCGAAAAAAAAATCTAGAAGCATGGCTGGCACTACTCAAAGTTCAGCCTAATGTGAGGTAAAATTAAAATTCGCAGTATTTTTTTATATAGCCGTTGGCTTTTTTTGAGATTATTTTAAGTATTCTGCGCGGGCTTTACATTAAGAAGTTCTTGCAAAAAGATGTTCACAAGTTCGAATTTTGTTGTCGTTTTGTTTAGATGGATATAGAGAAGAACCCAACAATTTCTACCTAGAAGAATGAACCACACCCCACTCTACATGGGATTCCGTGCATGGAAAACGAAAATCGTGCCGCAGAGTTTGGTCGAGAGGGCCGTTTGGTGAACTTAAATCCAGTCCTCATTCTTGAATTTTACTTCCGTGTCAGTGGATCCTGCTTATTCACTTCCGCTACGGTGCGAATACTTGTTCACATTACACCAAAGTGTGGCACAGCACCCATCTGATGTGTGACGCTCCACTCTCAGAAGTGCAGCTTCCATCCGTTACAGAAATCGTGCGGCGAAAAAGCTATCCGTCATAGTCTACAGTGGTGGACAACACCGTGACGCATTACAGAATGCTATAGCATGATTCTTTACTAAAATTACGTTTACTCTCCTGCACAAGGCAAATATATTTTGACAGTTAAATCTGTACCTAAAACAAAACCCGTCAGCTGGTCTACTCAACCAAAGGTAGCGACCGAGTAAAACCATCTTTGTCTATCATTTTTTCGCCGTTAAGTTATTAGAATAAGCACTAAGATGAAATTACTCACATGGACTCTACCAAGTCTCCCTTCATGTGACAATATCTTAGGACATTTGCAAAATTAAAATTGGGGAACATTATAATTATACACTTGCTCCCAGGACCTCTCTTCTCCCTCGCAAAGACTAGAAGAGAGACCCTGGGACTACGTTGGGTGTATTTCTTGGTTTTTATTCATAAAATGTTGATTTTCGGGGCAGTGAAAGTGTCTATATCTCTTTCCTCTTCTCCCTAGATAATGCAATTGTTTGAAAGGTTTACGAGTTACACTGCTCTCCTTTCTATTTAACTCTACGACTTACTGAAGAGCAATTTGCAACACAACACCCAGATCCAGCGATCTGAGGACAGGGCCCGTAATAATTCAGTATAGAATCAGACAAGTTTGCCCCGTATTTCTTATCTCTATTAAAATCCTTTTCAATTAATCTTTCGCTGGCAGTGAAGTTGATTCATGGGCGATTCTCGGCTGTTTTTGTTGCGAAGAACCCCGTTGATGAGAATTCCTTTCGCGCCAGGACCATCCCTCTTCTTTATCGACTTGTAATCTGCCACTCTTGATTATTTCTTTTTTCATGGCGTTTGAAGGAGTAATTTAATTTCGTCCAGTACATTGAAAACCATGGAAGCGTCAGTACTTTTGCCGTCAACAGACACCGAGTTATCCTATGTAAAGAAAAACACCATCGTCAATATTCATCGTCTCTTTAAAAGATTATAACACACCCAGCCATTCCCCTTGCTCAGCCGACATTTCGCAACACAAAAACAAAAACAAAAACAAAAAAGAAACAAAAGAGAAAAAAGAAAAAAGTACAAAGCATTAAAAAAAGAAAACACTGCTTGTTTACTAACATTCATAGGCGAGAAGTACAAAGATAAACTTTATTTCTTAAGCTACATTTCAGTCAACTCAGTTTGGGGCAGACAGTCCGTTTTGGCAAGGTAACTCCGCCTCAGCCAAAGAAAATGACTGTCACAATCGGAGGGACAAATGCTAGGTGTCCGTCTTATAGCCTGACTTACAGACAAAGTTTGCCCTAGGTTTACCCTGAGCTCCGTGCCCTGCATCCGGCAACCTGTTTCAATGATTTTCAGGCTCGTTACTCACCGGTAATTGCTTGACTAATAAACACAGATGATGGCTCTGGATTGAACTGGCATATAATGATGCACTTGAATCCACTTGTTCTACGACTGAAAGTAAAGTGCAAAAAAACACGGTTCATGAGAAAGAATCAATTTGAATTGACCTGGCAGTTACGGTTCTTTCCTATGGGCAATATTCTGGAATAAGAAGTACAACACCACACCTAAAGACTGCCAGAAGTTTTGAAAGCTGCATACATTTGAATATTTTAAGTCTGCCAGAGGTGCAGCTGACTTACATTAGGGAGTATAACCCTCTAAGTCCCAAGAGTAATCAACATCAATTTTCTCCCAACATTGTCGATTAACAATCAAGAAACTCTCTTAACGAATTCTCTAAGAAATATATGGAGATCAGGTTTAATAAGCAGGACAACTCTGCAAGCGCAGTAAACTTCTCCCACATTAAACAGAGGAAGCGAGTTAGGAGCATCGAGATGAAGTTTGCAAGATCGCGAATTCATTTCACAAGTAATCCTTTGTTGTTATACATCGCTGTCGTGGTAGCTTAAGCTCCCTAACACAATTTACCATTGGTCTGTCTTCCCCCGAAGCGCCTCGGCACACCTTCCCTGTCTTCTCTAAACTTGTGCATTACAAACGGAACGAATCCTAATGACCCCAGTACCCCACCCTCCCCTCCCAACCGAAAAGAGAACTAGTGATATTAGACACACCATCGTACAAATGCCCTGTTCACAGACTTTCTACTTTCTCTTTAGGGATCGTCGAGCGCGCGAATGAAAATAAAAGCCGCTGGAGATTTAATGACCGCTAGCGCAGGCGCACCCGCAAAATTCCGCCAAAGAAAATATAAATAATCTTTGGACAGAGTAAACTAAAAAAACTGAGTGGGCCCTATCTCAGAAAGTGGTGCTTAATTTACAGAAGATCGGTCTTCGTACATAAAAAATGCTTACAAATTCAACACAACCTCTATGAAATTTTTATCACATAATAGTAATCCCAATAATGAAAGCTACAAGGATTTTCCGGCGGTGTTGTTAATTGAGTTGGGATAAAATCGCAGGGTTACCATTTTTCGAAAAAAAAAAAGTGTGAGTAGCGAAATCTTTTTTTATGAAATTGTTACTACGTCTCAAATCACACAAAAGTATTTCAAAGTTTTAAAATTTGGAATAACTCAATCACGGCAGTAACCGGACATCATTAGAAAAAAATGACCAGCTGCCATCATTTAATAAGTGAGTTTTGATTTTCGAGTATTTTATTTCCATTTTTGGTTCTTGAAGAGATCACCACAGCCCCTAAAACAGCTCGATATAAGAGCTTTCAGGAGCGAAATCAGAATTTTCTTCCCTGTATCTTTGCCCGGTATATTAATCAACACACAGGCCAACAAACATTTCAGTACAGTGACTAGTAAACACACATAAACAATACTGCATAAAGAATGTCTATTTTGAGAAGTCAAGATTGAACCTCGTCCAATATAATTAATGCCTGCCGGGGCAAAGCGGTAATCAAAGAACATAACCATTTATACTGGAAGCTTTTCAACGTGTAGTCACGTCCTATTCGAAACCTTCAACCTTTAGCGGCCAGGTCAAAGAATAATGAAAATTGGGCAGAAAATAACATTCGAAGACTCTTTGTAGAATCATCTACATAATTACTTGATCACTGGAGCAGACCTTTCAAAAAGGAATACTTCAGAATTGTATCCAAGTTTATGTTATGTAATACAAAGCCTACAACAATATTTTTACACTGTGTACTTTTTTGGTTTAAATTGTATGAAATAAACGCCTTCTCGCCGATGTTAACAACATATTTAATTGCGTGATGTGTTTAGCTTATCACGCTTTATTGTAATATACCCTCATTTTGATCTCTTCTGCGAGAATTGATGTAACAAATATAACATTTTGTACCATAACTTTCACGCAAAAAACTCGCCCTTCATGCCATGTTAAAACTTCTGCTCAAAAGCTTTTCTTTGAACGGACACACCGCTGAATTTTCAACACCAATTTGAATAGCGAATTCTAATTAGGCTTAACGTTTAGCATCAGTCAGAATAAAGTAGCAACTTTATTGCGATGTAAACTGAATCGTTGCTAATTGATATACATGATACCAGCAGCCCCTTCGTAAAATTGATGATAAACTATTTACACTTGTATGTTGGCTTTATCATTTCTTGATGCAGGACTGATCGAAGAGGCTATATGGTAGATGTTTTTGAGATTTTACACGATACATGCGCTGAATCTCTAATAAAAGTATCGCTTCCGAAAATAAAAGCCTTCTTACCATAAAAAGACAAAATGGATGGTACAATATCGAAAGAAGAATGTAGTATGGTTAGGTTTTGAGAATATATCGAAAATAGCTCGGAAAAATATGATAAAAATAACAAAAAATGACGCAGTCTTAAGAGTTGCAGTTTGACTTTTGTCAACTTATTCGCCTGCGGCTATTAGACGAAAACACATTTTCGCAGGCTTAGTCAAGAACATAGTCACCCTACTCTTAGCTATCGAATACACGTGCAAACCTTTGCCTTTTCTTTTTACAAAAAAAATATTTTTCTTCTGGAATTTCGTTGTCATAGAGTAGCACTTTTATGTTAAGTCCTTCGACATCATTCCTTAGATAAATATTCCTTTTCCACGCATAATATTGACTTTGATTTTCATTTTCAAACTTACAAGTTAAAAACAGACAGTATGGTCTATGTTTGACTTTTTATGCCATGAATAGTGGTCACCACCAAACTTCTGCTACTGATATCAATAGTCGGTTACAAAGGAAAATTGTGAGTCACCCCAAGATATGAAATCTCCTGATAATGTAACACTTTTCGAAAAGACTAAGAATGTAAACCACTCTTGAAACGCTTAAGAAAAAGACGGGCAAAACTAAAATACAACCAATTTAATTCACGTTGATTCAGCTAAGCTTGAAGCTTCGGGCCATTTCTTTCGGGTTTATCTCATATTTTAAAAAGAAAAGTGTTTTTGACTACTATAGGGAATCATGTTTATTATGAGGTCGTGCATGACATTGTCCATAAAACACTATCAATTTTAAATGGAAATCGTTGCTAATTGATATGGTCTTTGGTTAACTTTCACTAGCTGTGTATTAGCTTTTTTGTTATTGACACTAAGAACTGCCTAAAAGTAATAAAAATACTTCGATCCACAGAGCTACAATATTGCTACGATACCGTTGCTGTCTCATACTGCGATCGTTTGTCTAGTTAATCCAATACATAAACAATTGATTAACTAAATCCAAAGACGCTGAATAGCAATTCCAGCCGAACCAGACTAGTCAACAAGTAGTATAGAATCTGTTCAAGGGCATTAGTCACTCAAATAAAAAAAAATATTCAAGGTATTTCTTGGCTTGGCGGAAACAAATGTTGGTCAGCTGTTCTGCTATAGTGTGCGTATCCCTTTCTTCTCTGAAACACGACGTCGTTTGGTAAACCTTTCATCCGCATGAACGAGAAACTGTCGAAAGTTCGTAATGAAATTCGATCAAAAACAAAGAATTTCCTCCCCCTGTTTTTTTGCAACAACGGAAATTTAACACTGGGAGACTGTAGCTTAAAACAAAGCCGGATTTGTTTTGTGTGTACAGCTTCGCGCTTTCGCCAGCGTGAACAAATAGTTGGGTCATTGTTTTGGTAGCCTTTGTATGCACTGTTAAACAATAACAGGTGGAAAATAGCTGTACGTGCCGGAGCTGCTGTCTTTGATTGACTGAAAAGTAAAATGCGAACTAAAATATGACAAAAACTTGGCGTGTAGTAACAGGTTTATGTTTTGTTCTGTAAAACTTGGACGATAGTTTATCAAAACTGACTTTGCATGGCACTCAAAAGGAGCCTAGCTGTCTCGTGTGAAGTAGATAATCAAAATGTACAGGAGATTTTTTTCTTACAAAGAAAGAAGAAGAAAAAAAAAAACAGCAATAAACAGGATGTCCGTTAGACAGCGTGTCTCCTGTTAATCTGATCAAGGGTTTGTCAGCAGAGAGCCACTTTTTACACATTTCAGGAGAGAGAAAGACGCAATTAAGATGTTTACTGCAAGGCAATTTCGCAACAGATATGCGTTACATTGCCACATGTTACGAACAGTTCAACGAATGAAGAGTGAGACAGGTCAAGTACAGAAAAAGCAGAATCTAAACCAACCATGAAAGAGAAAGACGGTCAGAACATTAAAATTCCCATTAGTATGGTTGCGCGCGAGGGTGGAGAACACGCGTATCCTTCCCTTTCCTCGCGCGCAACTTTCTCACTCGCGTCCCACTTTCCGCGAGAACGCGCGAGTGAGTCTCCTATCACGTGCCGCTTCCTTCAAAAAGAGAGCCTGCTCGCAGGCTTCCTTCAGTATGACCATACAAATACTTAATTTTGAGCAGACGCTGTTCACTTCCGGCAAGAACAAGTTGTGTTCATTACCTGCAAAATGTAGCAGGATACAAATCTTCGAAATTATTGAGCTAAACTCTGTCATCTCTGGAGCTGTGACCTGCAAATAAAGCACAAAATCGTCCAAACTTAGAGTCGAAGAGGATGAAGGGGAAAAAAGAGCGACTTGCTCTGATGCTTGAACCGCCCGCTTTTGAACCTCAGTAAGTGTGGTAAACTTAGTTGCTTGAACTATATTTTGTGTTTGACTGCACCACAAGGTTACTTTTTTCATTATTTTTTAAATTTTTACTTCAATTATCCTCTTCTTCTATGGGGCTTTTCAAGGAAAATGAAATAAATAGATTTAGCCAGGGCTAAAAGCGAAGCTCTCTTTAATATTTATATATTTCTCAAAGAAAATATAAAATCGAGTAACGGTAAAAAACAACAACAATAGATCTAATTAACAAAAAAACAACTTTGCACCTGCAGCACATTTTTTTTTCTAATTAGCAAAGAAACAGCTTTGCACGTGCAGCACACTTTTTTGTACAGTTCCTTGCCGTTGTTTTGCACGCCTAAAACGTGAAACTTCTTTTCATGTTTAGATTCCTATTTACGCGTTTTATGGAGGAAATGTTTGTGTTCTGTTCACTCTGTTTTTTCACTGCCGCTCATTTTCACATTGGTAGCCGCTAGCATTTCTCATTTTCTAACCGCCGCTATATAATTTTCATGTTTTTCTTCCAGCGAAATTAGTCTCCGTTGTCAATTATTTCTCGCTCCTAGCTATTTCCCTGTTATCTAAGTTAATGTTCACATTAAAATTTAGTGGAAAGAAAGACTCGTTTTTTTTTTCCCTCTAAAAGCCCGGGCGGCCGTGTGATTTACCATCGAAACGAGCGAGGTGCTTGAAATGAAAAATTTCACCTCAGCTATAACGGCGAGCTGCCACTTGTGATTCCTTTCCCTCGCCTCCAGAGAGTTTACGGACGGACGGAGTAGGCTGACGTCATAACCAAATTTTCTGGGTAAGAAATTTAGTTATCTACCCTTCCGACGGTGCTCCGCTATTAACATAAATGGTTAAAAATCCCAACTAGTAGGAGGCGGACCAGTTGGTTATTTTACAAGCGTAGCCGAGGATTTCAACTCGGGATTACAGATAAGAAATCCAGCTAGCGGTCGGGGAGCGGGGGCTTGAACTTGGGACCTCCGAATAAGGACCTGTTTACATGGAGGTGGGGGGCCCCAGGTAGGTGAGCCTCACATATTTGGGGTCCTTCACCTCCATGTAAACAGGCCATTAGAATTGCAAGTCTAGCGTTCAAACCGCGCTCTAATCATTCGGTCACGCTGCCCTCGCTGTTCATAGATGCACTGTTGTTAGCTTTTCACGAGTTCGTCAATAAATCGTTTATAAGGTGGCGATAACCGCTGGCTTTGATTCAGCAGCTTTTGTTAAAATAGTGGTTAGCGTTTGGCGGCGATGGAACAACTTGGGCAAGGCCAAAACGTTTTCTTCAATTTGAAAGAGCGGTGGCACCATTCATAACCCCTTAGGACGGGTCCTGTCGGTTCAAGACTACTTGTCAACTTGAAGGCTATTTCCCCAGGCGAAACAAAAGAGAGATTTACAGTGAAGTTTACGGTAAACAGCAAAGGTTAGGTTCAAGTTCAGAACTGCTGCAAATAGAAAACGTTCCACTTAAAGAAAGGCCCAAACAATTGTTATAGACAAAACAAATGTCAATCTACTGATTTTGGGGAAGAACCGAAGAAGTAATGAATAGTAAAGTACCAGTTAAGGGAAAACTTGGCCACGTGGCACAAATTCACGTTTACGGTAAACGTAACTCTAAATCTCTCTATTACTTAAAAAAAATGGGAGCACTGCCACCAGGATAGGCCTGATTTATTTAAAGTACGACTATAGAGATACCGAATGCGTGAAACAGCTTACAGAAGCAGGAGATATAACAAACCTTTACAGAGCTTTTGTTGACTAAGGTTCCACTTCCTAAGAGACTGGCGAAATCGGTACTGAAGACCGAAAAAAAAGAAAAACATAATTATTATAATAAGGAAATAGAAAATAAATACATCTGTATATGCACTAGAGACTGGCTCAGTGTAGTGTCGAATTGCATTATGGGAGTGTTTTAGAAGACAAGTTGGGAGGTTTCTGGGTAACTGCCCATCTACCCCTCCCCTACGTCAACATTAACACTTACTACTCACTTAAGGCAAAATTGTGACTTTGGGGAGGGGTGGGTGGTCAGTTACCCAGAAACCTTAATTGCGCCAAAATGTGCCTCAAACGAGCCCCATAATGCAATTCGAAACAGCACAAACCCAGTCTCTCACTCAACATCAAAATGACCAATAGAATACAATGCGAGTTGGCCAATCATGAAACCAAAGCGATGAGCAAAGGAAAAAAAGATTGTTAAAACTCTACAATGTCATTGTTTTAGCAGGGCTTACCTTGACAACGGCGTGGAAATCAGAAAGGAAGAGCAGGGTAAAAACAACGAAAAATCCATCTTTTCGCTTGTGGAGCCTTCGTCATCCTGCAAAAGAAAACAAAAACGCATTGAGGGCACAAGGTCCTCTCTGGGGTTATCACTAGCTTAACTTACTGGTTATGAGAAGAATGTTATGGTACAAGACAGCAGTTTGGTTTTTGTGAAACAATCTGATAGACAAGTTTGTAAGAACAAATTTCGAATCGTTTTAGATCTCCCAAATAAAGTCTGATTCAAAACTAAAATTCCCTCTTCTAACTAGCGAAGTCGAATCATACAGCGGAAAAACCCTTGTCCAGTTCTTCTCAATAATAAAAGTTCCCTCTTTTTTCTCCAATTAAGTTACTACTCGTCATAATCGTCACATTTTGGTTCTGACGATTCGACTATAAAGCGCTTAAATAATGTGATTCGTTGATGCGATCTGTCGGCGGCGAATTTTGCACGTTTCGATTTATCGGGACGAAATCTGCACAAAAGGAAAGACCAAAAAGAAAAATAGGCCGAAAATAGGGTTGACTTTTGTGTCCACCGAATGCTTACTTTATAAAATCGGGTCGACAAATCGTAACGGGTTATCCGACCTTAAGATAACTAAGCTGTTTTCATTAAGACTGGGTTTGTGTGCATCCAACTGCACTGAGAGATGGAAGGGGCTGAAGGAACTACTGGTAAAAGGTACCTTTATGACGTTGGTTAGTATTCCCCTGAGTATGTAGTGTCCCCCCGGGGCATGGAAGGGGCTGAAGGAACTATTGGTAAAAGGTACCCTTATGACGTAGGTTAGTGTCCCCCTAGGAGATGGGAGGGGCAAAAGGAACTATTGGCAAAAGGTACCTTTATGACGTAGGTTAGTGTCCCCCTGAGTTTCTGCGCCATGACTATACTTTCTACAGTGAAAGCGAACTGCCCTTCATTTGAACACCCTGCAAGACAATTAAAACAGAATTTTATTCCAACTGTTTTAAATAGTGTTTCGGTTACACAGAAGAAATAAGTATTTGATTATTCTCTTCCCGCAAGGGGCTTTCAGTAGAGATAATGAAGCACATTTTAAAGGGGCTCTGTCACGAAATCTATCAAAATTACACTAGTAGAAATTGCCACCAAAACTGGGTGAAACATAAAAATGTCTGCTCAGAACATGAAACGAAGCTATAACACAGCAAATACAAAGGCAATAACAGATGGACAATCTTGAAGATTCAAACGCATCGCAATTGCGCTTTTTGAAAACTCGTTGGCCTCACAGTTTTTCAAAGTTCATTTTTGTTCTTTGCAACGTTTGATATGGTAATTGGGAGCCATCTTTGTTTGACATAAAGCTGTGATTTTGTCAGTCACTAGTAAGTTATCAAGTTCCATAGTGAATAATGACGGCATTATTAACAAAATGAACCAGAGAACCGTGACCGAGCTCCATTAATACTAGTACTAACTATTGCTTTGAAAGATTAGGAATGGGCACTGATCAATCTCTAGAACGGGCTCAACCTCGTTCCTAGAACTCATTATCACTCGTCCGTTTTCTCCCTCTATAGGGACGAGCAGGAAAGAACCCTGGGAACGAGGTTGGAACGGGCTCAGTGACCACTCACCCGGCAAAAGATGAAAGGGGACTGGAACACTGTCATGCGATGAGGAACCAATCTGTGAACAAGACAACAGAAACAAATGACTGGCTTTATCATGAACAAGCCAAAACATACAGCTAAAGAAGTTAATCAGACGGAGCTGGATGCGATTCAAAGGGGGGTACAGTCACAAAAATTCTTGTCATAACTTTGTTAAAATCATGAACGAGTACTTTTCTTAGGCAAAACTTTTCAAGTGAATCAATAAATCGATGGAATGAATGTCAGGAAAGACTCATTTTTTCGAACTTTGTCAGAGACATTACAACACAACTGCATGCAATGAACTTTTGCCTGTCTTTGGGGATTTTTATGCGTCAGGGACGCAGGATACAAAGGTAACAAGATCATTGCACTTTAACTAAAACCAAAGACAACTTTGGATCGAAACGTATTAAAGCGTATAAGGAAACTCAAAATTTAATTTAAGAACAATTCAAATTCTACTTACTGGCCGTATTAGTTTAGTATTGAGGGAGTCTAACACATTGAATTCCATGGACTTGATATGACGATCAGTCAAATTACTGTGAAATGAAATCAGAGAATAGCGATGAGACCATACCGAAAGAAATTTAAATTCTACTAGCAAACAGACAACTGGAAAAAAAATATATTGTACGATTCTATAACGTTAATCCTTTGATGAGTTACATACCTGAAAATAATTGACACTACTACTTGATTTCTATTTTGAGAAGTCACTCTTGTCTCGTACATCTAAAGCAAGGACCAAAACCAATAAGTAAATAAATGTACTGCACGATTAATATGACAGTTCGCTTTCGCAATCATCATATACTTATGTAAAAGGGAGACAACGAGAATTTCGTCCCACACCTGGGATCATTAAACCGTACTTAAGTTAGTTACGGAAACATTGTTGTCTCAACTTCTGGACAAAATCGTACGGTGTTACCATAGCCTGTTCCTTGCTCCCGTTTTGTTCGCACTTTCTCAGTTTCGCCGACCCGCCTATCTCGGAGCCTGGAACAGGGCTGGTGTATATGTGACCATTGCAATGAAAATAAGAATCCCAACTGGTTCACCTCAAACGTACTAACAAGCGGGACCGAGGATTTGAACTCGGGTCTACCTAGAACAAATCCGGCTAGCCCCGAACAGGTCGGGACTTGACCTCGCCGCCTCGTTCTAACCGCTCGGCCACGTTGCCCTGTCGTAAATACAATTTATTACACTAACCAGTCTGAGAGCACTGTTTTCTGCGAGAACTTTATAAGTTGTAATGATAGGCTGAAAAAGAAAGGAAATCAATGAGTGTCTGGCACAAAAAAGGAAACAGGATCCCGCTGAAATAAATACAGAGTTTAAAAATGTACAGGGGGACGCAAGGTGGAAAAGGTATTATCTACATCCAAGCTACTATATCGTCTTCGGTCAAAAAAACTCTACAATGCGCTTTTAGACCACTGAAGAAGAACAGGAAGCATTTTTTTCCTTTTTCAACGCGTGCTTCAAAAAACACTTTCACATGCACACGATAATTGCGTCGCACAGTTTCTTACAACTTTGGAACATAGTTCTGAAAAGTTCACAGTAGAGAGGTCAAGCTATTTGTTTTTCATAAGACACTCCTTTGGTGTGGTTTAGCTTAAAGAGGCTGTCTTGTTCATTTTGTTTTTAATGCAATTACACGTCCTTATTCGCTATGGAACTTTGATAAATAACGTGTGAATGACAAAATCAGAGCTTCGCATCAAACAAATGGGTCTCCCAATCATCATATCAAACGTTACAAACGACATAAAATGAACTTTGCAAAACTTAGGCTCACAAGTTTTCAAAAACCACAATTTCAATCCGTTTCAATCTTCAAGTTTCTCCATCCGTGCCTCCGTTGCAGTTGCTATGTTATTTATACCTTCTTCTCATGTTTTGAGCAGCTATTTTTTATGTTTCACTCAGTTTGGTGGAAGTCAGCACTATTTCAATTTTGATAAATTTCACGACACAGCTCCTTTACAAAAAAAAAATAAAAAATAAAAAATAAAAAAGAAGGAAAAAAAGGAAGGAAGGAAGGAAGAAAGAAAGAATGAATGAAAGAAAGAAAGAAGGAAAAAAACCTTGTCTAACCTGTTTTTTCTCCTCATTCAGCTCCATGATAGACGGTTCATCCTGTTTTTCCGGTTCAGCTACAGGCACCTCCGCTGTGTCTGACTTCTCACTGCTTCGTCTCTTTCTTTTCTCCTTTTTTCTCTCCTTTTCATGTTTTTCTTTTTTATCTGATTTATCTTTGCGGTGTTTGCGTTTAGATTCTTTAGATTCAGTTTTCTAGAGAAAGATTAAAAGTACATACTAAGTGACTAAAGGAAATCGGAAACTCTGTTACAGTGGAATCCGGTTAACACGGCTCCGACGAGACATGCCATATTGTCCGTATTAAACAGATCAATTTTAGAGAAAATATATGAGCTTTTTTTTCGTCTGGTCAAACGAAACAGTCTGTTATATACGAGTGTCCTTAGCGCAGGGTTCCACAGTACTTCTACAATTTCTCTGTTTATGAAACATGATAAACATGACAGCCAATTCTCTCTTAACGGACACCTCTGTCAGAAGGAGACCAAGTGTTGGTCCCTGCCATTTTTAAGTCATTTAATGGTAACTATACTCTCTATAAGACGAACATCTCTGAAAGTCGGACACCGGGCTTTTTTGAAACCGATGAACGGACGCTTAAGTAGTGCTTTATGTAGTGAAAAATACCTACAAACGGTAAAGTAGGTGCTCTACATGACAGTAAAGTTGCTTCTAATTAATGAACGTTTGATTACACAAAGAGAAAATTATTCCACTTTTCAGTCTGTTACATCATTGTTCCCGTTTTTAGTGTTCTGCACAAGTAAAACAGACTTGTATTCATTCCGAGTTGGTCTTTCAGCTTTAAGCATGGTGTCCGTCTTGGAGAGAAATGACTGTGCATCACTCTCATATTCATTCGCAAACTGACATTTTACTATCGTAAGTACCATTTATTGCTTGAATAAATTTACCTCTGATTGTTTAGCTTGTGTTTCTTGTTTTGGCGATTTTTCTGGCGAGGATGAAGTGGGTGTTTCAACAGGCTGGTTATTTCGTTCAGAAAGAAAATGAATCAGTCAGTCAACTTAGTAATCAATCAACCAATCGATTATTCATTATTCCGTCAGTATTCAATCCTTGTCTGTCTGTCAGCCTACAGATCACTTCATACAGCTGAAAGATCATCAGTCAGTCATTATAGAAACCCAGTTAGCCACCCAACCAGCCAGTTGGTCAGTCCGTCAGTCAGTCAGCTATTAAACTGAACAATCAGTCAGCCATCTAGCCTGTCAGTTAGTCCCCAGTCACTGAGCTAACCAGTCGCTCATTCAGTCCATTTGTTAGCCAGCTAATCATTCTGTCTGTGTCCAACTGTCAGTCAACCAGCCAGCCAGCAGCTAGCTGGTTAGTTAGCCAACCAGTCGTTGAGTACGCCAGTCAGTCAATCAGCCAACCAGTCAGTCAGTTAGTCAGACAGTCAGTATATCAGTCAATCAATCTATCAATTAGTCAGTCAGTTAGTCAATCAGCAAGTCCGTGGTCAGTCAAACAGCCAGTCAGTCTATCGTTACATCAGTCAATCAATCAGTCAATTAGTCAGTCAGCAGGTTAGTCACTTCATCATTCAATCAGCCAGTCAGTTATTTGTCAAGTAGTACAGTTTTAAAACGTATAGAAATTTAATCAATTTTTAAGAAAAAACGGCCAAAAATGCTTCTTGACCCTTTAAGCCCTAAGAGAGATCAGCCTGAAATTTCTTCTAATAATATCAACGCTTTAGAAAACATAGTGGTCATGAGAATTGAGTACATGATCAGGGAAGATGAGTCTAATTGATATTTCAACAAATTCTCCCCACTACTTCTATTGAAAGAGTATAGGGACAGTAAATGAGAATCTCAATTTTAATATCTGGGTTTAAAGGGTTAACGTACCTTCTGAGGAGATTTCTTTTCTGGAGTTGGAGAGAGCCAGAAATCCATGTCATCCTAAAATTAAAAAAAAAGAAAAAAAAGATTGACGTACAATATGACACAAGTAGATTCTGGTGTTCTAAAGGAGTGTCATTGGCCAAACGTTTTATTTCCCAGTATCAAAGATTGATAAAGGTTCTAAAACAGTACTCCATCATGGATGCATCTCATTGTAACGTGCCTAATAAACGTATGCTACTGAGAACTATCCACCATTCACAGTTAAATCATGCATGTTTTGCTCTTCGCACCATTTGTAACTGCGCACAGTTGTTTGATTATGGCAGCTTTTAAAATACAGTTGACGACCCCCCATTAAGCGGCCACCCTCGGAGTATCAGCCAGTGGCCACAAAAATGGGGCTTCTTCATAAATTAGCATAATCGTTAGCAGAAACATAACTTCATTTTGATACAAATACCTTCTATCTCGGGCTGCAGTTTCCTTCTGATCCTCCCATTCTTAATATACAGCTAAACTAAGTGTATCAAGCGCTTAAAGGCTGCTTAAAAGAGGTGAAAACAATAGGGAAATGGCCATAAGGTGGCCGCAGCCGCTTGATATGGTTGGCAGTTTAATAAAGTTTTAATTTACAATTCTGCTCCACAGTTACTTCCACACTTTGATTACTAGCCGCTTAATAAAGCTTGAAGTGTAAGTATAAAATATGAGGACTCAGATCACGCCACATACCTGAGGATCGCTCGGTGTTTCAATTACTGGTTTAGAATCTTGTAATTTTGTCGCTGCTTTAGGGGGAGTTGTTCCTTCATCTCCTTTCTCCACCTCATCTGTTGGTGACTCGGGATGTTCAACTTCACCGTTAAACATAAGATTTTCTTCAGGAGAAGCAGGCTCTGCGATGTAATTGCAAAAAAACACGACGCTCAAAACCTTAACCATTTCACTCCTAGACTGAGAGTGATGAGATAATTTGCCACTCTAACATTTGAGTCTGTGGATGAAATCCTATGGTGTGACCATTTAAATGAATCTTCGGCAATACTTTCACCTGCTGCTATTTGTTTAGAATGTAGTTCTAACTTTAGAGCCGGTGGATAAACTCGTACGGTATGATCATTCAAATGAAACCTAGGAACAAACATGTATACAACACAAAGTATAAGGTGCAGTGAGAATATCAGTTTGTACATCATTCGCTTTGGTATGACCGGTTAAATATGGAAAGCATTCATTAAAGACTATGGCCCTTTCCTCTGTTCGAAACTCAAGAAGGAATTAAATTAGGAGAACAGACCTGACTGCCCTAATTGAGGATGACTGTAGAAATTGCATGCTTTGTAATAATTAACTTTGAGACCCTATGGTGGTACTAGGTAAAATTTATCCTCTTATCATATACATACATTTTTAAGTGTTAATAGGACTTAGATTTTCAACTTTCCTAGCTTTTACTATTTGCATTACTATTTTAACATTATTTTCAATTTTTACCTTTTATTTGTGTCACCAATTAGTGCTATGCGCTAGAGATTCTTGACACGTTAATAAAGTTCACCACTACTACTACCGTAGCAGAGAGGTTTTTATGGCAGTTGGGACGCAAGTTTGTGGCCGGTGTCGTCGTGTTTTCATCTTTGAGAGAGTATAATTTTAGCTGTTACCATAACTACGTTCCTCTTAAAACAAAATACCTTCTTCCTTATGATGGTGGTGTTTATGTTTAGTCTTCTTGTCTTTTTCGTCCTTATCTTTTCTATGCTTGTGTTTACCCTGAAAAGGACAGAGTTAAGAAAATGAATGTTCCCATGTCAATGTAACTGGCCCCAGTTGTTCAAAAGGTAGATAACGTTATCCGCTTGATAAATCGCTATTCAGTAGATAACGCAATTGGATTTCCTAATACTTATCCATGGACAGTGATTTCACCGTTCGATAGCGCTACCCAACGTTTTACCAACCGCGGCCTGGAAGAAAGTTCAGGGTAACCGTGCCAGAGGAAATCAAGAGGCTGAAGGCGTGAAAAGACATTCTGGTTTGTAATTGTTGAGCTTGAGTCGTATTTACAGCAATAAAACATTGCTGACGTACCCGTGTGAAAATGGACGTAATTCCTTTAATTCAGTCGAATACATTGTTACAAGAGGTGACAATGCGATTTTGCTGTCAGGGATTTCTGTGTGATTCAAGAGCAACATTTGCTCTAGTTTCCCAAAATATCACCACTACGTTGCGTCCTGTTTTCAAGCAATACCTTTGTGTTTTTGGGCTACAAATTGCACTGAACATTGCGACAACAACTGTAAAAACGAGATGCACTAAAATATTCCTCAACTCATTTGAACATCTCTAAAAAGACTACAACATGGCGTTTTGGCCAAGATGTCCTCAATACCTATGTAATGAGGACTTCCATACCCAGGCACATTGTGGAGGACTTCAGAGAATCGACGACAAGTTTGGAGATCAAATCTTCGAGGCGCATCTTGGGAGAAGCGGAAAGTGGACTCACCACCTAATTTTTGCTACCTGACCCTTCCCATAGTCCTTTGCGTTAATCCGTGACCTTCCCATGTTCCCCAACGCGTATAGGCGTCTAGGTACGAGGCAGGTCTGTCACTTTGGATCGACTGTGATAAGAAAGCTAAAAGTTAGCTAACCTTTTTTCCCTCACTGTCTTTTCTATGCCTGTGCTTTTTATCTTTGCCATGTCTCTTGGATTTGTGCTCCTGGAAATACATAACAACCCCCATAAATTAGTCATAACTTTCGAGAATGAACAAACTGACAGGGGATAACCGTAAAATTATATGAAATAAAACCTTACAGTGAGGCCATTGAAATGCGTGAAAGAAATTCAGCTGTACTTTCACATGTTACTTTTTGTTTAATTTAGTATGTATTCTAATTTTTGAGCCTATACTGTAAACATTCAAATGAAACCTCTTCAACAGTACTTTTACATGTTAATATGTATATGGTATGTAGTTTTAACGTTTGAGTCTGTGTATGAAATCCTGTGGTGTGACCATTCAAATGACACCTCTTCAACAGTACTTTTACATGCTATTATTTATATGGTATGTAGTTTTAACGTTTGAGTCTGTGGATGAAATCCTGTGGTGTGACCATTCAAATGACACCTCTTCAACAGTACTTTTACATGCTATTATTTATATGGTATGTAGTTTTAACGTTTGAGTCTGTGGATGAAATCCTGTGGTGTGACCATTCAAATGACACCTCTTCAACAGTACTTTTACATGCTATTATTTATATGGTATGTAGTTTTAACGTTTGAGTCTGTGGATGAAATCCTGTGGTGTGACCATTCAAATGACACCTCTTCAACAGTACTTTTACATGCTATTATTTATATGGTATGTAGTTTTAACGTTTGAGTCTGTGGATGAAATCCTGTGGTGTGACCATTCAAACGACACCTCTTTAGCAGTACTTTCACGCGGTAATACTAATTTTTAAGTATTCTGAACTTTGAATTTCAACAATCTTCAGTAAAAGGAGTAAATCAGGTTAGAAGTATGACAATATCACTAACCTCTTCACTTTCAATAGTATCAGTAGGTTGTTTCTCAGTAACAGTGCGATGTTGACGAACGGGGAGAGCTTCATGTGCTTCTAGTGGTCTGTCACAACACAACAACAGTAAATAAACGATCCTATATTACTTCTACCCTTCTAACTTATATCTCTACAACACCAGTAATAAACCGGGGAGTGCGGGCTAGATCGATGCAACAAAATGGTTTTGCTCCATTACAGTGCTTTGCGTTAGTTTCACGTGATTTAGGGTCAAAATGCGCGTGATCAGATTACGAGTGATGAGAAGGTCCAAACGCGAAAGACCAGATTGCGTTCTGTGCATTCCATTCATTCTTGGTGGAAGTCCAAGTACATGCTGGCTACATAAGTGCCGGTCATGCGCGCAATAGCAACCTGGTGAATAGGATTGTGGGCTACCCTAGACGCCCGCAATAACTAGCAATTATTGGATGAGACTGAGTATGATCTGAAGAATTATGTAAATTAAAATTTAAAAAGCTCAGACTGAGAAGTACTTTTCTACGGTACTGTTTGCTGTCCTGGACGAGATCGTTCTAAATTTTGACTCTGTCAATGAAACTTCACAATGTTGAGTTTGAGAGCTGCACCTTGGTCAGTGATAAGAATCAAGTCAAGGGATCAACAGTATAATCAAACTAGCTAAGTCCGTGCCAGACATACTTGCTAAGGTCAACATTTAACAGCTTATGAGGATCAGCTGCAGCGTCGAATGACTCTTCATTTTCTTTATCATCGTGATCAGATTCCGCAGCTCCCTGACAAAAAGAAAAACAAAAACAAAACAAAACAAACACAAAACTTTAAAGTGAATGTGATTTTTAGTTCAAAATTCCCGTTATTTATGGGAAGCAAGGGATGGCGCAGTGGGTTGAGTTTGTTGTTGGTTCTCTCCTTTGCTGCAAGAGGTTTTTCTCCGGGTACACCGGTTTTCCCCTCTCCTCAAAAACCAACATTTACAAATTCCAATTCGACCAGGAATCAGGTAGACGAAGAACCACTTTGTGGATGTGCTACCTCCAAATTATCATTTATTTATTTATTTATTTATTTATTTATTTATACCCATACCATGTTCAGCGGCACACACCCTTTTGGGCCAAATAAAGGAGTGCCTCCCCTCCCCAGGCAATGACCCCAGCGAGCAATTCAGGGCAGTGTTAATGTCAATTTGGGTTTATAAAACATCATAAAGTTCTAACCTCTGGCATCTCTCCAGCACCAGCAGGAAGAACCTCATATGAAATTCCAGGATCTGGCCCTTCTTCATCAGCTCTGCTCCCTTTTCGACCTGATGTAAAAAAATCATGAATGTAAAGATATTATTTACTGTGGTATGGTATGCTACTAATATCCCAGCACAGGAAATTGACACAACCTCCTGATAAGACCAGCAATAGACAGTCAAAGAATCACAATCAGTAACTAAGTGACCATTGCTAGCCTAACATAAATAAACCCTATTACACGGATGACGAACAGGGCACTCACATGAAAGGAGCTTGACCTTGTGTACTTAATAGTAACACTGGGTAAACTGGAAATACATACTTAATGGTTGTTAAGCTGTAAGAGGAAATCTTAATGCTGAAGAGCCAGTAAATATTCTACCTTTCTTTCTTTTCTTCTTTGCTTTTCTTGAGGCATATTTCTTGTCAAGAGATATACCTGGAGATCAAATGAAGATAATGCGTAACGTCTTATGTCACAATGAGAAGGTAAAACGTAAAATAGAACGAGGGGCTCTTAACAAAAGATGAGAACCAAATTGGAGTAAAAGATGACTGACCAAAGAAGATTGTGGAATGAGAACAAAGAGATACGGAAAAATTCCGAAAATAAGCCCTAGGGCTTATATTTTTCAAAGGCCCTTTTTGAGGGGTTTATCTATGGAGAGAAACTTGCGTTTCAAAATCGATTGGGCTAACCTTATAGTTGGAAGGAAATTTACCGTTTATGCTTTGTTTTACTTTGTATTTGAGGGAAATTTCCAAGTACAAGCCTCCGGGGGGCTTATATTTGGAGGGGCGATTTAACGGAGGGTTTTTTTGCGTTACGAGTTTGGGAGGCTTATATTTGGGGGTCTTATACATGGAGGGGTTTATTTTCGGAATTTTACGGTAAGTGAAAAGTGATGGAAACTGGCAGAGAAGAGGTGGAACAAAGAGAACAGAAAAAGGGACTGGCTGAGAAGGGGGCAACACATGGAAGAAAAAGGAGTAGGAAAGGAAGTGGAGGTGGGAAATGGAAGAGAGAGGATGAGAACTGGAAGAAAAAAGGGACGGAGAATGTAAATGAAGGGGCTAGAAACTAGAAGAGGAAAAGGTGAGAAATGGAAGAGAAAAGAATGGGAAATTGAAAAGAAGGGAAAGGAAAATGGGGTAGAAGGAGATGAACTAAGAGAGAAAGGGGTATCTCTTCCACGCTTAACATTACTAGTAATACAGTGTAACAAAAGTACCTCCTGACACCTTGAGGGATACTGGTAAGTCCAAGTTTGCCACTGGAATATCATCTACCAGCATCTCTTTCTTCTTTGCCTGAAACGGGACACACTGATCATCTCAATTTTAAGAATAACATTAACACATTCTTTCAAAAAGCCATGAGAACTTGAGTCAAGTAGGAAATTCTCTTCTAACACCATTATAAAATTGTTGTGGCAATACAATGATAGCTGCAAGGGGCGACAAGCTATTCATGGAAATTACCTTGAGGTCTTCTTTTGCTGTCACCTTTAGATAATGTGGATTACTGAGCTGATCTTGTTTTCTTTGTTCGCGTCTCTGAGATACACATGGAAAGTAAAAAACGTTCAATAACTACAGCAACACAGACGTATTACAGAGCTTTAGATTCCAAGACGAGTACGACTACGAGTACGAGATTTTTCCAATACTGAGTATCAATCACGCGTGAACCAGCGTCATTTTGGCGGGAAATGGTGATAGCCGTCGTCATTCTAAAACGGGTTTTAGCGAGAATGTTGTAGTGGCGGGAACAAATTATCAAATGTGAGGAGTTTTATCATTTTGCTATCGGGAGAGGGCTTAAACTCCTTCAGTATATAAATAACCGAACTAACTTTTTAGGTGAAAAAAGAGTAAAATGAAGCTTTCCGGGGTGTCTTTTTTTGAGAACACGCGCGTAAACTTAAAGTTAATTCTCTTACTCGGCCTCAAATCTAAAGCTCTCTATTCTGTACCGTATTGGCTTGAGTAACCGTTGCCCTCGAATAAGCGCCACACTTCGGACAAAAAGTATTAGAAGTGCCGCCGCAAATAAATAATAGTAATACCACAGTTAAAACAATTCTTTGTTGCCTCCTACCTCAAATATACGCCGCCTTCAAACAAGCATCGCGTTTTAGGCATGAAAAAATTCAATAAGCGCCGCGGCCCTTATTCGAGTAAATACGTACCCCTTACAAAATGTGTTTGGAGATTTTTCTGTAATATACAGAGTTTGTGAGCAGGATTTATGGCCTAAGCAAGAAGTGTTTGGACAAACAGAAAGAAACAGGTTTAATGGCAAAAATACAATGACAACAGAATCATGAATGATAACAACCTTTTTCATTTCTTCCTCATCTTCTGATTCATGCTTCTGTTTCAATTCTCTGAAAATTAATAAGTCATGTTACTACCTTTCTGAAAAAGCACAGTGCTTAAGGACACATAAGAGCATGCACAACAGCTCCGAGGGGACAAACGCTTCGACCCCATTCAACGCTCTTTCCTAATTTACCCTTGAGTGAGGTAATTTCAAAAATGGTGTTGTCCACCTGAAGCCTTTTTTCTTACTGGATTTTTGAATCTTTACATGTACTTGAGTTTGAGAGAGATTTTAAAACCAAGGTAAATTAAGTCAGCCTCACAATTTTTGAGGTCTACTTTGTGAGAGTGGGGTCTCCTACAAAGAATGCAAGCTGAAAAAGATATTTAAATACAGATCTCGACTTCTTCCATATAATAGACAAGTTCAAAGTCGGTACTGTAAGTAAAAGACCTGGCTTGGATTTATCGAACATGCATGAACTGTGCCAGTCATAAACCCAAAGGAAAAAACCTATGATTTGTAACGTTAGGGCCATTTATACGAGGAAAAATAAGACGCGTCTTAAATAAGACGCGAACTGTACCATTTATACGAGCATGTCTTATCTAAGACGAGAACAGCTCGTGTAAATGGTTCGCGTCTTATTTCTGTTCTTTACTCGTTTTCATGTGAATGTTGCCCGTAGCAACTGCAATCGAACGTGGCTCGCCAAAAATCAACGCATGCGTACTATGCGTTCGCGTCTTAAAAGTTTGAAGGTCAATACATTTTCTCGTCTTAACTAAGACGCGTCTTATCTAAGAACAGGTGTTAAGGGCTGTTCTAAAATAAGACGCGTTTTAGCTAAGTCGCGTCTTGTTTTAGACGAAATGTGCCGTCTATACGGAAAGTTCGCGTCTTATTTAAGACGCGTCCTATGTAAGACGCGTCATATTTTTCCTCGTATAAATGGCCCTATTAAGTCCAGAGTAGAAGAAAACGGTTAGCCATAATAAATGGCTGATAACTGCTTAATTCTCCTTACAAAGTACTTTCTATCTGCTTGAGAAGTAAAAGGAGAATTTGGCGTGTCATCAAGAGCTACAATCTTATTCCAGCCAACCCTTCAATAATATGCAAAAGAAAAAAAATATTATTTGTTATAATTTTCAGCGCCATACTTGTGTTCGCCATGAGGGTCAAATATTGTTTCTATGTCCTGCTCCTCCTCTGAGCTTTCTGATGGGGGTTGATTAATCCACTTGTCTAGATCAAGTCTAAAAAATAATCAAAGGAACATTAGAGATGTTGTGGATAGATACAGTTGAACTTCTCTTGAAGCCCAAGAGACCACAAAAGGTGTCCGCTTAAAGGAGGTAAAAATTACACTGTTTGTTCGTCACTGGGACCATATAGCCTCATTCAAACCAAAGCTTAAAGCTGTTAAGTTAAACACGGTTTAACACTGTTTCCTTTGTAAAAGCTGCTTACTGACTAAGCTGACTGCAAATTTAGTGCAAATTACAGAACATGTTGAATTTCTTTTGAATACTGTGTGAAAACTGTTCCAGTTTTCCACATCCGTTTTTCATTAATTTTAAAACCTGGTTTAATTGAACATGTTTAGTTGGTGTGAATGGACCATATGTATAAGTATCATGTCCAGGTGAAACAAAATTACTAACTTCGACCAAAATTTGCGGAAAGAAGTATTGAAAGTATACACTGAACAAAAAGATTTTTAAACTTTCAACAAATAGGAGGCTGCTCGTAACTATGATGAGTGCAGCTGAGAGCAAGCAAGGAAGTTGGCTACTTTTCAAAAGCATGACCACGTCTTATAACAGTCTTATAACTCAGGACTACTCAGTACTCCTGACTTTTGAGATCCAAACAAGAAGATGATGCCGTGACAAAGATAAATGAAATAAATGCTGTACAAGGTTAAACAACCATACCCTTCTGGAACCTGCACTTTCTTCTGTGCTTTTGAAGCAACTGGATTTAGTTCACCACGAAACAGTGATGACACCTCCTCAGAGCAATCAACACCTAAGTAACACAGTATTCTATTAATATTATATACTACTAATAAAAATTATTACAAAGAATACCTTATTCAATTCTTAAAACAAAAGCTGGTTGAAAAGCACACTCACAGTGTGGTTCTTCATCTAAGGGAAGCTTTACATGGAGGTGGGGGACCTTGCGTACGTGAGGTAACCCGTGGTGGGTCACCCCACCTATCATGAAAACATAATCAAATTTAAATGAGAGATTATGTGGACGGGCTGGTTAATCCACCAACGCGGGTTACCTCACCTACCTGGGGTCCCCCGCCCCCATGTAAACAGGCCCTAACATACTGTAAAGATAATGTAGGATTCAAAAATGTGGAGTTTTTAGGAGAAAAGGAAATGAATGTACCCAGAGGATTCTCTCTTTAAAACATTTAAAGCAAGACTTCCTTATAAGCACAACAATAATTATGAGCACAATAATGAACAGTTCTCATTTCTGACCAAGCACAACCAGGGTTTTGGAAATCCCAGTATCTTAAGACATTTTCTACCTTGGTACATGGTATTAATTTTGTTGCCAAAATGTCAGGTATAAATTATTCTGCATTGGAATAATTATAAATTTAGGTAACTGATTACCTTTTCCTTGCAACTTGAGAACATACTTAATGAGCTGCAAGATACAGCTAGCCTACAAATTAAATGACAGAAATGATTATTAATATTAAAGCAACAGATACAAATGCATCAATCAATAAACTCAATCAATCAATCAATAACTTTATTAACCTGTCGGAAAAGACCTGGCAGACCACACGTGGTGAACTAATCAGGGACACTGCCTTTGATGTTATTTTTATATGTGGCTAAATATGATTTAGGCTGAGATAAACTCAGCTGGCCAGCTGTCTCACTCATTAGTGATATGCAGGGGCATCCTAACTGCATCAAAGGGGCTCATGGCCTTTTTACAGCCATTCTCTTGAGGTCAGTTCATTACGTTCGCGTGCTGTTGCCTGTTGTGGTGTGTATTTTGATGGTTTCCCTTGAAACTTGCATTGGTGGACATTTGCAAACAAAAACAAAATCTTAATCGCTTTTTGTAGCATGGGTTGATGGATATTACTGATATTACTCACCCTCTCCTGCACCTCGAGGTCGGCACTCTGTACAAATATGGGTAACTTCTCTACAAGCATCTCACTAACCGACTTTGTGTCACCATCTTCATCCTTCATAACAAAACAAAAGGTAGAATATAGATTAATTTGTTCTATGTTGTCTCTTGACTACAACTACAGTGTTAACAAGTCTTGATGATTAGTGAGGCGGTAGCAAGTACTCTAAAAAATTGAGAGTTTCAATAAACAAAAATACAGCATGTACAAAGTTATTGATGTCTTCTTGATTGCCATTCTTGTCATTTCCAACAGAGGATAAGTAGCAAATCTGTCATCCATCACATGTGGCATAGTCAGCGAACTCAATTTATTACGCATTTCGATGAATGCACTACCTTCATAACTTGCAACGCATGCAAGCACAAATACTATTTCACCATTCAAAAGGAAAACAAATCTGTCTCAAACGATCTTTTCAAAGCTTGAACAGAAAGAGAATGTTATCCTCAAATCGTCATAGGGATTTATTAAATGCACAAAAAAGGGTTGAGAACAAATTATGAAAACTACAGTTGAACTTCCTGTAAATGACCACTCAAAATTCTAAGTGGTCTCTTACAGGAGAAGGTCACTTATGGGAATTCGACCACATGGGTTCGCTACTGAGAAGAAGCCCAGATGCCTCTACTTTATGGTAGATAATTTATGGCAGGCAATTTCTAAGTTACAATGTCGATATTTCCATGTATTGGCTAAAAATTCATTTTTTACTCCAAGTACCAGAGTACATACAGCAAACATAGAGATGACACCATGCATTATGTGGTTGCTTGCAAGAGGTTAAAAACAGTGGAAAATTATTACATTCTCAGCTGTGAAAAGTGGTTTTGGTCGCTTACAGGAGGTCATCATCTTTGGGAGGGGCTTTGACTGGGAGAATTTTGGTGTTTCGCTCATGGGAACTGGTTGCTTACTAGAGTTGGTCACACATGGAGGTTCGATCGTATGAACTTACCTCCTCCTGATTTGCTAGCAGCTTAGCATATAACTTGGCAATGTTCTGGACATACACTGCTTGGATGTGCCCTGGAAGGGAGGTGGCTTTAGGCTGCAGCATAGCCTCTAATGTGACATTGATATCTGGTAGTTGCCTGGTAAACAACAACATAACCAACTTTTATTATCACTGTGCAAGAAGCTTAAAACACATTGTTGATTGCAACAGAATATGCAGGTAGTATGCCAAGTACTAAACCTAGCAAAAGAGGCGGTAAAAGAAATTGGACTTGATTAGAAGCCACCTTGACTATAATGTATGGGCGGGAAGGCTTCCGTAAACTTCACTTATATGCCCTGCTCTTATACAACTTTGTAGGGGGTTTCAAGAGGGCTCATGAAGGGGGCAGCTTATAACTGGACCAAAAAAAGTGTTTCAAAAAGCTACAATCGGTGACAAAATGAGTTGAGACACTTCGCTCTAAAGGAGCTTTTTGAACTATTTTTTTTAAAATGAAGCTAGAATTGTAACATATATTATTCAAGCCACAGTTTCACTAACTCTGAAAATTCTCCTGAGATCCACGCTGCAGCAAAAAGTACTTCACAAACTCTGTTCTTTTCCATTTGTCCAGACATCAGCTCACTGCTGGTCAGCAACAAAGACTGAAACAATGTAACAAAAGCATTTCTGTTTACATGGAATTTTTGAGTTCACTAGGCAATGTTAACACATTTTACTAAATGACAAAAGGCAAAAAAACTCAAAAGAAAATATTATTATACAATGCCCACAATAATCATAAACCATTAAATAGTAATTCACACGTACGAAACAACAATCTGACGAGTGTGCGTATTGAATGAGATGCACTGACATAAATTTACTATAAATTTCACGCAAATAAGCATAATATAAAAGTACACAGTTCAACCCTTCTAAAGTAAAGAACCTAGCATATGAAGTATAGTTTTCAATCCAGTTGCAATCAAATTAATGTACAGAACAGGACCTATATACAAGGGCACAAAATTGCACCTAAATTTTCTGCCCTGGTGACCAATTTTCGAGTTCAGATGAGTTGCCAAATTTAACGACATGAACAGAATAGAAAAAATATTTCTTCATCACTTCTCACTCGAAGTCCTTATAAGTAATGTCTGAGTTCAGATAAATGACAGGGTATTTTAGGAAACAAATTAACACTAAGTATTGGACCAGTACTGGTGATAACAGACTTACCAAGCATTGAACAGCATAAGGACGTATAGCCTTGACTCTGATAGTGACATCCATCATCTGTGAAGCTATCAGTTTGCCATGTCTTGTTCCTTCCACTCTTGTCAGCTGCACCAGTACATCAATATACCTACAGTAGACACAAGACAACAGAGAACATGATTAACCCTTTAAGTCCCAATGGTGACCAACAGCAATTTTCTCCTAACAATGTCCATACATTGTCAAGAGATAAGGTTGTAAGAATATAAAAAATGATCATGAAAGAGAAAATGCCTTGATGTTTTATTAAATTCTCTCAACTTATTCTTAAAGGAAGTGTATGCAGATCAGTTTGGAGAATTTGTATGTGGATACTGGGGCTTAAAGCGTTAAAATTAAGAGGTTGGCAGAAGGATAAACAGAACTTTGTTTCTTTCTCATTTTCTTGGTCAGTACTAGCGTTTCTTACAATGGGATCTTTTTTTTACAATAACTGTAGAAATTCTGACATACTTTACTGATCGAGAGCCTTTGAGTTAATTTTATATCTTGCTGGTTTGACCAGTTGATGTTTGAGAATCAAATTTCCCCCCTCTCTGTTCATGAACACAATGAATTTAGTTTACTACTTAAATTTGTCACTGAGCCTTCACAATACTCATAATCACTGCCATCCCTTTATCAAAAAAGGAAAAAAAACAGCTTTTTTACCATTCAAAGTTTGTGACATAGTGATAGTCATTCATACTACAAATCTCTACAATCTTGGAAAGGAGCTCATCACAGTATGCTGGAACAAACAAGAGCACATAGGAAAATTAATAATTCGAAAAATAAATCTTATACAAAGTTTCTTTTATAGTAATGATAATGATAACAATAACAAGAAACAACATTTCAACTGCTCTGTTAAAAAAAAACAAGAAGTAAATATAATGTTGATTTGAGGATTAATAATAATTTTAATAATTCTTACTCTGACTGTCGGCCTTGTCAATTTGCACCATCAGCTTCTTGATAATGTCCATTATATTCTTCTTAGAAACCTACAGGAAGAGAGGTTGTTTAGAACAGTGCCAATACTCTACATTTCCAGACTTGCCAAGTATCACGACTTTGTTGTGAGTCTCACGATTTTAAGACCTATCTCACACTCTCACAAGTTCACAACTTATTTCTTGCACTGTCTCCAAAGAACACACTGGAGAATCTCTAAGGCTCATTTCCAAATTAGAAGGCAAACTCAATCTACAGAAAACACCTAGCGGCAACTGACATGAATTTGGGATTTTCTTCAACTCTAATAAATTATTGCCTTTGTTTTTGAGTTGAAAGGTAAATTTAATGGTGTGAATTTCCTACCATCCCAACGATAAGATCCAGAGCTCGGAGTCTAATAGATTCATCCTTGTCATCCAGACACTGCAGCACTATGTCTCTGAAATCAGAAAGCAAATTCTTTTCGTATAGTGCTATATTTCCTTTTATTTTATTTTATTTTATTATTTTTTTTTAGGATAATGAGTACTTAAATTAAATATTTATTTTCCTCTATCTCGGAGACATTAGCTTTAAGAGCTACACTGTAAATTTGAGGATAAACAAAGGTGATGTATGATCTATATATGTATGGTATTTGCTAGAATTCTCGTTACATTTATTTGCTAATTTTGATTTGCTAGCTTGGAAAACCAGATAGACACCAAGGAACATTAAAACTACATTCAGCTAACTGTGAGCAGTACTTGTAAAAATAATAATATGCTCCTAACAGTGTTATTTTCTATTTTTAAAATACTTTATTCACTTTCTATGGGCTTTGTTTTAGTCTATAAAACACAACACCAAACAAAGCAGGAGCAAAGTGGGTGATCCTAAATGTAGTGAACATGCCAGGCCCATCATGCCTGCTTGGCCGGTTAGCAAGTCAGAAGACAGTGTTTGCTTTATATTGCTTGCTTGCTTGCGGAGCCAGCTATTATTAAAAGTCACTTACTTATGCCCTTGTACAACTTTGGGGTTCACAGCCAGGATTTTTGACATAGCAAGCAGACCAAGATACTTCACTACAAAGGAAAATCAATGTTGACAGTCAAATAATGGTTATGTCACATCACAGATATAAGTACAGTAAAAGTAGGCCTAGTGTAGTGTGGATTAGTAACCACTTTAGGCTGAGCTGGTCAATTTTGGCATGTGAATGCAGTACATGTACAAACTTCATTCAGGAATGGAACTCACTCTGACTTTGGAAATGTAAGGCTGGTTTTTACTAGTGACAGAGTCGGAGCTGGAGTCGTAATCCAAAGCATAGAACTTTATGATCTAGTGCAAACAGCGTTATGAGTCTTGTGATTCGGCTTATGACTGTGTCATTTACGATCAAGTGAAAACTGGGTCGTCGGAGTCGCAAGCAGAAGCAAAAGAACTAAACCAAACACAACATGTGGGAATGTGTACTGTGATTGGTTTATCTTTCCGCTTCTACTTCTGACTCTGACAATCTGGTTCGAGTGATTTTCATATGACCTTGAAAAATGGTTTCGGTGAGTGTTCGCTATTTGTTTTATCAGCCAATGGATGAAAAGATCAAAACAAGCCCTCTTTGTTTTCCCGCCAAAGAAAACCCTAATATGGAGAAGGCATTGTTCGATTGGCCAATCGTGTGGCAGTATGATGTCAAAGCGAAGTACCGATTGATTTCTAGGAAGTTCTCGGGCATGATGTTTTTTCACCCGAGTGTTCGCTTAGCCAACCAAAAGCCACGCGCCTTTGTATCCGTTCCATAAACCAATCAAATCGTTCTCTTTCAGTTCGTTTGTTGTTTCTGTTTTGTTTGCTCATTTATATTTTAAGGTCATACGAAAATCGCTCTATCACTAGATAATAAACAAAATGTAAGCGACGGAGTCGTAAGTGGAGTCTGAAGAAAATGGAACCTTCTGATTCTTCTGAGTCCAATTCCGTCGCGCTTATAACTCTGTTTAAGAATCCGATTTTTGATTTTCACTAGGTCATAAGCGCTCTTATGACTCCAATTACATCTCCAACTCCGACTCTGTCACTAGTGATAGACAAGCCTTAAGTCATTGTGGTATCGTTACGATAGCCCCTAACAATCAAAATGTCTTACAGTTCTGATCCGGGTCTTCAATTAAAATCCGCAACTTGCTGACACAAAGCTAAAGAAAAAGCAAAATAAGTATCATAATATGAATGTCAAGGAATTAGTGAAAACAAAAATATATCAATTCCACTAATAAACTCAGCAAATTTTCAAAACATGGTCAATTTAAGTAGCATTAAAAGCGAGTATTATACCTGGATAGAGGCTGTATGGTGAGGTAATCCTAGGAACCAGAGAATAAAGAATTGTTAATATCAAATGTTTAAAACAATTAACATTTTTGTGTCAATGCAAAAAACAACAATATTTGAAAAACTGAAAACATTTGCATAATATGCAAAATATGCCTTATAAGTGTATATGCCATGAATTTTTGTTTTGTCATTTTTAGTTCTAAAATATGTGTAAAACATGTATAATGTATCTGAAATTTAAACTTGTCAACAATCTTACAAAACCTATTTTTTAGTCTCCAAAACACGTAAATTTGCCTGTAAAAATGTCTGCCCTATCGCATGGCCAAAGTGACAACAAAATTACTGTATTTTAGATGTGTAATGGGTTTGCAGTGGGAGAGTGCATAACATTTAGTACACCTGCATAACATCAAGTAAAATCTGTACCATTTTCGTAAACCATTCCTTACCTGATACTACTGTGTTGATACATTCATATAACAAAGACATGGCTGATGTGCTGCAAGGAAATAAAACTTCACATCTAAGATGTCACTGATAACCTACTCCTGTTTGCTTAATTTGATGCAATAACACAATAATGAAAGGTGGCTCAATATCACAGTTTTCAGAAGATGATGACGATCATTTTTAACTGTCTAAATTAAAAATGAAAGAAACATCCATAGCTGCTTATGTAAAGCTAACTGTAAGATTTATCCAGCAGCATAAATCCACCACTGAACAGTATCATCTTCAGATCAAGATAAACACATTGTTTTTACCTATGAATTAGATTTGTTAATGGCTCCAGCAATTTCTTTCCCAGTCTTGGTTCAAGAGGACAAAGCGCTCCAAACTGCAAGAGAATTAAAAAAGAATCATTAATAGAAGAAACCCAACGAAAAATGCCCTAAATCACCCATGATCTCTAGAAAGTTATAAATGCAGAAAAATCTACAATGCAAAATCCTTTTTGAGTCATCAAGAGATGCTTTCTTTTCTAGCCCCTGTAGTGACATGGATCATAGTGGATCGAAGGCCTGAGCCAAGATATTTTATGCATAGTCAGGCTGTCACTAACGGGTGGGAGCTGCGGGGGGGGGCGGGGGCCAGGGGGGCTTGGGGGCTGTTGGCCAGGGATTTGCACCAGATATTATGGGCATGACCGCTGGCTACATTCATGAGAAGGAAGAGGAAAATGGAACCAAAAGAAATTCACAACTGTTTAATCCCCCGCCTACTAATTGCATATGTCTGCCAACTTGACAGCCCTGATAGTTAACAGAAAAATTCTTATTTCACAGTGAAAATGGCCTAGATATAAGATTAAGCACAAATGCAAGCACAAGGACAAGAATCAAATAATAATGTTTTTCCTTTTGTCTTTGTGACCCATTCATGTACATTGCTGCTGTTGTGCTTGTATCAGTATTTAGTATATACACACTCAGTGATCTTGGTAATTCAAGCAATCTGATTGGTTAGCTATCTCGGACTATGACGATATATTCACCGCGCTAGGCGGTGAATATAAAGCCAAACAAAATCGCTGTCGTGAACTGGGTGTTTTGCCAAAAGTTCAAAGTAAAACCTTTTTGAAAATACACGAATATTCAAGTGCTGATGACTTTGAAGGCAAGAAAAGACTTCATGGTGTTTAAACAGCGTGATTTATTGTGAAGTGGTTTACTTTAGCTGACTTTTTGTACGCTCGAAGCTATGTTTACCACTACAGAGGAAAACGAGGTCGCTTTGTCACTGTTTTGTGATTTCGGGATTTTCTCGCAAGACCAATTTTGCCTATAAATAGAAGTTAATTTATGGAGAAGAGAGGAAGGCAAATATTTTCGAAAATTGTACGTGGCAGCAAGTTAACAAGGCAAAGAACTTTGGAGATAAACAACGCTCACCTTGATCGCAGCCGCTGTTGACAGCATTTGTAAGAAGCGATGAAGAAAACTTTCTCATTCATGGTGAGTGGACAGAAACAAATAAAGCTCTAGATACTTTTCTCCTCAGAATTGGGTAGTAATTTAAATTTTCGGCGTTTTCTTTTAAACCGTTGATGCTAAAGCTTACAAAACTCGATACAAAAGGATTAAAACTATCATTTGCCATGTTTGAAGATACTGTAAAGATCTAACTTTTGTGCATCCACTGTTTACGGCTTCATGTTCACGCATGAATTTTCACCCGTCAATCAAACTAATCGTTTTTCAATGGTTTCCTTTCTGATTCTGTTGAGATCACTTCGTGTGAATATACTAAAACAATTATTCACCTCAGGCTCAGTTAATATTGTTGAATAATCCCCTCGACTTCGTCTCGGGGATTATTCAACAATATTAACTTCGCATTCGGCGAATAATTGTTAATTATTGTCAATTGACCCAAGACTCTTAAGCTTGCAATAATATTATCAGACAAGACTGAGAAATACAATGCAATATAAGTGATGTTACATGGGATCATTTTCAAGGATGATTTTAAGCACGACAAAGTCTCGCAACGTTGGAACAATATTGCAGCTATTCGAAAAATTGTTGTAACAATGTTGATAGCGTTGCACTAAAAATCTTCATTGAAAATCATCCTGTGTAACATAACCTTAAGTAGGAGTTCTTGGAAGAATATGGAACTGTTGCATTTAAGAACATGGAACTCAAGGCTGTGCTCTAAGGAAAATTGAAGGGAGCCCAGTGCTCTGAAACTGTAAAATCTAGGGTGCCCAGCATATGATTTGTATGAAAAATCTGAGATTTTCTAGTCGCCCGAGGGTAAAAGTTAGGTGCCAGGGGCCACCGGGCTCTGTTAGAGCACAGCCCTGGAACTGTTGGATTTTTAAAGGAGAATACCAGAGCGACAGAGAAAAACCAGTACCACTCAGAGCAATGAACAGAGTCAACGACAAACCCAACCCACATATGATGAGTCCTCCAGTTTCCAAACCTGAGCCACAGCAGTCTTAAGATAATGAACCTCTTTATGACTAAGTCCTCTGTATAAGGAATGATATTCTTCGCCCCAGTGGTAGTAAAAATATAAGGAAAAGAACCTTCAGGCAACAAAACCTCATTACTTGAGTGAACGTACTGGTCAGTCCCTTGGTCCCTTGTTATATCGAGGTTCTATCGTTAGTAATAACTTAATGATACTAACCAGTTTGATGATTTTGATAAGCATCCAGTTGTTAGTGGAACTTGTCATCAGTTTGAAAAACAATGGTGCAAGTGATAAGTAGTTCTTTGGATTTTTACGAGCTAACTCGCAAATCACATTCACTGCTGCTGACTGGACACCTGTGGTAAGATGACACAAAATAATCAATGACTTTGAAGTAAAGATAACCAGCACTGGCTCATTAAGAAATCGCCTTGACAATTTTCCATGGTCTGTACTCTTGTCAAGCATGGAAATGACATCAAAGAGTTCAAAACTTAAGTGGAAAGTTTTGAACATTTTGACATCATTTCCATTCTCAATAAAAGTACATACCATGGAAAACTTTTGGCCATTTGTTTTTTTGCAACAACATTTACAGTTTTGTTGCCATTTCCATTGAAGTTTCTTGGAAAATTGTGTGAATGAGAGAGAGAAAAACAAATTGTGCTAGTGCCCAAGATCATCTATTGGCGATGGGTTTAATATTTGGTGAGTTAAGACTTAATTTGCTCCATTTCTTTTTCTTATTTATGCAAAAGATATGTGTAAATGTTTTTTACCAGGCTCTGAATCTTCAAGCTTTTCCTTCAGCCTTGGGAAAGCAGGCCTAAGTGCTTCTGGAAACTGGAATAAACCACAACAATGAAAGTTACCATATATAGATTTAAAAAAATAGTGTTTTATCCGTTGGAAAGTGCTATCCAACTTTTGAACAACTGTGGCCTGGGTATTTGTCTAACGAAACAATGCAGTATCACTTTATAATATGATCTGAGATAATGGAAAATGAAAAAAACAACAACAACAACAACAAGAGAAGCAGGTTTGAAATTTAAAGAAAATAAATATGCACTGTACTGCACTGTGCAATGTTACCTTGAGAAATATTTTGTACATCAGCAAGACAGCTCTTTTCCTGATGTAAGGTTTGGTGGACACAAGCTAGTGGAAAATAAAGATGGGAGAATTTACAGGTATACCAGGGGCACCTACCATAGACATGGGGAATCAAACTAGAAACTGTTGTTTAGGAAACCAATATAAATGGGTTGGAAAGAAAGCCAGCCAAACACCAGTACCACAAGGCTGATGGGCATTACAAGACTGAAAGACCCATGCAAAAATTATCCAAAGGCATCAACCACTCAACTACTCATGCTTTGTTGCTAATTTAGTTAAATTACATTTAAACGCATTTAAAACTGAAGTTTCTAGTCACCTTATGGCTTTGCACTTTTGAATAACATACAAACTTTGAAGTTTAAAAGCCAACTTCACGATTGTGTTTTTCACTGCCTTCAATCATAACTATGATCACAAGCAGTGAACCTTAAAACACAGAAACTAACAAAACAGATCAAAATTCATCAATCACGAATCACAAACCAAGAACCTCTGAACTTGTTGAAGTAAACTTCTGTTTTCTAAGAGGTCCACTAGGATGATTGATGGCAGCAAGAGAGTTTGCATGTTTTTGAAAAGCAAACTACAGAAGTAACTAGGTGCCACCAGCTGCTACTAAAACACAGCTGTGACAACTCATTTGCTACACTTTGGAAAGTCAACTGGCTATCCTATCCTTTATGTTGAACTAGCCAAGAAAACTCACCAAGCACATGACATCATTAGCCAAATCTCTAGCTAAGTCTGTTGTCACAAAACATGAAAATCCAGCAAGTGACACGCCAGCATCATACACGTTCATGCTGCAAAGGTCCTGCATAAAGAGTTACAAATAATAAAGTATAACAAACAAACATACTCATGGTCAGAATGCTACTGACAGCTATATGTTTATTAAGTTTAACCAAGCTTTGACAACTGCGTCGCTAAGTGCAGGTGGGTGCCCATAATATCCGAGAGCTTCCACTTTTGGCAAAGTCAGCCCTTAGACTGAGTTACGCCCCCATGGCTGGTAAACCACGCCTTCCAGCTATGAGCTCCACATCAATGAAACCGGGTCCCAGTCATACTGATATATCAATGGATATATCAATGGAAAATAATTGGGGGGAAGGGAGCAGGAGGAAAATCCACTAATAATTCCTTCATATCATAAACCTGCTTTTTTGTGAAGATCATGGAATATTTTCAAATGTATGATTAAAATACATCCACTCCAAACATTGAAATGTGGTGACTGTTTTATTTCCTTTCATAATGGTAAATGAAGAAGCTCTACTTGATTCTTCCTTTTTATAACAAGCATTCTGACAATCTTTGCTGGTGCATCACATCCAAACTCACCACGGATGACTAGGAACAAAGCTGGGACATGACAACTCCTGCTTATATTCACAGAAAACAAAGGACTAAAACTTAAGAATTATCTGCTCACCTTTCTGATCATGTTAGTTGTAAGCATAAGAATGTCCAGCTCTTCATGAAATGACTGGGATGCTGCCAGGTAACCAATTCTCTGATGAACAGAAAAACAGAAAAAGTAAGCAAAACAAGAAAAGGAGACTGTATTTTCCTCAAGAAAGAGAATGAAAATACATGTATGAGATGTATAATGAGACTCAACAAGTTGGTCATTCAGAATACTCCATTTCCTCCCTGGCCTTCAAAATTAGATCCTCTCCCAAATTTAACGCCCACCTTTGCTTAAACTTTTTCTTATCAAAATTACATGTAAAGGGGTAGGTTGTGTTATTTTTCAAAGATCTTGCCTATTTTCATTAACTATAATGCTTAAAACTATAGCTGTTAAAGATTGAAACAATTCAAGGCTGTGCTCTAATTAAGAAAAATGGAAGAGAACTCAGTGCTCTTAAATTGGGGAATCCAGGATGCCCATGCCAGCTTGCTTCTTATAAAAAAAATCAGTTTCCCTAGTCGCCCAAGAGCAAAAGTAATGCACCAGCCACCACTAGGTGCTTCTACAGCAAATCCCTGCAATTTTACTTGGGAAGTACAAGGGATTAGTAGCTCATAAAAAAAAAAAATAATGTGATCAGCTCTTTGAATTACACCAAGGAGATACATTTGTAACCTTTTTGGTTTAAATATGTAAATGCATGCCTGTAAAGTTCTGAAAGACTAGTAATGACGCACCAAAAGTAACAACCCTCTAAAAGTAGAGATAAAATTTCACAGGTGTTAGCAAATGCCAAAAGTAGCGACACTCCGAATGATAAATGCGAAGGTATTTGAGGATCATTACTTTCAGAACTCTATAGTGTAGTAAGCTAGGAGAACACTGTACATTGTAAGCTCACCTTGAAGGTAAACTTTGATGAGCTCATCACCTCAATGATGTTAAATGCAGCCCAGCTGATGTCATAACCCAGCATTTGAAGCTGAAAAAGAAATTTAGTCAGTCCCCAAGTATGAATGTTTATGGCCAGGCCAGAAAAATGGCCAAGAAAACCACCTCCTTACACACAAGATCTGCGAGGTCATGAACATTATTTTACGTATACTTGGGAACTGGCAATGAACCCTGATCAGTGCTAGTACCTTCCCCCAATTTACGGAACAATTTTGCAGCCTCATCAAAAAAAGGCTGTGAATAACAGCAAACGTCACTGACAACAGGATCTGAATGGGTTTTGAAAGCTCTTCTTAACTTGCAAAAAATTGTTGGTGTTAAAGAATATTTTTCTGCAACAGATATCATGTCATGGTATAACTGTTACGTAATGGATCACAGGAGATGTCAAAAGATGGTAAGAACATTAGTGCCACACCTGCCTACAGCAGGTGTCACTTTTTAACTTGGGGATCACATGTACCATAACCAACGAGTTATTGTGGGCACTGCAATATGCAAATGTGTCACTCAGGTGTAGACACCGTTCATAATTAGTGCTGAGTACGCACTGTGCCCAGAGCTTTTCATGTTATGATTTTGCACCTTCCACAGGACGATAAGTTGTCTCCATGTGGACTTTGAATGTTTTAAACTAGCACTATGGCCAACTTTGAGACAGAAATTTATGAACTTTTGAAGCTTTTTGACTTGTCCAGGCAATAAACATGACGAAGGGATCAGCAGTTGCTCTTTGACTCATCCCCAAGCTGGTCCAAGCTCACAATTCTCTCGATTCTAGCGTGAGTCTCATGTGGGTCTCATTTTTTAACTTTCTCACGACAAGAAAAGACTCCCAATCTCATGGTTTTTAGGGAAATATCATTCTGAAATGAAATGTTTCCTCAGTTGAATAAAAACGGAAATGTTTGCTGTTGCTGAATGGTAATTGATTCTCCTCATGTACGTAAATGCAGAGAAATGCAAGCTGTACAACGCCGTCAGCAAGAGACTACACGACAGTTTTGTAAGACACTTAATATTGCTTTGTCAGCCATAAGTTCTTCAAATGCAGCAAAATGAGTTCAAGTATGGCTTTTACCATCAAAACCATGATTGTTTTCCTCAAATATATCTTTCAATTCTTCATAAATAAAGCTCTACCAGCTTCAAACAGCGTCCACCAGCAGAATTTCATGGGCAAAAATGTTAAAAATAATTAATTTAATGACTTTATTTAACATTAATTTTCGTGGCGCAATAAATTATGTGTTAACCTTTCACGTTGAATGTCCAGGGTTCGACTCCTGCCGAAAGAAACTTTTTTTCCTTTTTTTTGGGTCACTTTGTATTGTCCTGTTTTTTCTTAAAACATATTTTCATATTTTTTCAGACTTAAAATATACCAGTAGACTAATTGCAAGTTCATTATCAGCTTTCAATTCCAAAATAATTAATCCAAGAGTTAGCTGTAGGCACCCTTTGATTTTCTTCTGAACACCATCATTGCCTTTCCTGAGGTTACATGACATGATTTTTTCATTAACTATCACTTACTACATGTAGATTTGGTATTAACAGAGAGATTGAGCCATACAACTCTCAAAACAGCAATTGATTTTATGCATGGTCAATAACAGAACAGTTGAAGAGTTTTTTAAAATAATCACAGCAAGAAATGCCCACTAGCAGTGTGTGTTCATTAAAAGGCTTACACTAATAATGCTTTTGGAAGTCACCAAAAGGAGGTGGCTAAATCCCCCCTATGACCAAATCATGCTGTAAACAAAGTCATTACTTATCACTTGTACATTGTTGTAACTATCCTGCATGACAGAAAAGAAGCTGCCAATATCCTCAAATTAAGACATTCATTAATTTTAAGATGCTTTGTGACTGTAATATTTGGTATTATTATTATATTAGTTTGCCGGTTTTGTGCACCCAATGCAATCTTTGGAAGATCCTGAATGGGCATGCTGTTCAAGTGTTATACGAGCTTGGACAAAACATCAGCAATCAGAGAGGAAAAAAGACTAACATAAGAAAATGGTAAAATTAATGAACATCTAAAACTTTGGGCACAAAATATAATGTGATTATCACTTTCACTATTGATTGACTAATATCACGAAAAATTTAATTATTATATTAGTTTATAATAGTGGTACAATTACCTTACCCGGACAATAAGCATTTTCAGTTAAAAAAAAGTGACTAACTTTTATTGGAACAAAAGAAAGTTTTTACGTAAGAAAAAGTCCAACTCCTAGAGGATTGGTTTGGGACACCGACAGGGTTGTGTTTTAGTATTTTGGGACACAAATATGGTGGATGTGATGTCATGTAAAAACACTCTATAAACCTTTATCATATGACCAACATTTTGTATAAAAGCAAAACATTTGGCATGTCTAGCCTTGTAGTGAAGAACTTGATCTGAACAAGTTTAGACATATCAAAAAAAGATTTTCATGCTATGGGGAATTAAATGTAAGGTCTATTGATATCTTCTTTATTGATTTAGGCTACATTCACAAGGTATCGGACAAATTTTTGACCAGTTAAAAATTTGTTTGTTTGGGTGCTTCGTTCACATGGAACCAAGCTAACCATATGAAAATTTAACGCCTAGCCCTTCAAAAATTTGAATGCTAGACTCCAGGTAAAATTTTAAGCCAGTTTGGTCCAAAATTCAATTGGCACAATGTGAACAGCATGACCGTCTAAAGTTTTGTAGGGTAAATTTGACCACATGGTGTGAGCGCTCTTTAGAACCATCTAAATTTTTGTACCGCAAAGGTGTGGTTGCATGGATGTATTGTAACTCTGCTGGTATATGCCATTTTGGATTTGTTTACCAGTAAGTAGCGCTCTGTGGATGGTAAGATGGTAAAACCTCTGACAAAATTTAAAATTCAACCTGGATCATCAGTTCTGTGTGTGTGCAGATAAGACTGAAAATACTGAATGGTTCCTTGTGATTGAGGTATCTGGTCAATTTTTTTTCGCCGGTCAAAAATTTGCCTGATGCTGTGTGAAGATAGCCTGGATTTCTCTAGCACCATGCACAAAGTAAGATTTCTGGAGATAAACTTCACACAAGAGGAACAACAAGCCGGCAGCATGGGTTAAAGGTTAAGTTAACAGATTAAAGATAACAACTGAAAAAAAAATTTAACCATTTTAACTTCCTGTTAATGATTTTGCCATATTTTGTATCGAAATCAAAGTTCCAAGCATTATGAACTACATGTAAACCCCTGGGGGGGGCACTTGGGTATTTTTTGGGTGGGTATGTGCCGCCCGGGACTCCAAATTAGCACACTGTGCTAAAAAAATTCCCCTAAAATTGATACCCTGTTCTAGAAATGGGTCAATTTTTTATGCTCCGTTCTAGAAAGTTTGTAAATTGAAATAGCCCTGTTTTTTTAAAAAATATTTCTTTATTTGTTCGACTTATACATCAAATAAATGCTTCTTCATAATCAGCAACAATTTTAAGCAGAAGATAAAGCTGTGATCCACAATTTTTATGCCCTGTTCTAGAAAACGCCTCTGAAATGGATACCCCGTTCTAAATCAGGAGCTTCAAAATCACGACCCCGTCGGGCGGCACATACCCGTATAGGCAATGTATGGGAGTAACCCCCCCGGGATGTAAACCTCCACCTTCTTTCAAGTTCCAGGACCATGTTTAATTTCCACTATGCATATATACGGTAAAACACCTTTAAATTTCTAGCTTCTTTGATGCTTCTACTTACATAAGTGAGCTTGGCCACCGCATTGGCTTTCACAGCAGCATTTTCTTGCCTCAGCTCTTGTTTGATTTCATCCAAACAGGATGCAATATATTTAGCCTGCCAAGAAACGAAACTTCCTGTTTGGCTTAAACGGTATCAAATCACAACCACTCATTATATAGGAACAAATTAAATTGATGCAAGTGCTTAACATAAATTTAAATTTCCATGTAAAGAATCACATGGCTAATAAAATAAATCTCGTTTTGTCTTAACATAGACGCAGCTTAAACTGGTGAAGATCCAATCGAAGACAGATTTTCGTGTACATTTCTTCTCTGTTCCTACGATGGTTGCTGCTAAATCAATACAATATACCCTTTAAATGTACAAACTATTGAAATTACGAGATGAATACATAAAACAGCATAATAGACATATAAATAAACCGATAAAAAATAGATTATGCCACGTCGTCCGGTAAATGCAATATGCTCATGTGAGTGGAACCCGAGACTTATAGTACCTCGTTGCTTTTGTTGTTTCTGATGCCACGGACAAGATCCGTGAGGTTCTTCTCAAACATTTTTGATGGTAGCCCTCTTTATATCCACATATAGGGCAAAAGTTAGGTAAATTCACAGAAAAGCGCTTTTTCTACGGCATTTTCCAAACGAAAGTTGATCCTCCCCTGTTAGCTTCAAGATGGCGGCGTAAACTTGCTATGTACTCTGGGTAATTCTTCTCTGAATGGAAAGCAGGAAAATTATACCGAGGGAGGAGTGGGAAGGGAAGAATAAAATTGTTCTTCTTAATAAATCATTGTTTTTTTCAGTTTCTACCGTTACTCAGTCTAAGAAAGTATTTAAAAACGCTTCAACTAGCTTTCTTTACCACTCAAATGAAAATAAAGGATAAAAAAGTCAGAATTCTCTTTCCGCTCATTTTTGCTTTCGGTTTTCGCCATTATGTTTAAAGAATTTTCTTTTATCCTTTCTAGAATCAGCGTTCCTTAGAGAAAATTTTCAGACTAAGACATCTTCATTTTACATCAACAAAAAAGAACCCTTTTCTTTTGAAGCTTGGGAGCCTGGCAAGAAGATCTACTTGGCAAGTTGCAAATTTACCCTAATTTATGCGAATGTATGCGGTCTCTTTTGAAAGACACGGATCAAATACTGTGCCGTATTTATTTTCAGTGACTACCGCGTTCCTTGCAGCTATTTTTGATATCCTTCTGGCCTTTTAAACTACAGTTATTTGAACCATTAGAAGGGTATAAAATGTGCTGCAAATCTTTGAACTATATTCATCGAAATTACTGAGGGAACGCCACCAATGTTCGGTTCGGGAAGATGGTTGTTGCAGAAAATTCGGGTTCCACGGAGCTCTCCTCAAAGGTTTGCTTAAAGTTTTATGTATGCTTTACTGAGTCCTCTGATCGGATAATCGCCATCAGAACTTATTTCCGCCATTTTGTGTGCATTGTGAGTCATCAAAAACTTTTTTTTTCTCGTTCAATGCTCTGTCAGATTTCAAACGAGCGGCGATCAAAGAACTCAATGTCGATTCTGCTATGAGCTACTGGTTCTAGTCAATTCTTTCTCCCACACTAAATCAGACGTTATTTTGCTCTTGAGCACTAATTTTTGATTTATACGTTAACTGTTGAGAGATCTAGCATGATTTTGTTACCATTGTTTCTTATTACTCGGTTTAAAAATGGTGTTGGATAGTGGGATTTCTCGAAATAGGATCGATCTCTGACACAGTAAATTTCTTCGAAGCTTGGTGGTATATCACGAGTAGAAGAGAAGTATCTTTCGAAGTATTTCTCCTCGATTGTGGATAGTGGTCATTTAAACATGCAAGCGGTAAAAGAGGCTTAATCTTTCAGTATCAATGGTGTAATTCTATTTTTAATTTCGCGGAAAGTGATAAATATATCCACCATTTCTGGGTCGGACATCGACATTGACGAGCGTCACACGCTTGACAAAGTTTGACACTGACAACAGATCAGTTTCCCGCCTCTGCTTCGGTTATTCACGGCCGTTAAACCTCGCAAGATCGATGGAGAATAGATTTTTCTTGGTTTGGTTCTAAAAATTTGTCTTTAGCTCTTAAATTTGTCTCTGTTTTTATATTTAACCCTGCTGATGAGGAAAAGGTGGATCGTGCAATCTATAAGTTTACATGTTTTCGTCTCGGGAGAAGATTTACACCTGTCCGGTTTTTAGGAAAATAAATTTCCGTTCGATTTCCTTGTATAATTTTGTGTCATCATTAAAGCTTGGCTCAATTAAAAATATGAAACAGTATTCAGTATATTTTTAATCCTTTAAGCTAAAAGCTGGGCGACTGAGTTTTAGCTGAAAAAACTCTTCTTTGTTTATTTTTATACGTGGTTACTGAAAAAAGTGAAAAGTGCTTAGGAGTACAAAACCTTTTAGGGAATTCAATTTTTAAACATTTTCTTTTTAAATAACACTTTTTTGTTTCTTTGGTACTTTTTCAATGTCTATTTCAATTAAAAAAGAAAAAGTATAATTTTTTGTAACTAGGTTAAGTTTTTTGTCTAAAAATACATGAAACAAGAATGCAAATTATGTGTTTGGCCTATTAAAAAACAACCTTAAACTATTTCGCAGACGTTTCGTAATAAAGGTAGCAATTTCTGTCTATTTATTGCTAGTTTTTATCTTTTACAGTGCATTTTGTATTAAGGAAACTAATTTTGAATTCATTTTTGCCTGCACCTGGTTATTGATTGCATAGGTAAATAACAGACACAAATTATTTTCTGTGTTAATTGCTTTATCTGTTTGCTTTTATCGTCCAGAATATTTTTATTGGGGCTGCTCTTGCTATTGTAGGAAATCTACTAATCAGCATCTCTATGAACATACAGGTAAAGGCAAAAGTGTATACCCTAATATACCCTTGTATAAGGGTGTTGTTGCTTGAAGTTTGAGATTGTTAATTATTTATTTAAGATCTCCCCCACATTGTTAACTCAAATAAATAGTTCTCACGTGAATTTGGAATAAAATTTTTCATTTTTGTTTTCTATCTTAAGTCATGTTTTCTATTTCAAAACAATCTTTGTGTTTTTAGGATGTGTAGGTTTTTAGATCAAACAAGACTTGTTTGATCTAAGAACCTACATATCCTAAAAATGCAAAGTTTGTTGTCTTTTGTTTTCATACCTCAAGGAAAGGGTATGAAAAGCTAGACAGAATCCAGTGCTTTGAACCTGTGAAATCTAGGGTACCCAGGGTATGATTTCTAGTGGAAATCAATGATTTTCCTGTTGACCAGAAGCAAATGTTAGGTGCCAAGGGCCACTAGGGCCAGCTACATATAGAACACAGCTTTGGAAAGAGAGTTTTTCAAATACTTTATCTTGTTAAAAGTCTAGACAGTACATTACTTCCTTATTTTTTTATGTGTTCAAGTGTCCAAGAAACACAAGAGCAAACTAAACAGTTTGCTTTCCAAAAAATCCTTAAATTAATTACCTTGTGCATGGTCTAATATTATTTCATATATTTGTACTGTTCTAAGTATCTTCAGATCCTTAGATAGTTATGAATGAAAAAGATTCCTTGGATGGATTAACTCATCCATTATTAAAAATACTGCTTAACGTGTAAGAAGTGTATGATAGTTTATGCTAAATTGTTTTCCCTGAGACCAAACCTTAAAAAATATTGCTGATTTGTTTTTGTTGTTGTTGGTTTTTTGTACTTTGCATGAAACAGAAATATTCTCATCTTCGCCAAGCAGAGGAAAAAAGTGAAACACATTATTTAAAGAGTAAAATATGGTGGTATGTGTTTGAATTTCTTGCTACATGCTGTATTTTTCTAGTTTATGGATCAGATAGAATTTTCCTAATTAATTATTTATGGAAAGGAAAATGTATGATGTATTTCATTTACACTTTGGTTGTCAGTGTAGAATACATGTAATTTAATCAGCCCCATGATTTTTAATACTGTAAGCTGTTAAATCAAATTTTTACAAGCTGTAACAAAAAAAATACATGTTCTGACGTGTAAAAATTTGCTATACTTAAATTTCATCATAAGATCTTTGATAAGGTCTCTAATGCATGGATTCTTCCCATAAATGAAAACATGTGAATAAGAAGAAGAAGAAGAGTAATAATATTATTATAAATATAATTTCATTATATTGATGTTGCCTGCCCATTCAACACCAAAATAGTACTTAAGCAAGGAAATAGAGAAGACTGATAAATACTGTGACCTGAAATACAAGATCAAATGAATTTGGAACTGTCATTCAATTCAAGTCATTTCAATAGTAATTGGTTCACTGGGAACAGTTTCAAATGGATTTGAAATGTGGCTGAGACTGTTGGGAATGCCATATTGCATGAAACCTTTTACAACAAATAACCTTGCTGAGGTCAGGAAGGATGCTGCAAAAAGTGCTGGACACTTAATTATATTAAGGACAGAATGATGGCACGGAGTATCCTAGGCCACAGGCAGCGTGACCCGATACTCAGTAACATTTCCTGCATTATGTAGTGATAAGCTTACAATAACAATGATGGTAATAATAATAATAATAATAATAATAATAATAATAATAATAATAATAATAATAATAATTCAGAAGATTATTGGTTACCCCCAACCAAACTCCCAGGGTACTTAGGAAGCTCCTGCCCTCTAGCATGGATTGAAGAACATCTCTCTAAGTGTCAGGGCTGACTCATGACTTTAAGTGAGGAGGCTGTGGAGTCTTTCCTCATAGTAAGTCTTTATTTTTTGGAAAAAGTGAAGACAGCTTAGACTCCCCAGCACTCCCAGTACAAATAATCACAGAAGCACTGGCTAGTCAGAGAAAATATGTCAAGAAAATTCTCTCCTTGATCACTCAAATGAACTGCAATACACCTTTCAGGGCCTTACAAATTAAAACTTTCTTGGAGAAGGCACACTCGCCAAATGAAAGAAGGGGGCAACCCCCCCCCCCCAGCCCCTCCCATTCTAACCCCCAAGTGTGGCTTTGCCACGTAAAAGGTGCTGATTTGCTTCTAATCTGCTCTATTGCTGCCTATGTAATTTTTTTTGCATACATTGTTTTAATTTTTGTGGAAAATCCTTAACTCCTTGTGTACACTGTAGGAAGTAAGTGCAAACCATTTTAATTGTTGTTGTTATTATTTTTATATTTCTTATTATTTCTTCTTATTTTTATAATTATTATTATTTTGTTGCTATTATATTATTAGGGTGGGTCTTACTTTAATGGTTCTTGGAGAAATAGGAAACTTCTCAGCATATGGCTTTTCTCCAGCTTCATTGGTTGCTCCCCTAGGAACAACTACTGTCATTGGTATGTTATGTTTTTCTTGTCTTTCTTTAATTACAAAAATGAATGGAGAGGAGAAGTCAGTCTTGTTACATTTACACCACGGTAGCAAGATTTCTGGATTAGAAACCAGAAACATCACTTAAAAGAGTGAATTTGCACTGTATCAAACTTCATGGATCTTATTCAGTTTCATTTAATTTGTCAAATGTTGGCAAAATTTTCTGGGATAGAATCCAGAAGGACCGTATCTACTTTGTAAGTTACGAAGAGAAAAAGAAAATTTTTGTATTGTTCACCTGCTTCATAAAGCCCAGTCATTATTTTCATCCTTGTTTCATTGCCAGTCTAATTTACCATGAACTTTACATGTAATTCTAAGGCTAAGTTCAAACGTCGAATTTCTTATGTGCCGAACTTAATGTGAGAGTTAAATGCATGTGAGGTGCGACGTTTGAATCAATTAAATGCAACGTATCTGCGACTGAAACAGTTTAAGATTTGACTTAGGTTCGACTTTTGATTCAAACGTCGCATTTCATGTGTGCTGAACTTAATGCATGAATTTTAGTAACTTATTATTATATTACTGGGAATATTGACAGCGAGCAGAGTTAAATCTGACAGAGTTCAGAGAGTTAAATTCAATGTTTGAATCAAATGCAGTATTTAACTATTTTAGTTGACTAAAATAGGAATTAATTTTGGCACATGTGAAATTTGATGTGTGAACTGGGCCTAATAGTTATTTTTTATTAATCTTCCTTTGAAGCTAATGCCATTATAGCTGTGGTGTTTCTGAGGGAAAGAGTGAGATATCAGGATGTGTTTGGTAAGTATTGTACTACTACGTGAGAAATTTCTGCAATTTGATTGGCTTAGAGCAGTGGTATTTCAGCTTAATTTGAAATACCTACATGTGAAAATTACAAACCTTTTGCTAGTAGTAGTATAAGCAAATAATAGCATGATTTGTATGTGATATTTGGCACAAATACCACGTGTGATATTTCAAAATTGACTCAAATTTCACTCGCCTAACGGCTTGTGAAATTACGTATAACAATTTTGAAAAATCATGCATGGTATTTATGCCAAACATCACTAATTACCTATACTAATTTCATCTGTTGATAATAATAATAATAATATCTACATTTAGATGACAATTTAGTGAGGGCACATCAACAGTGTCATTCTTTATCTACCATTCTGAATCAAATTGGAAATATTGTCATGGGTTATAATCAATGATCGATCATTTGGGTTAATCCAATAATTTCTGATTATCGATTATCTAATCTTAGTCAATTCCCAGAGTTCTCAGTAAGGGCTGGCGGCCGGCGAATTTCACCAGCTATTTCATGTGACTCACTGCCTACTTTTCTTCAGAAATTACCCCCCAAAAAAGCCAAAATTTAATGATGTCTTTGTTCTGTTCAACACTCTAATTTTTGCTCCAGAATGCTGGAAATGCACTCTAAGAGGCCCATATTTCAAAAGTTTTCCCGGGGGCATGCCCCTGGATGGACCACCCCTTGTGACTCATGCAACCACCCATTAGACCAAAAAACCCCTTACTAAGATGTACAGTTGTATAAGTCCAGGGCTTACAAAAATGGACTTGTATAAGTGGCAATTTATGGCATGGTGCTTGACAAAGTAATGGTTGCTAATAACAACATATCAAACACTTTTTCTCCTTTTGCAGGTGTTACCCTTGCTATTGTTGGAGCTTTCTTGCTCATAACCTTTTCGACAAAGGTATTGTGTTTAAAAGCAGTTAAAGTTAATTTAAGGAAGCAATGTTCCTACAGCGACTGTTGATGGCTAAATCAGTGGAACCATGTTGGTTTAGTAATGCTTGTAGTTTGTTTCAGAAGTCATGCTGTACTTGTTAATATTGTTTCAGTCATACCTTTTGCTTTCCTTTGAAATTTGAACCATGTCTTTTAAATCACTTATTGGAAATTTTCTGTTAAACTGCAACAGGGTTCGCGCAGTCATGAAAAGTCCCTGAATTTTAGGGGAAGTCCTTGAATTCCATTTTACCCTTGAAAAGTCATTAAATTTTTCTCCTTCTTCAACTTTGAATGAAGTGGCATGAAAAGTGTTTTTTAATGCTTTTTGGTTGTCCAAGACAGAATATAATCATAGCTCAGAGAAGTTAAAGGTGATTTACATAAAGCGTTTTTTGTTTTATGCAATAATTAACTATTAATATTTTATTACAAGTGTAATGAAAAATGTAGAGAGTTTGGTGGAGCATACAGTTCAAGCTTTAAAGTCCTGTTAGAATGGACTGGGAATGTGCATTTTTGTACAATCTGTGAAATTGCCTTCCTGGTAGGAGGTCCTTGAAAAACAAATGTGGACCTTGGAAAGTCCTTGAAAAGTCCTTAAAAGATAGTTGCAATTTTTTGTATGAACCCTGAAAAAAAGAAGACACAGAGGAGTGGAAGCAGAGAAAAATCACTTTTTTATGGTAATATTTTATGATGGAAATAAATATACATTTATTTATGTCTCAATCAGGAATTTTCAGAATTAACAGGACAGGAGTTGGCAATTTATCTGAGACAGTGGCCCTTCCTTATCTACTTGGTATGGTATTATAGTTTATCAAATAAATTAATGGTGCTTTTGCTTGTAGGATGGTTATAATATTCAGCGTGCAAAGAAAGTTGTGTCTGATAACCCGGGGCTAGTGGATTTTGCTGTCGGGCTAGTGATTTTTGTTCTTAACTTGCCCGATGGGCAAGAGCTGTTTTGGGGGGAAATTCAAATTACAGAAGGATTGTAATCCATCCTGCCAATCAAAAAGGGTTTTCAGGCTAGCTGAAATGACTTGTGGGCTAGTACATGCTAGCTACAGCTTGCCTGAATGGCAGGCTGTAAAACTGACTTTCTTTGTACCCTGATATTGTTACATGGTTTCAGGCATCCCAGACCTCCTATGTTTCCTATTTATCCTATAATTTGTATAAGATCCTATAAAGAGCCTATATTTCAAAAAATCCTGTATTTTCCTATAAATAGGACATATTCTGATATCTGCATTTTGCACTGTGAAGCAATTTTGTTGTGTTGTTTTAACAAAATCAAAATTCTGTATCAGTGGAAATGGTATTTTTTTAATTTTTTGAAAATTTTTTATCCTATTAAGAGCCTATATTTTGGCAGAAAATTCCTATATTTTCCTATATTTTGAACTTAACAGCCTATTTTTCCTATCAGATTTTCCAAAAAGTGGCTGGGGTGCCCGTGGCTTGTAAAGACTTGAAAAGCACTTCAGCCACCGTCTCATAAAATCTTGGCATCTTACTTGAGTTGTGGAAGAGTTCTTGAACTTTATATCACAGGGTTTGCAAATTTTATTGATGAGTGGAGTCAGTGTGACTCTGCTTCACAAATTTTGGAGTCATTTTAGAATATTTGGAGTCAAGTATCACAACGAAAAAAGCCATTTTCAGACTTTCCAGCACGTGGTCGTGGCATGTATACACTATCGTGAGGTATACGCAAAGTAGCTGTGGCAGTCCGCTGACCTGGAAAGCTCAAATCTATGATGGCCGTCATCGAGTAAACTTTGAGCGTAATTTACCCTCTTCCTGTTTTGTCGTGCAGTATAATATTCTTTAATTTCAATGATTTAATTAAGGTTTACAACGTTTACAATTAATGTAAATTGTACTTGTTGTGAAAAAGGTGAGGACAAAACTGTGTTTGTAACCGAAAATTTCTGGAGTCGAAGTGACTCCCTCCGTAACCTCAGTGGAGTCATCTGAACAATTATTTTGGTGTAAAATACACAGTTGCAAAATAGTTCTTTCTCTACCTTTCTCAAAACAAATACAATCTATCTGAACTGCAGACATTTGAAACCTGATTTAAACAGACTAATTTAAGGTATATTCTACATGAAGAGGCTAAATTACAATAAAGAAAACTCGAACAATGATCACCATCATGGATTTAAGCTTTTTGAGGTCAGTGGACTTTCACATGAGGCCGCAGCTACTTTATGTTTCCATCATGATTGCGCATACTTGCCAGAGCGATGCGCTGGAATGGCATCCGTGTCGAAAAGACCAAGGGAAGAACCATTGAAGGAATATCACATTGCTTTTTCCGTTGTGTTAGTTGACTCCAAATATTCCATAATGACTCCAAAGTTTGTGAAGCAGAAGTCACACTGACTTTACCCATCAACAAAATTTGCAAACCGTGTTATTGTATGTGGATTTTAGGACTTAAAGGGTAAATGTAAAAGTATAGTAGAAAAGCCTGCCAGGAAGTTGAGAAAATTTCAGTATGTTAAGTCTGTGTATGTGTTGAATATAAGCCTTGACAGCAGTAATTTGAACTTGTTTTCAGGCTCTGGAAGCTGTGATATTCTGTGGCTTACTGTTTGCTCAGTGGCGCTATCAGTTGGAAAATGTTGTTATATTCCTTCTTCTTGTGGCATTGTTAGGTACTTTTTTTTATTGTAACAATAATATTATTGGATTAAGCTGTTCCATGTATCAATGTGATTTTTAAAATGAATTGCATAAACTGAGGGGCCCTCCGTTGTGACTGCTAACAGCAGCATAATAATTCTGGCTATTGCATTGGTGTCTAAATTTTCTAAAATACAGTGTTTGATCCAGAAACAACAGATTTTAACATGATATAAAATTATTTATTTTATAAACACCAATGAGCTTTTGTGCAAAAACATGATATCTTCAAATGTAAAAATAACATTTTAACTTCACACATGAAAAGATCAGTGTTGCTATGGCTACAAATAGTTTGGTATTTCATTGGTGTGTAAAAACATTACATAGCTGCTTGGAGATACAAAATTTCTTTTTGAGTATTGAAAAATATATCAATTGTTTACTGTGCTCACACCCAAAGAGAAATTTTGTATCTTTGCTCGGCCAAGTAATATCCTCTATTTTTTATATAAACACCAATGAAATACCAGGTGAGCTTTTGTGCGAAAACTTGATATCTTCACATGTGAAAATATCACCTTTGCTATGGCTACATAATAAATTGTGCCTTTCACAGCAAAAAACTATTAAAGTGAAATGGTTTGGTATGTCATTGGTGTTTATATAATAAATAGAACATTACATGGCTGCTTGGAGATATGAAATTTGTCTTCTTGTGTTGAAAAAATTTTCACTCGTTCGCTGCGCTCACACGTGAAATATTTTTCAACACTCGAAGAGAAATTTCATATCTCCGCACAGCCATGTAATATCCTCTATGTATCCACCACATAATGTTGCTTATTAACATTACATGTGAAGTTGATGTTTGACTTAGTGCTAATGCTCAACATTATTCTTTTGTGTAGGCTCACTTACTGTCATCTCAGCAAAGGCTGTGTCTTCCATGATTAATATAACCCTAAGTGGGAACAGTCAGCTAGGACACCCATTGTTGTATGTTATGCTGATTGTGATGATTTCAACTGCTATCGCTCAAGTCAAGTAAGTCATGTTGTGCAGTACTGTCACTCATCTCTTTTTTCACTAATTGAAGGGTAGCATGGAATAGAGTGTAAGGCCTCAGGTGTCCCCTGATCTAATGCATGGTTCTCTGGAAGCTCCAGTAAAGGGCAGAGGTGGCTATCTAATTGCCATGAATGTGCTGGCTACTCATTGAAAACACTTACTGTAAATCCTCTATTAAGCTATTATTATTATTATTTTTTTCAAGCACCTTTGAGGGGGAGGGCATATTTAATTTAGCTAAACCCATCAACAGGAGCAAGGTTTCTTGAGGATGGACCTGTGGTTCCCGGGCGTTATACTGCTTTTTTAACAATAAGAAAAAATAATAATTAAATGGTAACAATTCTCCACAGAGAACTGGAGCATAAAGTTGAAAAAGTTAAGCACATGAAGTTGGAGGTCGTGCAGCCAAAGACCAAAAACAATATGAATCTCCAGCCTGAATAAACCATAACTGATCAGTCCAAGTTAATTTTTTGTGAAGAATAAGGATGGAGAGGAAGAGGAGTGGGGGTCTTAATAGAGAGGCGGAGCTCATTAACTTTCCTCCTCTGAAAACGAGGTTTATGGTATTTTTTCATCCAATGTTTTTGCTCAAAAAAGTAAATCCAAGTGAATAAACTTGTTGCTGTCCTCCATCTCCCTGATTGCTCAAAATAGACTGAAACTGCATATTTTTCAGGACCCTCAAAATCAAAATTTCCCCTTGGGAAGCCCCCTAAACTCCCCTAATCAAAGAGGGGTACCCCCTTCCCATACCTTCCCCTTCAAGTGGGTGCACTGCATGAAAGGTACTGTGCCTTTGATCTACCTACTTAATTTTTCTCTTTCTACTTCTAATTTTCTGAAGAACCCAAAATTCAAAAGGCAAATTGGAAGGTGAATCCACCTACTATTAACGCCAAAATTGCGTTTTATACTTATAGTACATCCAGTTCAAAGTAAAATTTTCAAGAGTTATGATTGGCAGAAGTGTACTTAAGCTAGTGAATTGAGATTTTACGTAATATGCATGTAGCTTTCCGATTTGTAGTTAGTCAGATGGATCTTTTGTTTTTATTAATAGGGGATTATATTTGTTTTCCTTTTTTTCCAGATTTTTGAACCGAGCCATGCAGTCCTTTGATGCTACTGTTGTTGTTCCCACAAATTTTGTTTTGTTTACAATTAGTGCTATAATAAGTGGTAAGCTTCTTTTTTTAAAATCAATATTTATCCAGGGGCATCCAATTTAGCAGAGCTAGTTTAAATGGAGCCCTGACACAACACAAAAACAAAGACATTAAAACTAGACAATTAAGTTACAAAGGCGACATGAACCGCAGGCATTACTGTTTAACATGGCACTTTAGCTTTATTTTGAATTCGCTGAGCGTCTCAACCTGTCTAATGATTCTCGGTAGGATGTGGTAGGTCCGAGCACCGTTTATTCTGAAGCGACTTGAAGTTAAGAAATGAAAGATGTATACATGTTGTTAAGAATTCACCATCTTGACTTTAAGAATCCTTGAATGCCAGGACTGCTTGGGAAATCCTTTTCTTAAGTCTTGAATTTCTTATAGAATATGATGCAGCAAGCAAGAAATGAATGTGGTTAATGATAATGAATTCATGAATAAAGTCCATAGCGATACCCTTGACCTGACATGACTTTAATATTGATTCTTAGATAAATAAAGAATCAAATATAGATATGTTTTCTTAATTTTAGGTATTGTTTTATATAAAGAATTTTATGGGCTTACATTCTTGGAAATATTTATGTTTCTATTTGGGTGAGTGCCTTTTGTCTTTGTTACCATTTAGTTACGTTGATGTTGATGTCTAAGTAATGACCCAAAAAGAGGCTGTGTCCAGGCGGTCTTGTTCATTTTGACTATAGGTATCTTTATGCGCTATGGAACTGAATGCCAGAAAAGAAATTACTTGTGAATGACAAAATTACAGCTCCCTGTTCAACCAATATGCCTTCTAAGCGTTATATCAAACGTTACAAACAACGAAAGTGATTTTTGATAAACTGTTACGCTAACAATTTCAAAACCCTTAATTGCAATTTGTTTGAATCTTGTTCAACTTTGTCCATCTATTACCGTTGTTATTTAGACCTTTCTTTTAGCGTAGTATGGGGTGGAAAACTTTAGCTGATCTAGCTCTGGTATAGGGTAAGGTTTCCAGGGTCCTTGCAGCAAATCCCCATCCAAAAATTCCTAAAGTACCCTCACGGATCGTAATACCATAGAATTTCACCCACAGTCAGTGTGACAATAAATCTTTCCATAGCTTGTCTAGAGTGAAAGTATAGACAATTATAATTTATAATTTTGAAACATTGATTTTCCTTTACAGATGTGTATTGTCATTTATTGGAGTGTATTACATTACATCTGAGAGAAAACAGGAGGAATCAGAAGAGCAGTTGCTCCTCACAAATGCCGACCTGTTTCCTGGTATGTTTAGAATTGGGTTGGGTAAACTGAGGTGAATTATCTTTTCTTTGAGCCTTTAAAGGCCGATTTACACAGTACAACTCTTTCGTATGCACTTACGATAAGATTACGACAAGAGTTTCATTGTCCCCTTTTCGACTTCTGCAGCACAATTCATTGTACCTCTTTAAATACCTTTTTAAAAACTCTACCCTCAAAGCACAACACATATGCTTTATTTACCAAGCGTCAGGTCAAGATGGCGGTATACTGGCCAAGTTCTTTTTTGGCGTGAGACGAGGTTGAGGTCAATAAAAGCGTAAAACAGAACGAGGCCAGTATCCAGCCATCCTGACCGAACAAACTTGGTCAATAGAGAATTTATTATACGGCGAAAAAGAGAACTTTTTTCTTGCGGGACCAAGGCGGGAAATCCCGAGCGGGCAAGGAAGTCCCATCTTGCCTGCTCGGGTAGCCAATCAGAACGCAGGATTCGCGGATTCAGCCATTTAATAAATTTGCCTTTTCAACCAACGGTGAGGTCAGGATATCTCGATGTTGGCCAAGGTCCATAAAAACGCCAAAAAAAAGGAAGAATGATCCCAGAAGAAACCATTTTTGCTCACTTGTCGATCCGCGATTGAATTAGACTACGAGTAGTCCCCCATTTTTCCTCAGGGATAGTAGAGCGAACAAAACGCGAGCGCGCGTGAAAATCAACCCACGCGAGAAAAGGCGACACGCGGCGAGGAGAGAGAAAAAAGTGTCGCCTTTTCTCGCGTGGGGTGATTTTTCACGCGCGCTTGCGTTTCGCTCGCTCTACTATCCCTTCGGAAAAATGGGGGACTACTCGTAGCCTACGATTGAATGAGAGGTTATTTTTTCTTGTTAGGATTCTTATCCTTGTCGTCATCAAAGCTTATTGCAGTTCAGCCAAGCAATATGTTGACCGCATCTCATGTTGAGTATCCCATGCTGCCTGGCAAGCCAACATATGAATCAACCGCTGACACACAGCAGTCTCAGGGAGAAACGTAGTCCGCGCCGCTCGGGTCAGCGTTGTCGTGGAACAGCAGAGGTCAATTTAATATAACTTTTACAGGTGTAATTTACAAGTGTGGCTATTGTTTTCAGACTCTAAAACAATGGCTGCACTTGTAAATTACACTGGTAAAAGTTTTATTAAAATTGACCCCAGAATTCGCTAATTAAATTATATCTGCTTTAAACGTGATATTCATAGGGTTTTTTTATATAAAAAGGTGGTTTTTTCCTTTTGCCCTAAATGCGCGTATATGGAAAGTAGAATATGGATCCAGTAGTAAATTATTTGTTTCAATTGTGTAACGTTGTATACAAACTTCTCCACTGTGGAAAAGTTTAACTTAAATGGGTTATTGAAGATCTCTGAATCAGATAGGCTCGAGAATTCAGTAGAGCAGTGAAGAAAACGTACATAATGCAGAGCTGCAAAGAGTCGACCTTTGGACAATGTCCGACGAAAGTTGGCCCATCTCCGAAGAAATTCTATCTGCGGCCAGACCTGTAGGCTTGCTCAGTGAGGGTCACAAAAACCTGGGTTTTGTCCTCTCTAGAATTCAATCGCGCTTTGTTGTTCATAGTAGGGTCTTTAAGATCCAACGACGCGATCGCAACGAAAGCGTGAAAAAAACAATTGGTTTAGTAAGCAAAACAACAACTTTGCACGTGCATCACACTTTTTGTACATTTCTTTGCCGTTTCTGCACGACTACGACGTGAAAATGCCTAATTTCGCGTTTTAAGGTGATCTTACACGGGACGATTCGCAACGACGATTTTTAGCGCAACCCAGCATTGCAATGTCGGAACAGTGTTGTAACTGTTAATGATATATGAAATAAATCATACATGAACAGTAGCTATTCGAAACAATGTCGCAACAATGTTGCAACGCTGTGTTGCGCTAAAAATCGTCGTTGTGAATCGTCTCGTGTAACGACGAAATTTTATTTCTCTTTCTGAACTTGGATATGGTCCCTTAGAGTGCAATTTCAGGAGGGTTCGCCTACATTCGACGAAGTAAGTGGGTAGGAATAATCGCGATAAAGACTGAAAGAACGCAAATTCACTTTTTAAACGACGTTCTTGTTGCCGTCGCGTCGTTGGATCTTAAAGTCCCTAGGTAATATCCTTTAATCCACGTATTGTCAGTGAGGTGTATATGTATGGTCTGTATTGACAGAGCAAAGAATTGTATATAATTTTATTACGTTGTAGTTTTATTTGAAGGATAGTACTATATTCTCCGAAATGGAAATGGACGCTTAAGTTATTACTTACACGTGTTATTCGACTTGTTACCTTATTAATTATTACTAATTTTCGCGAGTTTCAACATCTCATAAAACTCGTGAAATTAAAGACACGCGAAAAACGGAGCTTCTCTCTTATTAGAAGCTTTTTGCGAAGGTTAGTTGCTTTTAACGAGGTAGCACTTAAGAAAAAACAGAGACTGCTCATAGTCTAGGTAGCCTTACGAAATCGTGAAAAGTGTCCCAAAATCTGGCTATTCCCACTTCCATTTCGCGCCGGTAAGTGCTCGCGAAAGTAGCAACAAAAAAGTGGTAACTAAAATAACCGTAATGTTTCATTTCTCTAATGAGTCAAGAGAAGAATTTAGGTTATGATATTTAAATCCATATGAATGGAACAAACAAGTATTATTTTTATTGTAAAGCACACATATTGGAATATTATTTTGTTTGTTTGACAGTACAATAAAATGTCTATTAAAACAAGGTAGTATTCTTTTGGTTTAATTTCAGAGTAATTTAGGGGCTTCCATCCTCCCAACACATTACACTTGACACAATAAACTATAGTGTGAGCTGCTGGCCTTAAATTTTCTCTCGGGGAGGGGCTGGGGGATATTGCAGTTTTCGACATGCTCCCATACTCTTTGAGGAAACCCCTTACAATTACGTTTACGGCGAACGTAAAATTGTAGCACGAGACCAAGTTGTCCTGTGACCTGTCTTTCATTTTTATTTTTATCCATGCGAAAAGAAGTAGTTTCATGTCAGGTTTCATCCATGAGAGTTATTTTGCACAATTTTTATCTGTTCATTTCGTAATCCGAGAAATTGAGAATTTGACGTGATTCTAAGTTTTTTTTTTATCATTTACGAAAAGTTTCCAGAAAATCCAGTTGGAAAGTAAAAGGAGCACAGCTTTTCGGGTCGTTCGGGCAGAAAATTTCCGGGAGCAACGGAATTTCTGAGCGGACCGTCGACCTTAAGCTTATCAGTTGAATTTAATTGTCACGAGTTATCGACGTACGGTAAAATATGGTTCCTCTACCCTTAAAGTTTTTGAGGGACTTCATATTAATTATCAAAGCACTCTCCCAATGAAGTGATAAAAAAATAGAACGTTCTGTATTCAATTCCAGACCGAACGATTCATTTTTTAGACCACAACGGTTGACCAAATTATAGATCAGACGAAAAGCCTCAAAAGGAATCAATACTCCTACCCATAGCGCCGTCTATATTTATATTAGTGTTCAGCTAATATTTTTGGAGAACCCTTGGTAAATTTTCTAAACAGCTTTCCCAATTTTACTTTTAGAACATCAGAATTAAAAAATAATAATAATAATAATGGTTCAGTTTTATTTTATAGGAGTTATTCTAATCAAACTATGCGTTTCAGTTTCAAAGCCACAAAGGTTTCGGCGAGATGATCTCATGAATCACATTTGCCTTAAATATATTATCACCTTATACCCTTTTGATAACATGAATATACAAAGGCTTTATTAAGTAACAACTTTCGGTTTTCAAAGAGGATGTCAACACACATCCCTCACTTTCGTTCGATCGCACGTGACTGCCCAAATTGCTATTTATTCAGACGACGCCCAATTCATATCACCATATCAGGAAGTGGCTGAGAGAAAGAGTTGCGGTGAAGCAAATCCGAAAATTCAGTCTTCACTGAGAATACAGGTGAGCAAAATTAATTTAGAAATCAGTTCACATGACAATTTTTTGTACTAAGACTGCAAATATTGTGCATGTTTAATGCTATGTTATTTTGACACTTTGTTATTCTCAAATTTTTCACGAGTTAGTCAAAAGCGGGAACCTGAAGGTGGTGCAAGACACGCTACTTGAGAGCTTAAAAGTTTCATGTTCTCGCAGTTGCGTAATATGCTACTAGCAGTGCTCGTATATTTCTAAATTTATGCCAGTAATTGTGCTAGTTTTTGTAAATTATACTCATTTTAGCAGAAAATACAGAAATTATGCATCTAATTTCCACTTTAAAATTAGTAAAAACACCTCAAAAACTATGCATATGTAGCCTGCGGTGCAGCCGGCCCACGTATCGCATATAGCTATAAACAACGTTTAAAGGATCTGCGCGCAGGTTATGCATATGCAACAAACTAGCAAACGACAAAAACAATTACCCTATTTACGTCATTGTGCGCATGTGTTGAGTGTAGGTCATGATGGATGTGACAATAAGCAGGCAAAAATTGACTTTGTTACTTAGATTTGCTTGTAATACCTGTCTCGGGCTAAAAGGAATTGGTTGTGCAATCAATAAATGACAATTTTGTGCTGTAAAACTAGCCAAAGTGTAACTGATTATGCTACCAGTGCTTTTTCCGGAAAATAGATGAAAACCATGGCCAAGAATTATTCCAAAAATTATGTTAGCACAAATCCGTCAAAGCCTATGTGAAACCATTTTAATGTAAACGCTCAAAGGTCATGATAACGAAAGAAGTTCTGGTGGCACCAGCGAGGTTGTCGTATTGCCCAGGTTTTAGATAAAGAAAAAATTCAGTGAGTGTTTGATATGCTTGGGCCCAGTCGTAAGTAGTCGTAAGGCACAATTCAACTTATTGTATTTACTTTGTTAACCTCCACCATATTCCATTGCGTTGATATTCTCTCCCCAGAGGCAACTGCTGGTTTCCTACTTCTTGTCTTTCCGATGCACACCAGCAAAAAGCGTTAATAATTAAACCAGTTTTAACGAAATATAATTGAGCGACATAAACTGAAGCTAAATAACTGATTTTTTAAAACAAATAATTCAAGTCAGTTTTCACAAGTATTTTTTGACTGAACACTATAAATTTTGTAGTGAACAGTATATCAAGCAGACATTTTTTAGCAAGGAAAAGAAATTTATACTGTTACCATGGGCGCTTTCCATTTAGTCAAAATTTCCGGAATTTCCGGTTCGGCGGTAAATGGAACACGTTTCGTCGGTTCGTCCCACTGGAAAATTCCCAGAAAAAGTGGAAAATCTAAAAAGGTGGGCCCGTTTTCCCGGTTGGAATTTCCGAACGGAATGTCGGGTTCCATTTACGTTTCTCGTAGTTTGTACCAGTTCCAGGTCCACGGTCGGGCACCGCCACGTACCGGGGTTTACGACCAAATGGAACAACTTTTTACCAATCGGAAATTCCACTTTTCCTACCACCGAAATTTCCGGGTTTTTTTCCTAAATGGAAAGCGCCCCATGTCTTAGCTTTTGTGTTAATAGGGCGTAAGAATCTGTCGTTTATTTTAGAATACTTTTTCTCCCGACTTTGCAAGTATTTATACCAGTAATATGAATTCCGCAAAATTTTCTTCCGATTACTACGAATAAATATTTTTCCCTTAAAAATCTATGGTAATTGTCTCCTTTGGTATGCACGCTAGGAAAAATTTACTGCATTTATTTTCGTTTTAACCAAAATTGTGAAAATGGATATGTGAGAGGTAGCCTGCGTAGCAGGCGCTAGGAAATAAATGGGCGCAAGAAAAAACGCGCGCGAGGGAGGCCCTAGGAAAAAAAAATGGGCGCAAGAAAAACGCGCGCGAGGGAGACACGCGCGTCTCCCTCGCGCTCGTTTTTTCTTGGGCCCATTTTTTTTTCCTGGCGCCTCCCTCGCGCGCGTTTTTTCTTGCGCTCATTTTTTTTTCCTAGCGCCTGCTACGCAGGCTATGTGAGAGGTTTACTAATGACACATGACGCATCATAATAGTAAGATAGTGTACCACAACCAAAAACTGAAGTAACCTACATATGTAGAAAACGAAGCACTCTTCAGGTTTCAAACAAACCTCCTGCAGCTTGAAAACGAAACAGCCTTTCTAAGTGGAAAACGAAAAACCACAGAAGCCAAAAATGTTTAGTGTTTTTTAGTGTTGGCCTCATGTACATTTTTGTTAATGAAATCTTAAACGTTTTTTTGAAGGACATTGGGTAAAATTTTTTCAAGGCGTATTGTACGCAAAAGGTGATTGGCCAAAAAAACCCAGCCCTCCCACAACCCCACCGCCACCCCACCACCGCCAAAAAATGGTATATTTAGTCTATCTAAAAAGGTAAACTGGAAATTAACATTTAAAAATCCATTCTTTGTTTAATCATCCCCTCTCTTCATCCATGGAGCCAGGGCTGGGTTGGATCTTTCTTCTGACCCAAGTTCTCCCCCAGATCCAGAGAATTCATAATGGCGCAGAGTAAAATTAAAGCAGAGAATGAGAGTAATGACATATCAGCCGGGGAGCAAGTTTTGGATTTTGACGAAGCAACTTTAAAAGGTAAGGAAACTTACAACTGTTAATATTGAAGGCGTAATGCCAAAAGGCCTTCGTACAAACTAAACAACAATCCCGTCTGAAATACGCGATATTGAAATTTTCTAATGCCATATTTCAAATAGCCTGCGTACCTTCCATATAGAGCGCGCAGACGGACTATACTAATCAGGGCGTAAGAAGCTAGGGTGTTGAAACGAGCGGGGTTGAGCGATCTAGCTGTGATGCAAGGGTCTGGGTACTACCAAAGAGACAAAACGCGGACAGCGAACTCTAGCCATTACCCCGAGGCATTCATCTACTGCGAGCAATAGCCAAGGAACA